GTATGTCTTCCTCGATGTCCTCTGTTTATGGCAGGAGGGCAACGCGGACGACGACGAAGTTCGGCTCGAAGAGTGGAAGCTCGACGTACCTACGGTCGGTCATATTTACCAAGCCCACCCGCGCGGCAGACCATGCATCACGTATTTCAACGGCTTGGGCTTACCGTTTGATGCGTCGCCGACGGTTCTCAAATCGGATCGGCACTGGTTCAGTTGTCTGTCTACCGTGCAAGAGACCGTGGACAGCTGGTTACCTGGCGGACTCACTGCCGCACCTTTCTCCGATAGCCTGAGTTTCTTTTCTCGGCTGCAGGACCTCATCTCGAGTATATCTCGCTGGGAGCGATTCACCGATGTCATCCAAGCCGTGAAGAGCCGCATTTGCCCCACAGAGCTTGACAGGATAGCCTGTCTTGGTTACCTCCTGCAATGCCCGACGCTACCGCTGTACGATCGGTCGACCCCCCTGGAGTCCGCATGGATGTTGCTCATCAAGCACATGCCTTCGTGGGCCAGGATGTCTCTCTTCCTTCAGCACGAATCTGACGCTCCGTTCGGACTGTGGATCTCGTGGCGGGGGCTGTTGGGATCCCCATCGGCATTGCTACTCCCTAATCGGACACTTGACACGGAGCAGCTACAGCTGGTGGATCCTCAACAAATTCACACGAGTAAGCTCGGAGAGTATTACCATGCCGCACATGTCACCGAGCCATGCTACATTGTGTCCTCACCCGACGACGCCTGCCGAAATACTAGTGGGCCGCCAGTGTTCCGACTGCACTTCTACGACCGCGCTGAGCCCATCACCGTACAAGTCATCGCTACCGAAACACATGGGTGTCTTATCGCGGATGTTCCGTATCGTTTGCTCGGCGTCGGGTGTCCCTGGCGGGATTGCTGGGTTGCGGCTGAAGTGGTCGGAGAGCGAGATGTGCAAGGCAAGAAAGCTGTTGAGGTGATCAAATGGGGTGTGATCCGCATGGACGAGGACGAGGAGAGCAAATTTGTTGGGCTGAAACTAGGAGAAGATAATATGAGGGTGATGTATTTGTGGGGCGAGGAGGCGATGGGCAGGAGCGGGCATGTCGACAAGTATATCACGCACACCCCTTTCGAGTACAGGGCATCAATCAACGCACAGGCGGAGAACGGGCGGACACCACTGCATTTTGCAGCACAATATGGCCAGATCGACAACGCGCGCACCCTTCTGGAGCACGGCGCGGCTGTCGACGCGCGGGAACAGGACGGGTGGACACCGCTACTTATCACTGCACAAAATGGCCACGCCGACATCGCACGTACCCTTCTCGACCGCGGTGCAGCTGTCGACTCGTACATCAAGGACGGCTGGACGCCGCTACATATCGCTGCACAAAATGACCACATCGACATTGCGTGTACCCTTCTCGACCGCGGTGCAGCTGTTGACTCACAGAACAGGAACGGGTCGACACCGCTACATATCGCTGCACAAAATGGCCACGTTGACATCGCGCGTACCCTTCTCGACCGCGGCGCGGCTGCCGATGCGCGGGAGCTGGACGGGCGGACACCACTACATATCGCTGCACAAAATGGCCACGCCGACATTGCACGTACTGTTCTCGACCACGGCGCGGCTGCCGACGCGCGGGAACTGGACGGGTCGACACCGCTACATATCGCTGCACAAAATGGCCACGTCGACATTGCGTGTACTTTTCTCGACCACGGCGCGGCTGTCGACTCGCAGAACAAGATCGGCTGGACACCGCTACATATCGCCGCACAAAATGGTCACGTCGACATTGCGTTAACAATTCTCGACCGCGGCGTGGCTGTCGACGCGCGGGGGCTGGACAGGCGGACACCGCTACATATCGCTGCACAGTATGGCCACATCGACATCGCGCGCATCTTTCTCGACCGCGGTGCAGCTGTCGACTCGCAGGCTAAGAAAAGCTGGACACCGCTACATATCACTGCACAAAATGGCCACGTCGACATTGCGCGTACTCTCCTCGACCACGGCGCGGCTGTCGACTCGCAGAGCAAGAGCGGCCGGACACCGCTACATATCGCTGCACAAAATGGCCACGTCGACATTGTGCGTACCCTTTTCGGGCGTGGTGCAGCTGTCGACCCGCAGAACAAGGATGGCTGGACACCGCTACATATTGCTGCAGAAGATGGCCACGTCGACATTGCGCGTACCCTTCTTGAGCGCGGTGCAGCTGTCGACTCGCAGAACAAGAACAGGTGGACACCGCTACATATCGCTGCACAAAATGGCCACATCGACATTGCGCGTACCCTTCTCGAGCGCAGTGCAGCTGTCGACTTGCAGAACAAGTACAGTGCGACACCGCTACATATCGCTGCACAAAATGGTCGCGTCGACATCGTGCTCACTCTTCTCAAGCACAGCGCGGCTGTCAACGCACAGGATAAGGACAGATGGACCCCGCTGCTCTACGCGGCCTCGAACGGGTACATCGACGCCTCTCGCGTTCTCCTTGATGACGGTGCCGACGTCGCAGCCATGGACATCAACGGAATACGCGCGTTGGACCGCGCGAGGGCGAAGGGACATACTAAGATCATGCGTCTGCTTCTCGACCGCGGCGCCGAAGAGAACCCACCGCACGACGAACCCGCGGCCTGAGACGTGCATGGACATCACGAATAGGGCGCGTTGCACATGTGCCGTACAGCCCGTAACGCGTTCGCGGAGGACCGGCGATTTGTAGGAGGTTGCGGCACAGTCAGGGTTAGGAGACAAGCGGAGGAGACGGACAGGCGAGCGGTACACAAAGTCAAAAGCTCCGGTGCGGCGATGTGAGAAGTGGGCGAAGAGACATCTCGAGGGGCGATCCACCAGTCTAGCCATATATTTTTGTGCTCGTTCGGCGTATATTTTGTATGTTCTCAGAGGATAGAACACTAGAGGATTATGCACATATTTTGTAACTGTAGAATCAATATCATACTTGGACACTCCGCTGTTGCAAATCCTACCACACCACGCCTGTCCTCAAGCTAGCATAGCAACCTTGTTGACATTGTCGAGACAGACCGTATCATCGCGGGCGTATCCTTGACGATCGGTCTTGATTATCCCGCTCCCATACGCCGTCTCGAAGACCGTCCCGTCATTGACGATTGCAACGCCCATGCCGAATTGCATCATGGGAAACGGCCTGAGGGTACACGGAGACCGGCAGCGGAGGAGAGTGGGTTGCATCATGCATGACAAAGTCGCGGTGACGGAAAGGGAGAGGATTTCAACCAATCAATGAGTTTCACGACGTGCTTGAGAATTCGCTACGTGCTTACGCTTTAGCTCGCGGGTGTGTACGTCGCCAGAGACGCCACGAGACGCCGGAGTGCGCTTTCACGAAAGATCTCGTTCCTGCCGTCCAGGATACCTTGGCATTGACATTCCGCGACGAAGAGGCGTGCTCTGGGTGACGGCGGCTTGGTGAGCGGGGCTCGCAGAAGATCATATCGGTTGCGCACCTCATTGAGATCCCCGGCCTACGCTACTCGTCCAAGTGCTTGAAGTGCACGCCTGGCACTGCACCGCCAATGACATACCCGACAGTGGCCTGTTGGCTCTGTTCGAGTTAGATCGATATGGGGGCATGTTCAACTTCCAATGGGCGTGGTTCTGACAGAGCACCCGGGAGATAGCAACTCACGAGCGGCATATTCAGTTGTGAAGGCCAGCGCCCTTGCAAACGCGAGGCAGCGCTATAGCGCTAGCTGAGAAAGGGCACTGGGAGGAGGACACAGGGGATCGTCAGCGGAGAATGACGAGCCGCGCAGAAAGGCGGGCATGGTCCGAGATTACTCCCGCTTGTCACGATTAGATAGCTGATTAGATCGATTAGATTTGAGCGTGCCTTCTCGAGCCGAACGGTGTGCGGCCCTCGGCCGGCCAGTGCATCGAACGCGTATGCAGGGCCTCCGGACGTCTCCCATCAAGTGCACTGCGGCCGATCTGGGACTAGCTCAGGGTGCCAAGTTGTCGTGCATGGCAGTACTGTGTCCGGGCCTAGTCTGTAGCCCGCGAGGCCCTCTTTCTTTCGCGCTGCTGCTACCCGTCACACGCTTCTGAATGCCTCCTTCCGCCTTTCCACTTCTGTCTGCAACAAAGTAGACTTTGACCTCGGGCTTCCAAGTGCCGTGGACGCCATTCGCGCCCTCGGTTCGCGCTATGTGTAGGTATACCGGTCAACCGATTCTCGCACAAATGTTACTACTACGGTGTCTTCCTTCCCAAGCTGAGACGAGACGTTGAGTAGTATTGTTCTTTTCTCTCTCAGCTGAATTGCGTGCAATGGAGACTCAAGTCGTTGTACGACTGGCAAGTAACTAAGACGCGGACGCGATATCTATAAAGAAGGCATCAGCCACAACATCCCGTACGTACGGAGATCATCGGCTTACCGGCCGACTTTAGTGGCAACGATGCCAGATCCGCTCCTCAAGGCCGAGGGCAATCTCGTCCGCATGAGAGAAAAAAGCCAGCGATTCGCGTCGCACTCATTTATAGCCACACTATGCTTGCTAAACACCTCCTGCGTAAAGAACGCGTAGCCGATCTTGAATAGTCGCGCTTCGTCGCGCCAAAATAGATTTGCGCATTAACCGGCGGGAAACTTCCACCCTGGCGGTATCTCTGCAGCAAACCGCTTGCATCAGCCACAACAAGTGAATATCTACGCGGGGCCTTAGAGGCGCATGCTGGTCGTCCTTGGCGGGCACCTGGATCGTCGCGATCTTGACCTAACATGTCGGCGCCGCAAAGCCGCTGTCCATGGACGTCTCCTCGCGCCTTCCTCGGACAGGTAAGCTGGCCGGAGTAAGGCAAATTGTCGAGCAGACTCTGCTCGAGCGCGCCCGTCGGGACCAGGAGGTCTTTCCAAATCTCGAGGTCGTACGTAAAATATGAAGTTGACAACCTATTCAATCTGCGAAGCGCGTCAGCGAGTGCAAGACGCGACAGACACGCGTCCACCACCTACCTGCGCCTGGATGACCGTGCTTTCGACACCATTTTCGTGCCCATCGCGTCGTCAATGCGTATCGTGAAACGAACATACAGTGTGCGGCCGGTCATGGCACACTTAACGCTTGAAGTTTGGCGAAGCGAGAGGCCCTCGGGGCTATCGATTCATCCAGACATTTCGACCCAAAACGGCCCAAAGCCAGTCCTACTACCCAGATACACGCCTATGTTCGGTCCAAACTGTCACCAAACTTGGCAGCTTTAGTTTGAATATCATGTGGTGGGTTAAAATTACCATATACATCCGAGGCCAGAGAGGGTGATTGTCTTCCTACCCGGATATGGGGTACTTCGGCCCGGACCAGTCTACCTAGGGAATATTCGAGGGCCCTATCTGCGCCAATAGCCAACCAATAGATAACGAAGCGCCAAGGGACGAGAACGAGCCGCAGAATGACAAGTAGCGTGGGGACAGGGGAGAGGGGGCAGTCGCAGGAACAAACGATGCGAGACGTCTCGCCAAGGCCTTAACATTATAATTGTCAGTTACAAGTGCAAGAGGATGGGGTAAAAGGAAGAGACAGACCTAGTTATCGTCGTCTTCGAAGTAGAGGTTGGCACCGGGGAACTGGGCCTCGATGATCTCCCAGAGCCAGTACATCGGCGAACCGAACGTGATGTCGGAGGAATAGCTTAGACCGGTGCCACCAGTGAGGAGGGCAACAAACTTGCCGAGGGCATCGACGATGATGGACCCAGAGTCCCCACCTCTGGAGAACGGACCGGAATCGTTGTCATAGGAGTAGATTGCTGCTTCCACCGAATCGCGGCTGCCCAGGACGAAATAGCGGCGGACATGAGACTCAAATCCATTCAAACAACCGATCGTGGTGAGTGTGGTGAGGCTGCGTTTGATAACGTATCGCATGGGAGCGCCTTCGCGGTCTTTGTTGTCGGGTATGCACATCTCTTCGGCAGAGAGAATGCCTCGGAGCTCGAGGAGACGTTCGTCTGGATAATCAAAATCGGACGGTGCACCGATGCGAGGGTACATCAGGCCGACGAACTTGCTGGCGTCGATCTCGGGGCCTGAGATATGAACAGTTAGAATAGACGCCTTTAATTAGACGGATCGGCGCGCACCTAAGTCGAGTACGTTCCCTCTGAAATTCTGCAAGAACTTCTTCTCGTCGAGCTTGATGACGCAGACATCCTTTGTATAACCATGAGTGGCAGAGACACCGACGGGAGGTGCCCAGACAACATGTCCAATGACCCGGTCCCTCGGGTTTGTCCACTGTTTCTTCACCTTCACGAAGAACTTCTTCAGCTCCTTGATCGCCGTCGGTGTCTCGCTCAGCTCGTGTTGAGTTTCCACCAGTTCGCGTGCCGCCTGCTCAGCATTAGGGCCACTGCCTTGGGACCTTGCCGTTAACACCGCAGCCCGCTTCTCTAAAACAGTAATCATGTTGTTCAGGAGACCGATATGGCCCTGGATGGATATGAGGAAGTTGGTAAAAGCTTTGGTACCCATGAGGACGACCTTCTTCTGAGGTCCGGCTTTGTAGGCATAGTCAAAATTGCGCTCATGTTCTCAGGGAAATGAACATACCGACATAGGAGTATGGAAAGTTGCCTTCATCTTCAGGGAACAGAACGTGGCGGGCCATGACGGCATAAAGAACTTTACCTGCTCTAAAGTAGAAGCCCATTGTTCCCTGGCTCTTGAGCGTCTTCAAGCCAGCAATAGGCAGGCCAAGTGCAGTAGTTACGGGATCGATAACAGCCTTGAGGGGATCAAGATCCGAGACAGGTGCGAACAGTTCGAGACCACTGAAGCCCCTGGCCACCGACTCACGGTATGCAACATCAATGTCAAAAATGTCATGCTCCTTGAGGAGATCGAGAATGTCATTGGAGGAGTGGAATGCCTTCTCGCCAGTGAGAGTATCGGGCAAAACTCCCACCCAAATTGTTACGGGAGTGGTAACAACTGTCCCGTACGGGGCGATCTTGATGTCAACATCCTTGATGTCCTCGTCAACTTTGTTGTCCTCGCTATCCTCGTCACCGTCGTCATTGTCATCCTTGTCATCCTTGTTCTCCTCTACCCAGCTGAAACGAACAAGGTCGACAGACGAATGCTGGATGTTTTGCTGGTCAAGGAGTTCAACAACCTTGGAACGAATGTCAGTCCGCGGATTGCTGCGCTTCGAGAAGGTCACGAACCTTAGACCGAATAGTAGCCCACAAATTGTCTTTACCAAGTTTGTGGTGCTCGTAGACTGGCAGAAGTCGCATGGGGCGACAATATGGTTCTGGCCCCGAGGGCACCGGGAAGATATCCTTGGATGTCCGGAAGATCAACTTGGGACCCCAGCGTCTGGGACCCCGGATACCGAGATAGTAAAGGTGGGCCTCGAGCTTAGAGACATCGTAGGGAGAGGAGTCGACTGAAGGAACGCCGGAGGAGGAGTCCGTCTCCCAGAGGTTGCTGCGTTCGGAGGAGTAGTCTACATCGCTGTCGTCGGATGGGGGGCCATTGCCAATCCACCTGGAGTACACGGCCGCCGCCGCCGCGCACTCCTTGTCGAACGCTGCTGAGTGGACATGACGCTCGAAGGTATCATCCCCTAGAAAAGGATGTGAATGGGTCAGTATAGAAGAAGACCAATAAAACGTAAAAAGAACTCGCTTGTGAGGGGTTCAGACATTGTGCCAAGAGAGTACTAGTTGACTGGGGAAGTATGCTGAGCACCTTGAGCGAGCTGAGCGAGCTGAGAGAGTGGCACTATGATGGCCCCCTGTTTTATAAAGGCTCCTTGCTTTACATAGTCTGTTGCGATCGGAAGCGCGTCGGCAGAGGGGGTCGGAACGCCTTTTTTGGAAGGGCCGGCATACTGTTGCATCTCAAGGGGCCTACAGCCGCGCCAAGCGCCACACCAACCGGTGCCACGATTAGATAGCTGATTAGATTCGCGCGTACAATACCTTCTCGACCTGCGGAGAGTTAGAGCAAGCTCAATAACAGCTGCCGGGAGAATATGAGTCGCGTAGCGGAGCGAAGCCTTCTCTTGGCCTTTACCCAACAGTTCACGAAGCGTTACAACAAGTTTGGGACTGAAATTACAGGTGCATTATGCGTTACGGTTTGTACCATTCGATCCGCCGCAGCACATGAAGGAGACGTGGCAGGCAGGATAGCGGAGCAGTCATAACGTGTTGAGCAATGTATAGTATATTTACCTGTAGGACATGAAATGAATCTAATGATCGTAAGCCAACGTCTACCATATCCACAAAAATATCCACAATGTATCGAGAACTCTACCGCTTCTTCCTATCCTCCTCCACCTCATCTGCTGACACTTCGATGACCGCAGGCATACCCGTGACGAACCCGCCCGCAGCCGCGTCCACGTCCCAGCCAGCCTTGCGTGTGTGCACGACGAAGGCCTCGAACTGGCCGTCCACGACGGCCTTGGCCCTGCACACCTCCTCGAGCAACCCCGCGACGTCAGTGACCGCGCGGCGCTCCTCCTGCGCGCGGCAGCTCGCGAGCTCGAACGCGTGCGCCCAGGCCTTCATCTGGTCGCGCGGGGTGTGGCCCGTCTTGAGGACGACGCGGAGGTGCGCGGCCGCGGCCGCCGGGTCGGCGTGTGGGTCGAACCAGAGCACGTACTTCTCGTCCACGAACGCCTGCAGCAGGCTCCCGACGAGCGTGCTCTCGGCCGCGCCGGCCCAGCGAGGACATTGGTGCCGGCGAGCTAAGAGGCCTTTCCGCGCATCGGGCGAGCATGGCAGGATGGACGCCAGCGGCGAGCCCATGTCGCAGTGGCCGATGACGCGGCGCGCGCCTGTGGACAGGTCAGTGTCGAAGAGTGTCGAGGGGTTGTGGAAGAGGTGTTCGTGCCGTGCGACTTCCCGTGGTACGAGACAACGGTGCTCGCCCTCGCTCCTGCGGAAAGCGCTCCAGAGGATACATGTCCGCTGGCGGTTGTAGGACTTAAAGACGACGGAGCGCACGGCGTAGTAGTTGATGTAGATGTGGAAGACGATGATGACCGCGAGCAGACCGCACGTCTGCGTTTGGGTCTGGATAAGAGGCATGATGATGGACCCGCACTAATAACAAGTTGAGCGGCAACACCCTCGTGAGACGCTGAAGGGTACTTACCAGCATTCCAACGAGCGCTAGGACGGTTTCTTTGCTGCCGTCCTTCGCACTGAGGTCACTGATATCGCCTGAGGCGGCCCCGTGGTCGGGTTGGGAAAAGTGCAGAGTTAGAGCTGCCTTGGACCCGGCTGCCGCAACGGCGCACATCGAACGGAAAATGCCGCTGAAGCAGAGCGCAATGCCACGCCACGGTCCCGGCCGGTGAACCAGAGTCGGCAGGAGGAACGGAGGGAATGCAAGCCACACGAAGTCTAGTGAAACATGTGAGAGTAATGGGGATAGCGTGTCAAGCACAAGCGGAATGTCGTTCCATATGTCCGCTAGGAAACGGTAGGTCTTCGCTTCTGGGAATAGCGCGGTCCCGAGGTAGTAGCCAGACAATATCGCTGTAGAGATTAGATCGTAAGCAAACTCCGTCAACCAGGCCGGGGCTCTACTGGCGTCGCTGAATGGCGGAGGGCACCCATGAGGCAATGCTATCTTAGCGTAAAATATCGAACGCTGCGGGTCTCCTGCATAAACTCAACATTCTAGAGACCTCTTCTTCCGCTTCCCAGCAACACTAGCAGAGACACTGGGTCGGACATAGAGAAAGACTCACCCGTAACACGGCTGAAGATGTCCTGCAATATAGTGAGCAGAAGAGCGTTTGTTGCGGATGCATCCGCGGAACCAACACCATGACCTGCGATAATGAGGCATTAGAGAGAGAGTATAACCAGCCGTATAGATTGAGTCACCTTCAAGCACAGCTCTTGCCGCAACTAGTCCACCCAATGAGCTGAAGAAGCCTTGCAGAGCGTTTAGAACCTGGTATCTGCGGGACGAGCAGAAGTCAGCAGGGCACTGGTGAATGGAGTAGATCCGTGCATCATGAGTCAGGCGAGAGATCAAGAATGGGAGATATCCCACGAAGATACAGGTCAAGGTAACATGCAAGACAAGATGTGGGAATTCAGCGACCTTGAAAACCTAAAACAAGCATATGTCGGCGTTCACGCGTGCATTCCGCCCGCTTGCGATCCGGACCACGAAGATAAGATTATGCACGCAAACTTCTGAACGTTTGGGCACCATAATGCTATACGCCGATATCGTTCGCCGGAGACAGAGATCATAATCGGCAAACAAGGGCCCATCCAACTGTGAACGGAGGAACGAGTATTAACGGCAGGCAGAGACATGCGCCAGCCCGTCATAGGAATGCCGTTAGCGCATGTTCTGGGGAGGGGACTGGACCAGGCGGGCCTGCGCGAGGTAGAAATCACCTCGATCGACAGGCGCCACCGGAGGAAATCGCGTGCCGCACAGACAGCTCGGGGTCGCGTCCAGAGACCACGCGGAATCCAAGCGTCGTAGGCGTTGCGCCCCGCAGAAAGTAGATCGAGGGTAGTCCGACGGAGGGCGACACCTCCCCGTCTGAGGGCCCTTCAATGTCAAAGCGACCACAGTAAAGCCGGTGTAAATCCGAGAATACTTTGCCTGTGTTCCACGGGAGGCACAGACGAGTCACAAGCGAAAGAAAATGCAACCTACCGAGTGTAGTCTAGAGGCCAGTCAGCTTGCAATCTTCGCTATACGTAATTAGGAGCAATCGTACCTCCAGACACGCTTGCTGGGTAACCAGCGGGCAAGAACATGCCTTGCAGGACCCTAGTAAATCCATGGATGATAGAGCTGCTTCCTCCGACAGATCTTATGCTCTGTTTGAGCAGCGTTCGCGTGAAGAAGGTCTGCTAGAGAGATGAGCGGGCTCACCACTACTTCCCTCGGAATTTTGTGATCATCAGCCTCGTGTACGTTGTAGACAGCGCGAAGGCTGCCTGACTCGTCCCGCTCCTGGATCATGGTGGGCAAAAGGTGAACAGGCAAAGGCGACAGCGATAGGCCTTTATAGGACGGGCCGAGGGGGATCGTCGATGACCATGCCTCGTCTAAGACGTAATAAAGTTCGGTGCGGTTCTAGACAGGCTCGCCGGTGACGAAACGAACTGCGGTGTCAGCGGTCACACTCGAGGCCCCGCGATCAACCACGTGCAAGCTGGCGGTACAACGGCACCGCGATCCCAAGTTCGGGGTCCCGCATAACTCTCGCACAGCGACCGCTGAGCATGGCCGATGCGTCTTTCAAAGACGTACCAGAAATATTCGAGGTCTGCCTCATCGTCTCCAGACGTGAACTATCGCTGAGTGTATATACCGCAGGTCGATCTGGGAGAGGCGGTGACCGCGCGAACGGAGGCCCTCTGTACGTGTTATACGCATTTCGAGCGCGAGAGATACTCGGGACCCTTGGCGAGCTGACCTTCCGCCGCACACCAGCCACATTCAGAGAACTTGGTCCTCCGGATCTCGTACATGTCGTGAAGAGCGCAGGGCGCAGTGGGCACCGCGACGTTCGTCGACTTTCAGTTATACTTGACGCAAAGCTCATAAACAAGCCGAACAGCTCGGGTCATATCACTACGTCTCCGGCGTGGACGCGTCTTCCTCTGCGTCGCTAGCAGCCTACATCAACTCTTTGACGTATGCTATCGAGGATGACGCGGGTTGGTTCACCAAGGGCAGTGGGTGGAAGGTTCGCAACGGGTGCTACTGGTGCGCGTACTATGAACATCTACTGTGATGGCACGTCATAACACGGCTGCTCCAGCTGCTTCAATGCCTTCTCAAGAGTCGATGTCCGAGTTGACGTGAAAATTCCCGGAGGAGTGCACGCGTATGTCGTCGACTTGCGAGGCGAAAGGTGCGTTGCACTTGCCAAGGACTGGTGCGAGTTTGTCTCGATTAACGTGTATATACAGACACGAAGCGACCCCAGAGATCTGGCAAGAGACTTATCTGTCTGCATTACTCCGTGCTGTCCTCTACTCCGACGACCCCGCCTACTGGCTCGAAGCGTATCGCAAACTTGACCCAATAACGACACCTGAGAGCGAACTACGCTTTCTGCAAGCCGCCGAGTCTCTGTTCCAGAAGGGCTGGCAAGTCGGATCGGACCCCGAGGTACAGGTCGCTACTGTCGTCTCGAATCACCTCACGAACGCAGTCATGAAACACTTTGGAGACAGCGGCAGGTTCCAGCATGCAGCAAACCTCTTCGAGAAGCTGAGTGCGAGGGAGCCTGACGTATCGTCGTTGCTAGCCAAGGCCTATATCGGGATGAGTGCGCATCCTGCTCTTCTGCCCGTCTTGGCTTATCGCTAATTTACACTGTTCTAGACGAGGAAGTCAAAGCGGTGCAAATCATGTCCGCTGCAATGCGGCAGACACCGCAGTCATATACTTTACTCCATGTGCAGTGCGACTTTCTCAGATCAAAGGGCAACTATGAATGGGCGCTCAAATTAGCTCGACAAGCCGTCAACTGCGCACCGAGCGAGTTCGTTACGTGGGAGAAGCTCACCGAGATTTACATCGACCTTACGATGTACGATTCGGTATGTGCGCCAGACAACGCATCTTACGGCACACTCAAGATAGAAATAGGCTTTGTTAACGTTAAATTCGTGTCCTATGTTCACGTACAACGGCCGAGATGCCCATCGTAATCTTCCTGCTGCCCGAGTACATCTCCCACCTAAAGGTCAAATCGTCGACATCCTTCCGGAGCGGGTAAAGACCGAAGATGACGAGGTAAATACACAAGGTACCTGGAGCTCTTCTTGTGAATAACGTCTGAAGTAGGCCGATCCTGCGCTGCTCCGCCTACCCGCACCTGGTCTGCGAGGCACCTGGGCTAGAGCCTACGCGCTGCTCACCCGGCTCGTGTCCAAGATCGGCTGGGACGAGCTGCTCAAGACGCGAAGCCTCGTCTTCGTCATGGAGGAAGAATACCGCCAGCAGAAGGCGCACTCGGAGGGACAGCCCAGCACGTCTTCCACGGCCGTGCACGACGAGGGTTCGGTGGTGCCGGACAGCGCGACGAAGGACGCCGACGACAACGCGTCGACACGCGGCGTGCGCTCGACGAACGGCACGCCGGCCCAATCCCCGAAGGACTCGGGGTCCAATGGCGGCGCCGTGGCGGACGCAGCGGACGCGGATGACACCACGAATGGCATCCCGACGATCCGGCTCTCGACCGAAAGCAGCCGCACGAAGGCGTCAGACGCAGAGCACACGAACGGCGTGACGCAGGTTGGGCAGGGCGAGGCGGAGGCCCTCGAGCGGCCGGTGCAGGCTGCGGCGGGCGAAGGATCCCAGGATGACGCGAAGGCTGTGGCGGGCGCGACGCCGTCGGAAGCGTTCAGCTTCAGCAATAAGCGCCTCTGCGAGCGCTGGCTCGACAACCTGTTCATGGTTCTGTACGAGGTGAGTAGGACTTTGCGCTCGGCTGCGCTCGTGGCCTGAACGCATCGCAGGACCTGCGGGTGTGGACCATCTTCCGTGCGGAGGTGGCACACTTCAAAACGCAGCACGTCGCTTACCGCAAGACGGGCATGGAGTGGGAGATTCTCGGCGACCTCGGCGTGCGTCTTCATCACAAAGAGGAGGCGAAGGAGGCGTATCAGCGCTGCCTGGATGGCAATCGGTACTCTGCCAAGCCGTGGTTGAAGCTCTTGGACATGTACGCAGAAGAAGGCGATATCCTCCGCACCCTGCAGGTCGGCATCCGGGTCGCTGCCTATCAGTACGGCGATTACACAGAGATGACGGTGGGTGTTCCCAGACAGAAAGTTCGTCTGAGCGATAGCTGATGGCGCGTTTCCGCTAGTACCCTACGCAGATCGCACGCTGCCTGTTCAAGCTCGGGCAGATCCACGGGCATGCCAAGATCGAATACACACTGCTCAGTATGAGCCTCCCCGAAGCGGTCTTGAAGATCATGCAGAGCTTCTTGCACTACGGAAAAGTATTCAAGGTGGAAGGATACGACTTTTGAAGCCCCGAACCGACCACCTCTTCCCTTCCTCTTTTTCCCGTTCTTCTGGTCAGTAATCAGTAGGTAGACACCGTATTCCACCCCGCCCTCTGTAATGCTATTGTTGTTCCCGAGTGGTCCCTAGCCTTTCTTCTCCGTTCCCCTTTGCTTTCAGCTACACTGCTTTGTAGTCCGTGCAATGGGATCTGTTTGAGGAGACCCCGAGATCTAGCGCGAGATCCGAGTATGCCGTTACGTAGGGGTCGGGCGCGCAGGACCGAGTTCCTTTCATCCCGAACGACCATGTCTGCCTCTCCGCCATTACGCCGCCTGTCCTCCGCGAGCACAAGCAGTAAGGAATCGCTCATCAATGCCTACGAGGCTGAGGAGGAGCGCATCATCAACGTCCTCTCGCGCAAGCTTGAGAAGGTCCGTGCTGCACGTTACGCCTCGCGAGAGCGCGCATGTGTCCCGCCCGCCACTGACCCACCGTAGCTCAGGGAGGAAAAGATTGAGCTCGAGAACGCACTCGAGGCTGAGTCGGAGAGCCATGTGAACCGGCTCTCGCGCGAGATCTCGGCGCTGCGACTCGCGCAGCAGCAGGCCGTGAACGGGAGCGGGACGTTGTCCCCTGTCGAGACCCGCATGCCGGCCGCCCTCGCTGCGGACCCACTCCAGCCGTCGACGGAGATGGTGCTGGATGCCATGCGGAGGGAGAACGAACAGCTCAGGAATAGGCTCATTGAGACAGAGAGGGATTACATCCGGTTGACGAGGTTGAATGAGATTTATAGGGAGGAGCTCATCGAACATCGGCGGAAGGTGCGTCTCGTGCCGTGCTCCCGCTCTGTGTATGCGGTCCTACGACAGCGGGCTCTGCTTTGGCTGTCACTCGCCAGCTAGTGAATGTGCTGACCTTGCTCTTAGGCTGGACTGCCGGTCGATGATCTCATAGGACTCGCGCCCTCCACTGTGGACCCTTTGTCACAACCCCTGCACCGCCGACCTTCGATATCGTCTTGGGCCTCTCCTAATTATACTCCTCAGTCCCCTGTCATACATTCCGCAAGGGTCCCAATCCCTCGACTGCCCTCGCAAGTACACCGTCCGTCACATGCAACGATCAGTCCGTCGACGACACCCCCGTCCTCTTCTTCCGCATCCTTGTCGTCTCTTCCCATGTTCTCCCCGACAGCGGGACAAAGCAGCGCTACGAGTGCTACAACACCCGGCTCGCTCGGCTCGTTCACCGGCAGACCCGCCACACTCGTGCCGCGCGCCATGGAGTTGACCTACCCGTCCGTGCCGCCGCCCTCCGTGGCGTCATCGTTCGGCGAGCCACCATCGATAGGCAGCCCCGTGCGCTCGCTGACGCTGGACACCATCACGGAACCCGTGGCGATCCCCCGTGCGGCGCAGCAGCAGCGGCACGAGCGAGACGTGTCAAGCGGCGCTCTCGCAGACTCGTTCAGCACGACGTCCCCGCGCCGGCCGTCGCTCAGCCCGCGCGCGTCGATGTACCTCGCGCGTCGTCCGAGCGCAGACCGCGTGCCCTGGACAGGCGACGGCAGCGGGCTCGGCAGCCCGGTGCGGACGAGGAGCCGGATGGCTAGCCTGGAGAGGGGCGCGAGGGTAGCTGAGACGGGGACGTTGGTCCCGAGGACGAGGCGCGAGAACCTCGTCGGTGGTGCGCACGCCGACACTGCCTTGGGTGGGACTTCTGAGCAAACTTCCACTGTTGCGGTGGGGTCGACATGACGACTGGGCTGGTAAATGGAGGTGATGCCGGTTATGAGCTGCTACCTTCACTTCTCCAAAGCGCAAGCTATTATCGGGCAAATTCAAAACCATACAAATGGACGCTCGATGTTCTAGTATACCTCTAGTATATTTTCCGTGTAGGATTAATCATGTACGGCTATGACTGAGATATTGAGCTCGTGACGCCATCTTCGGGATGCTGCGTGCGCATCAAATGGCGCATCAGGCGCATTGCAACGCGCATCAAGATTTGAGTATTCGGATTGGCTGCAAGCCTGTTGAACTTGCCACCTTTTTGCTTGTTCTCCCAGATATCTTTTACCGTCGCGCCCGCTGTTCCTCTCTCGCTACTGAACGGCGTGCTCTCTGGTCGCAAGCTCTTGGTGAGACCGTCGTTGCATCCCCGCAATGTTCGAGAAGAGCGGCAGGCACCGTCATGGCCGCGACCGCTTGGCGAAGCCCGCCATGTACGACCCCGCGGACACCGAATGGGGTATCCTTAGCCCTCGGCCGCTGAACCGCTGGACGAAACGACGGCCCACAAAACGCATGCTCGTGCTGTTCGTGTGCATATTCGTTGCGTGTGTGTACGGCGTGCGCGTCTGGAGGGAACGTCAGTACCTCGAGGAGCAGCGGGTGCTTGCAGAGCAGAGGCAGCAGGGGCAGATGAGGCACCAAGAGACGAAGCAGAAGGCGGAACAGCACAAAGAGGAGAACGTAGAAAAGCCGAAAGCGGAGAGTCATTGGGATGAATGGCCAAATCCACCGCTGTTTGGCAAGTACCACCGGGCAGAGCTTGCCCTGCCACAGCACCATGTCGCCGATCCTTTTGCGAATGGCAAAAAGTACTTATGGGTAGAGAACCATGTACACGGTGAGCACTGGACGTTTTCTCACCACCTGCATGGTCGCGTGCCCAGTCCCGGCCTGCGAGTCCGTTCGCTTCGTGCGATGCGTCGAGAGCAATTATGCATGCTGACATCGGAAAACTAGGCCTCGGATGGGGCAACTATATGCAAGATTTGGTCTTTAATGCTCAACTGGCATATCGCACAGGTAGAGCGTACGTCCCGACATCTTGAACCGCGCCTACTTGGTGCTGATACATAATCTTGTTCAGCTTCGTCTTTGACAACTATACGTGGAATCGGGATGGTTCAGAATACACGGATTACAATGGGAAGCTGATACCCTCACAGATCCCTCTGTCGGCTCTAATTTCAAGTAAGTCTGTTCACTCTCTCCTTGTGGTTTGTTCTGATGCTGGCACGGCTCGTAGGTCCACTTAATGGCGGACCATTCTTTGAAAATGACACAAAACTGCGGGCTATTCAACGAGAATATTGGCACAAAATCTGCCCCGAGCCTGTCATGGTCTCGACCTACGATGTCAAGAAGCTCTACTCCGAATCTGAGCCAACTGCCCTCACGATTTTAGAGACGTGGGCAGATCATCTCAGCAAGATTGACGAGCCGTGCCTAGCGATTGACGGATATACCGAGCGTATTTTCGACATGTAGTATGTGCTAGAACTGTTGACAATTTGTGAACCTACGCTGACTCCATCCTCTAGCTTGTACGGCCAAAAAGGGCGTCTCCTGGATATCTGGCCGGTTCTCTCGGAATCGCCCATTGTAAAGCTCTACGGCTACTCCCCACTCATTCACTCCGCCTTTGACGTCAATCGGGATCTATTCACGACGATCCCGATACAGGAGCCCTACTTCCCTTGCTCAGCAGCTCCTGGCGAATCCACCAAGGATGCTCTACAGCCACAACCACTTGCACGATGCTCCGATCCCTACCAGCCTATTCCTGGCCTTCTCGCTCTGCACTTACGCCGAGGCGACTTTGTTGATCACTGCCAGCATCTTGCCCGCTGGTCTTCGGCATGGATGGGCTTCAATTCCTTCCCATCTTTCCCGGACCAGTGGGTGAAACCCGAGGGCGGTGGTTGGGGCGAGACGACCGAAGAGAACATGGCTCTGTACTTGAAGCGCTGCTACCCGACCATCGAGCAGATTGTCAAGCGTGTAGACGAAATCAGACAGCATCCAACATCAAAAGGCCTGAAGGATGTGTACATCATGACGAACGGCAAGCCGGATTGGGTGAATGAGCTCAAAGCGGCGCTTAGAGACATGGGCGGGTGGGACAAGATTGCGAGTAGCAGGGACATGACGATCAATGCGGAGCAAAAGGAGGTGGCGCAGGCAGTAGACATGATGATTGGCGAACGGGCACAGGTGCTCGTCGGCAATGGGGTGAGTGGGCTACTCGCTCATGACTGTGACTGTTGTGCTAAATGCCATCCTGTAGTGGTCGAGTATGACATCTAACATCGTCATGATGCGTATGGTCAGAGGGATTCTCCCAGAGACGAACCGTTTCTTGTAACTGCGGGCAGCGATCTGCGTTCTTGTTTTGGTTCATCACTATTCTCCCGGAGCATCGCATATTTCGGTATTTACGGCTAATCATATGTCATCTAATACTAGGTCTCCGTGCACTGTACGAGTGCCTCATCCAGAGCTCCCCATCGTCTTGCAATGCCGGCAGTGGCTAGCGTACGTGCACCTCCTAGACCGGCTTGTACACCCCATTTCTTCTCATTCTCCTACGAACGGGATTGCAATACATGCTTCCCAAGGCGTGCGTCTAATGAAGTTTTCCATTCTTGACCCTCGTGTCCTAGGATACGGGCGGTCTGTCCATCGCCCGTCTTACCGTTTGTTGCCCCACTGATTCCATGCTTAGGGTTGCTACTGCGGACCGAAGGCGTTAACAATCTCACGTTGAGCAAGAGCTTTGGGTTTCACTCGCGCGAGCCGCCAAAGGGCTCCCACTCTCGTCGAGGCCCCGTTGCGACACTGCCTCCCTTTCCCCACTTTATTCCTCCTTGACTTGTGCTCCTCTCGCGATAAATTGTTCTCGTACGTCAAATCGCCGCATCTATCGCAGATACACGATGACTTATCACTTTTCACATTGTATCCTGCAGGCGTCCCCCATACGGCATGTCAAGGCTTGTTACCCTGGCAGTGCTAGCGGCTGCCGCGACTACCGTGAGTGGGTCTCTATACTTAGTTTACAGGTAACATACATCTATTTGCTCCAAGACCTACATGTATATCCGTGCCCAGTGGCGGCGAAGATCAGAGGACGATATAGCACTGTTTGATACTAGCAGCAAGAGCGCAGTGCGTCTCAATCTCGCTTATGTCCAGTTCACCACTGATGACAGCAGAAGGCGCAACAAGGGAGCCATTCCATAACGCGTGACGAAAGCTGCCCTTGGACAGACTCTAGTTCAGTTGTACGTTTTGACGTCGCAGACTCAGCACACGAGCGTCATCCTGACAAGCACGACATTACTAGCATTATCGAGAAGGAGAAAACAATGCAAGCACCCGCACAGATGAGTTACCGCCCCAGATATTTAGCGCCTCCATGGTCTCCGAAAGCGTGAGTCAAGGGTGGAAGATGATACGCGCCGATGCTGACGATGATTGATGGCGTAGCTCGTCGACCAGGCTGAGCAGGAAGACAGCAACCAGGTGAGCACACTCAAAGGAACATAGTCTCATACGCAGACTCAGACGACGATGATTTAGGCTTCAGTTCCTGAGATCTCGAAGAAGGGACGCAGATGCTTTCAGCTGAATGGCCTGCCTGCCGAACTTTGGTGTGAAAATGCCCCTTGGGAAATAGGCAACGGCGGAAGGATCGTATTACCAAGATTCGTTCAGCAGAGGACCGTCGTAGCAGAGGACTCTCCCACTCTCCAGGAGCGGAATCGCATGAATGTATGGGGCGCAGTCAAGCTCGCTGAATCTGGCGTCGTCCCTGAGGAAGTTCTCTTCAGCTCCTCAGGCTCAGGCCGCTGCTTCACCCTCCTACCCCCCACTCGCTCTCCCGTCCCTCTCCAGCATATTCATATAGGCCCCGGCGCTATCCCGGACGCTTTGGCAGATGTCCCATGCGCCAACATGTCCCTTGACGAGGTCCTTTGCCAGCTCAACGACGTGCTGGGGACGAACTACACGCTTAGCGACCCAGGCGTCCAGGGCTGCCTGGAACACGTGCTCAGAACATCACGCGACTTCGGCGTGGTATATGGAACCCTACGTCCCTGGTGGGGCGCCGATGATTTCCTTCAAGTACTGCTTCAGATGGCTGCGCGCAAGGATGAGCTGGAGAGCCTGCGAAACGAGGCTATACGAGGAGCATGCATACAAACTTCGAAGATACCTCCTCGACGCGTATGGGATTTGTACAGCAATCGGGTCCTGCCATTCCATACTCTACCACGTACACCTCAAGCCCGCGATGCCGGCACTATCCCACCTGAGGTCTGGCTCGTCTCACATAGCTGGGTGAACATAACCGCACGAACGAACATCTGGACGAACATCAATGGGCGTGAATCTCCGGTCGTAATGCCTCTAGCGGCAACTCTAGGGCATGTTCGCATCGAGCTGTTGAACATGGGGGCCCAGTACGTCTGGCTTGACATTCTCTGCCTCACGTCGATAGCTGGAAGTGGGGAGGACGAAAGATACGTACCCGACGAATGGCGGATCGACGTTCCTTCTATTGGATACATTTTTCGATCCAATCCAAGGCCGTGCATCACCTATTTCAACGGCCTTGGATTACCTCTCGATATATCGCATATCGCCCTTGCATCCCGTTACCACTGGCTGAACAGAGCATGGACCCTGCAGGAGTCTACGGAAAGCTGGTTGCCTGGTGGGCTAATCGCAGGCCTCGATCCTTCGATCGCCGGTTTGCTGTTTGCTCGGCTGAAGAGCGTTCTCAGGAGCGCATATCGGCCGAGAGAACAAGCCGCTCTCATAGAGGACCTCAAATCCCGCTTCTGCTCCACCGAACTCGACAGGATCGCTTGCCTTGCATATATCCTTGGGTGTCCCACCCTGCCCGCGCTCACCGAAGACCCTAGCCACAATACTACGGCCGAAGTCACCTGGTCCATATATATTAAGCACATGCCTCCAGCCGCCCGCACATCCATCTTCCTCCAATACGAATCGCACGAGCCTTTCGGTCTCTGGGCCACCTGGGAAGAGTACGGCTCTGGGCCGACGCTCCCGAGTGCATTCCCCTTCGACGAGGAGACTTTGCAGCTTTCCCATCCATCTCAGCTCTATGTATCCTGCCCTGGAGAGTACTACCAGAAGGGACATGCCGTTGGGCCCTGTGTCATCTCGCAGGATTTGTGCGACGCGAGCAGTGATGGTACGCAAGACGTTCAACTCCACTTCCACAGCCAAACACCAGCTGTCTCAGCCAGGATTTGCGGGATGCATGGAGTGATTATGCCCGAAGTACCCTATGTCCTGCTAGGTGTCGGTCAGAGGTGGAAGGAACATTGGGTTGTCCTGGAGGTAGTCGGCGAGCGGGACGTAGAAGGCGTACCGATGGCCGAGGTAATCAAGTGGGGCGTGGTTCGCACTCGAAAGGAAGAGGGCGACAGGCTAGAGGCGCTGGTATCCGGTCGTCCGAGAACTTCAGTAATCTATCTCAACTCCGAGAAGAGTTTGGCACGAACCAAGTATAAAGGTCACTACATGTGGGTAAGTCGCGGACGCTTGCGTGTCAAATAACCTGTCAAATGACACGCCCTTGCTTGAACTAGGGTTTTGATCGAGCACGCAAGGCGGAGGTCGGTGACGGATCCACGCTCTCGTTGAAGCAGATACTCATGTTGTTATTTAGGCGAAGAAGAGACGTTTTCAGCTGGAGGGGACTTATGTCAGCTCATTATGTGAAGACGCCCCGTGGGCCCTGACCAAGGCATACGGCAAGAATACCCCCATTCCTCCATCCGTCGAGCAGCGCATCACATCGGGTGAAGGGCACCCCGTGGACCAGATCGCCGCCAGGAATCGTCTCATGCTTTGGGGCCAAGTCAAGTTAGCCACTACTGCATTAACGGCTGCATCCGAACGGGATCTCTTCAAGTCGTCTGGCCCAGGACGACGCTTCACCCTGATGCCGTCCGACATCCCTATGCAGCGTATTCATGTCGGTAATGGGGTTGTCACGAACGATTGGGCCGACATTTCGTGTAAGACTTTGGGCGTGGAAGAACTACTCGATCATTTGAACGAAGCTATGGAGACACATCATACGCTGACAATGCCTGGCCTCAAAGATTGCCTCGTCCACTTCCTGCACACATCACGCGATTTGGGAGAAGTATATGGCATTCTTCGCCCCCACTGGTCTCAGGATTTTCGCGAACTCTTGAATGTAATGGGTCGACTCGAACGCGATCTAGAGAATCTCCGAGGTCGGACTCTGCAGAATTCCTACATCAACAACTATAGGGTTCCCCCTCGGCGAGTATGGGACCTTCGAAGCAACAGGGTCCTTCCTTTCCACTGTCTACCGCGCACGAGCGATGATCTCAGATCCATTCCATCCAATATTTGGTCCATCTCGCACAGCTGGGTCGACGGAACGGAGATCCAACAGGTGTGGACAAGTATCAATAGGATGCTGTGGCCCGTCCCCATCCCGCGTGGCACCAGTCTCGACCACCTCCGAGCGGAACTCCTGAACATGGGTGCGGAATACGTCTGGCTCGACGTTCTCTGCTTGCGTCAGTGGTCAGACAATCCGGAGTCAGAGGCGGCGAGGAAGGAGGAGTGGAAGCTGGATGTGCCGACTATCGGGTACATCTACCACGAGTCGCCGTACAGGCCGTGTATCATCTACTTCAACGGGCTTGGGCTGGCCCTGAAGACCTCCAGCGCCACCGTTCAGTCTCCTCGCCACTGGTTCAGCCGCGCATGGACGATGCAGGAGTGCGTTTCCACTTGGCTACCCGGAGGCCTTACAGGCGAACCGCTCGCTGGCGGCAAGGGGTTCTTCACGCGAGTGGAAGCCGTCCTACGCAGCCTTACGGACACGAACGAGCGCATCCTCTTGGTTGAGGACATGAGGGATCGCTACGCCTCCAAGGAGCTCGACAAGATTGCGGGCCTTGGATACCTGCTCAAGTGCGAGACCTTCCCGATATACGAGGTGAAGGAGGAGTACTCTGGCCAAGATCTGGAGAACGCTTGGGTCTTGCTCATCAAGCACATGCACCCAAGACCGCGCACCCTCATCTTCCTCTTGCAGTCGTCCGACACGCCTTTCAGCCTATGGGTCTCCTGGGAGAAGTTCTCCACTAATGACCCTTGGAGCGCGCATCCCGGCGACGACGGGGAGGATTTGCTCCTGCTGGACTCGGAAAGTCAGCTCGGAACACCACGACCGGGGGAGTACTACCACGCCGGCTACGCCGTGGGCCCTTGTCGCATCCAAGGCGTAGATTCCCGCGACAGGCGCAGCACGGACCGCCAGGCGATTGAACTCCATTTCGACGGCCAGCACGAGCCCGTCCGAGTCGACATCACCGTCAGACTGGGGATCGTCCTGCCAGATGTGGAGTACACGCTTATTGGCGTTGGGAATCCCTGGAGGGAACACTGGGTCGTCATCGAGGCGGTAGGGGCGCGGGATATTGGGGGTCTGCCTGCGGTCGAAGCGGTGAAGTGGGCCGTCCTCCGTCTGGACAAAGACTCGGTTAGTGCGGTAGAGAAGCTGAGCCTGGGGCAACCTAGGACTCGGGTGGTATACCTCTCGGGTGAAGTCGCTCAGGGCAAGAGCAAGCACCTGGACAAATACCTGGCAGCGTTCGAACAATCTTAGAGGTTCCTATGCGTGCTGCGTATGTAACTTGAAAGGTCTCAACATCTATGCTGTGTTAGGTACCTATACCGTGTCAGGTATTCCTTCAGCATATCATAAACTCATTGTGTACTTCATTCAAATTCAAGGGCTTGATCCGCATCTAAGGAATTATAATACACTGCCGCACTAAAAACCAAGATATCAAACAAAACGCGAAAATTGGACGAATCAACTAGCGCGTGGTATGTGTCCTAGGAGGGGTATAGTATAGACAACGGGAGTGTCCAAAAGCAAACGAGACGAGTGAGCGATACAGCATGTGGGTGTTGTGCGGCCATAAAGGCGTTGGAGTGTGAACAATGTACAGTGGTGAATGCGGGCGTGGCAGGGCATGAGGGCGGCGTATAAGACATGGGCGTGGCGGCAGCGTGGCGGCGCACGAGCAATTTTTGCGTGCGGTGCGAGCAAGGTCGCCGTGTCGTTTTCGGTCAGTTCAGTTGATGTAACTGAGTCGAGCAGACGGCGTGTAAGCTTCGCCTGTGCAGGCGCATACAAGTTATGATAGTAACTTTGCCTTGCGGAGATGTTCCCGCATCACCATATCGCGCACTGTGCAACAGGTCAGCCACCTGTCGTTGCAGGGCGAAGTGAAATACGCACCACTCGCCAAGATTCCGCTCGTTGTTGTTGTGTCCTACACGAATATAAGCTAGAACAGACAAGTACAAATCAAACGACACACCGTTACGGAGGTAAAGTAGCCGTGGAACTTGCGCGGCTGTGGCGAGTGCTCGCGATGGATGAAGCTAAACTTGCTGCGGAAAACTAGCATGCAGCTTCAGCAGCGCGATCGTCCATCAGCACCGTACGCCGCACTCACACTTTTGCGCACTGTCTAGGTCGTTTGGCCGATCGCCGAAGCTGCGCAGGTACTTCGCAAGGCGGATCCCCGAGCGTAGCTTCGTATCGAGGATGTCGCACTTGTTCATGAACAAGATCAACTCAACTTTTTCGAGTAGCTTGTTCGAGCAGACGGCCTTCCACAAAAGCACAGAGTCTTCCTGTGGGTAGGTCAGCGGCGGCTCAGGAAGGGCGAGAGAGAAGACGGACTAGTCGGTTGACGCTTTTGTCCTCGACAAGCGTCTGGTCAAAGGCTGATATCGGAGCAAGGAAGATTATAGCTGTGACGGCATGTTAGCGAACGCGCATCAAGCTTGTGCGGTAGCACCAACCATCAACTAAGGCAAATATTAGTAACGGACAAGAGGTGAAGGACCGTGAAAGACGCACCATCGTCAAAGAAAGGTACCCAAGTCGCTGGCAATCACGTAGGGTCAGCTTCGCGACACAAAATGCAAGTCATCGCAGGCACTTACGTCGCTGTCGATGTTTATGTTAGCGGTAGAACTGTAGAAAGATGGGTGCGACCAACCTGTGATCGTGAACCGCCGACATCGATTATCCGCCACTCGGTCCCGCTCTCGAACCCTGATTCCATCTCGAACTTGTACTCACACACGCCTATCGTCTTGAGCCTTGCCTTGAAGACGTCATCTGCTCTGGCGTCAGCAAGGTGCGAGGATCAGGAAGAGAATCGCTGACGTACCATCTGACGGGCAATAATGCAACGACGTCAGCCGGTCAAGATCGTTCAAAAAGCTGCATGATACACGTCAGATCAACGTCGCGCGCGCGAGAGAGAACAGCGAAAGTACTGACAACCCCGGCGACTCTTCGAGCCGCATCTTGCGCGTGCGCAGGACGTCCCGCACCATGCGGTCGTTCCACAGCGCGATCATGTCGTCCTTGCACTGGTGGAGCGCGACCTGGCTCTCGTCCTGCGTCTCCTGGCCCGTCGTGCCCGCCGAGAGCGGCCGGCCGAAGCGCGCCTTGCCGATCATGCTCCCCTTCCACGTCGCGCCCGGGCGCACGAAGATCTCGTGGTGGTGGTGTCGGTGCAGCGTGCAGCCGCCCGCGTCGCAGCCGCTGCTGCCGTGGCACACGCCGAGGTGCGTCGCCTCCTCCTCGTTCGGCGGCACGAGCTTCGCGACGAGCAGCGACTCGATGTGGCGCAGCGGCAGCAGGCGCATGCAGATCGTCTCGAGGTGCATCGGCAGCCGCGCCCGCTCGTCGGACTCGTTGTCTGAGTCTTCGGACGCCGAGGACACGGGCAGCTCGCGCCGCCGCACGTCAGAGATGGCGTCGATGATAAGGCGGATAGAGCGGACGACGTTGAGCTGGATGACGGATCGCCATAGGACGCGTTCTTCGCGGAAAGCGGAGGGCGTGTACAGTCGCTGAAATTCTGGGTGATAATGTCAGTAACGACGTCACAGGAGCAAGAGAAGGTAAGCCAAGGAACACAAGGGAGTCCGCCCCATTTCCCGTACAAGGCCGCATTCGTTCGACTCGCTGGGCAGTCCAAACGTGTCTGGGCCAAGAGGAGAGAAATATGATGCCGATAACCCCGCGCAAAGCGGTTGCAGACTGCCAAGGAGATGCCTGAACGTTTGATCTCCGAAAACGACGGCCCTGACGCGTGTCTGACGCGTAGGCGCAGCAGCGTCTGTGCAGTAGGTGAGACGCGTGCGCATAGAGTCGAGAGAGGTGATCGGGTGACGCTGGTAAGCACCGGCTTCTAGCCGGAAACGCGATCGCGCCTCCAGTGAGGCGACATCGTCGGTCGTACGCGTCAACACGTATCTCTTGCCAGAGCGGCTACCAGTGTACTGCATGACCTCGCAGACAGGACCGCGCCGACGCGACGGCGTAAAACGCAGAAGAAGTGGCTCGCCGTCGCGTATCGCTGCCCGTAACGTTCACTTGCAGGCGGAACGCAGCATACGCAGGACGCCGCATTCCGGTCTGCGAGAGCGCTACTATGCGGGACGGGTAGCTGATAGCGATAGCGCACGAGACATACGCCGCGGGAGGCTGACATGCAGCTGTTTGAATGCAGTTCGCCCTGCAGTGATTTTTCCACGCGTATGACGAAATGTGAGCTGGCCTATCTCGGATGCCCATGTCACAGGCGGTCCTTGCCGGAGTGATTGAAGCGTCGGTAGAATTGGGTAAATTGCGCGTGTGTGCAAGTCCCAGGGCCAGGACGGAAGGCCGAGGCGGCTCCCTTGAATTCCGAAGGCTCACATGCGCAATGAAACATGTACTTACGACGGAGTGTCGTGGATTTGCCTGTGTGCAAAGTGAAGATGTGAGCTTCGGGCGCGAACGAACGGACCCGTCGAGGCGTGCACTCGTCGCCGGCAAAAGTAAGACAGGAAAAGGGCCTCGAGACAGGTACAGCGGCGTGGTGGCGTCGCTTCCGGCTCCTGGCGGGCGACGACGGGTTCTGTAGAGAAAAGAGCAACGCACCACTCTCGCTCTGGCCGAGAAGCAGGAGCTTGACGATATGCTTCTTCTTCCTGAGTGCACGTTCGCGTTTGATGTCCTCGTCTATGGCGGTACTGATCCTGCGGGCCTCTGCCTCCTGGGCGAGGCGTTTCACCTTGTCCTCGGGGCTCTCGTCGGTCGGCGGACGGAGGACGGCGTCGAGCGGATCTGGGGGGTCGCGTGCGGGCATTGGACGGGGGTTAGCAGCGTGCGGGGAGGAGGAGGAGGCGGAGGAGGCGGAGGGACATGCAGGGGGAGGCGAGTGCGGAGAGCGAAATGGAGGCCATGGTCGACAGACGTTACATATCAATCCCTCAGGCTCTGGCTCCGGCAAATCGCAGCCAACACGCGTCTCTTGCAAATGCGCTCAGCCCAATCTCAGATGCGGGCCTTGTCTTCCCTCGGATGCGATGCGCGACGTCCGCCAGGGCCACGTCCGGCGACCAAGCTGTCCACGTCCGCCGCTGCATGCAGCTACCCGCGGCGGCTCCCACAGACTCTGTCCTTGGACGTCGGCCGTGTTGGAGACGACGCTCGGGACAGCCTGGCGGGCTGTGAGAACGACGAGGGCCAAAAGCGTGCGGGTGATAGGGTTCCGTGCTGAACTGGGACCCTGTTCCTGATCAGCTCAGGTGTGTGCCTCAGTGCACGGCTCAGCGCCTCCCCTCCGAGGAATACACGACCTCTCCGGCCCTCTCAAATCGCCCTGACTCGACGGAATCTCCACGGATTGCGCGATGAAAAACGAAAAGATCAAGAGGCTCCCGCAGACGGCCGTGACATAACCTCGTCTCCCAAGTACGCTGCCGGCAGCGGCAGCCCAACGCTCGAGGCATCCTGGCCTCCTGCCCGACCACATGCGCACACGTCCTCCCAGCAACCCAACCACGCCTGTCAAGCTGCAGATGACATCAAATGTGCGTTGCCGTACGCAGCATGCGGTCTGCGGCTCTGGCTCTCTACGCAGGCACCTACGTATCCGGCAGCCTGGTGGGACTGCAGCGGCAGCGTCTAGTGGGCCTGAGGCTCTGGGCGCGTGTGCCGCCGGGAGCCTCGCGCAGACAACCGCCACGGCATACCAAGGGGAGGCCTTCGGTGCCTAGCTACAGGCACGCAGGCCAGACGCGGAAGCACCGCAAACACAACGAGGCAGCGGTTCGCAGATGCTAATCGCCAAGGCACGCAAGGCCTGAGGCACGCCACGAGCCCTTGAGGGTTCCCCGTCAGACTCGGGGGCGACATCTCGCACGCGCCTCCAGCGCGTCCCACTGACATTCGTGCAGCCGCTCGCGTCCACCGTGACCGGCCCCTGCTGGCTGAACTGCGGCCATATCGAGGACTCCCCCCTGCGCCTGCGCAGCCCCGTGTCCGCACATCGGCCATGCATGCAAGCGCGCCGCCAATTTGTCCAGGCCAAACGGCCAGTGAGCAGTGAGCACCCTTGATGTGTGTCTGCCTGCCCTTTGGCCCCGCGGACAAGCGTGCCACGGTACTTTGCGTGATATAGTACCGCACGGTTCCGTGCACGGCGAGAAGGGCGCGTGCTACTCGGTATGACGCCCGTGGCAGCCTGCCCCTGCTGCCCAGTTGTGCTCACAAGCGGACCTTGCTTACGAACGAAAGAGGCCTTCTTTTCTACCACTCGGCCGTGGCCCGATCGTCTTCGCCCAAATTTGCTGCCAGTTCCGGCGAATCACGATATACGTGTTGGGTCAGCGGGGCTTGCGGGATGCAAACATAGCGACCTCGTGGTCCAGACGTCTGCCTTCGAACACCACAGGTACACAGCGCGACGTGTCGTGATTGTCGGCTCGTTCACACTGGTGCGCACGCCTGCCTTAACGGAGCGCGGCCCGCGCTCGTGTTCGAGACAACGCTGTACACCATACGGGCGCGTGCCTAACTTAGCCCACTTCCGTGTAAAACCTTCCATTCTCCCCCGCCGTCCTCCATTGCCGGCTGCACCAAATCACAATTGGAGATGGCCCTTCATAGAATATTTAATTTTGATAGCTTAACACCCGTCTACATACGATCTAGAAGAAGGGCTCCATGACACAAGGAAGAGAGCTTTTGATATGCGACTATGATACAGAGGTGGGTATTCGTGTGGCACAGGGTCCCCTGACGTCTCCCTTTGGACGCTCGAGTTGAACGAGCCGTCGAACGAGACGGTGCGCGATATAGTTGGATATAAAGACCGCCGCGCCCAGGCCTGCGTGGTCCGCGACAAAATCTAAAAGAGCCATGGGCCCACTGGGACGTCCCGTCAGCTCCAGGCAGGAAGTCGAAGAGGGCAGGGGGGGGGACTCACTTCTGCCGCGTGCGCCCTGGGGCATGATCTGCAGGCAACTTTGGTGGATGAGGTTGAGTGCCTTGACGGCGTCGCGCCCGTCGATGACGCACGAGATGTTAATCTCGTTCGAGCCCTGGCTGATCATCTCAATGTTCACGTTCCCCTGCCCGAGCGTCGTGAACATGCGCCCCGCGATACCGACGAGGTGGTGCATCTGCTTCCCGACGAGCGACAGGATCGCCATGTCGCGTGCGACGGTCACCTGGGGAGGGTCCACAATATGTGTCAGTCATGCTGCTGCTCGCCGGCGCGCGGAACCGCACACTCACAGTGCCGTACTTGCTCAGCTCGCGCACGACCTTGTCGAGCGAGCGGCGCTCGTCGCCCTGCTCGATCGCCATGCTGACGTGCACCTCGCTGGTGCTGATGAGGTCGACGACGACGCCGAAGCGGTCGAGCACGCCGAAGATGCCTGCGAGGAAGCCGTGGCTCACGCTCTTGCGATTGCTGTTCACGTTCAACACGACGATGCCCTCCTTCATCGTCACAGCTGTCGGGTGCTTGTGCATGTTCGGGTCCCAGCCGAGCGGCATGCTCGCGTTCTTGCTCTGCCGGAGCTCGCCGAGAGCCTTGTACGTGGAATGCGCCCCGGCGGACACGCTAGAGAAGGCCTCGGCCTCCTTAGACGCGCAAGACGCGTCGATATCGGGGTCGGGGTGAATGACGGTGCCTCCGCCCCTGGGGTTCTCGACGTTCTTGATGCGAATAGGAATCTTCTTGCGAATAACCTGGCCACGCAAGACGCGTCATTTTAGCACTGGCCCCCGTTGCTGACCATGACAGAACGTACCTGCTCCATCGTGAACGGATGCACGACCTCGCTGCCGTAGTAGGTCAACTCGGCCGCCTCCTCAGGGCTGATGATCGGGATGAGGCGCGCGGTGGGCACCTTCCTCGGGTCGGCGGTGAAGATGCCGTCGACCTCCTTCCAGATCTGCAGCTCGGACGCTTGTAGGCCCACAGCGAGCAGCGCAGAGAGCAGGTCGGTGTAGCCGCGGCCGACCTGGCGGAGCAGAGAGCCTGGGACCGGGCCGAAGAAACCTACACGGATCGACCGAAATCAGCGGGGGCGGCGGCCGAAGGCTGCTGGGAAACGAACCTGTGACCACGGGCACCCGTGGGCCGCATTGCCGGATGCGCTCGCCGACGGCGGCAGCGACTTTGTCGTAGAACTCCTGGCCGAGGGTCTCGTTCTCTTCGTAGACTTCGCCGTCGGCCGGCAGAGGTACGACGTTTTCCAGTGAGACAAACTCGGCGTCGATGCCCTGCGAGGGAAGACCATGAGTGGGAGAAACAGCGTCGAAAGAGCGGAATGCTCACCCTATCTCGAAGCACAGCAGTGACAATCTTGCAACCTAACCGCTCGCCGTAGCCAATGATACTGTCCTTCGATCTTGGCGAAATCTCATTAATGACCTGCGTATCTGCGCGTGAGACGTCATAATGAACAAAAGCAGTGCAGTTCATACCTGAGCGGCAAACAGGAAGGAGCGCAGGGAGTCGATGTCTCGCTCTATTTCTGCCTCAAGCACGTTCAGAATCTCGGGGTCGCGAACGATGGACCGTGCGGCGGTGATGTGCTCAGACCGGAGAAGGTCTACCGTGGCGTTGAACGAGGTCTCCGACGCGCCGGTCGCTGGAGTTATAGCCAGCGCCCCAAACGACGTGTCTGAGCGTGGCGAAGACTTGCTGCGTGGTCTCGGGCTTCCGGCTGGCGACTGGTTGAGGGTGGGAGATGAGTTGAAAAGGCCGTTTGGCGTGTTGGTGCCGGTGCCATTTGGGCTTTTCGTGCGCTGCAGTGACTGGGAGGCAGCTTTCAGGAGGAGGTTGGTCGTGCCAAGGGCCTTGGTAGAACCAGAGCGCGCGGAGCACACAATTGCAACTTTGTGCTGATCGAGGTAGTCTCTGTAGGCGCAGAATGAGCACTCCTCCTTCTAGCATACACGACCCGGAGCCTGTTCCGTCCGAACAGGTATAAAGTTTGCAGCAATGTCTCGCAGAAGAGCGCGTATATGCGCGAAGGCCATTGGCCCTCATGAGACGATCGCTCGGGTAGGGTATACGATAACTCTTTTCAAAGCCTATCAGGCAACAATGCATAGGATCAGCTGTACTCACGACACAATGTCTTCCGCGATCTTCACAGCAAACTTGCCCACACTAGTCCCGCCGAACTTCTGCACAAGCCACTTCGCTGCGGGATCAATGGAGTTCTGGTGTAGGTTGGGCGGCGTGGGCGGGGGCGTCATGGACGAGGCCGATGAGCCTGAAGAGAGGTACGGTGAGGACGGTGGGGAAGGGGAAGGTGAGGCTTGCATGGTGTCGCTGCTGGTATTGCTGCCCGGGGAGAGGTGACGTTATGCTGCCTCCAAGTGCCAGGTTTCCTCCGAAGATATACTGCTGGCGAGCAGCAGGGCGTGTGATCCGACTCGAGAAGAATATAGACCTGCGGGACGCAGTTGGTCAGCGGCTTACCGCATGTGCGAAGATAAAGGGTCATACCACCCTTGGACAAGGTTCGGCCGTCCCTTGAAGATTACAAGGAAAAAATATAGCCGAGGAACGGAAAATGTGATGTACAGAAATCGGGCGTACTATCGTACAGAACCCCAGGGCTCTAGAGGAGAGTGGAAGGGAAGAGCGAGGGCGCAGACCGTGACTCGAGCGGGCTCACTCCCCCTTGGCGCCCACAGTCGAAACTTGTTGCCAGACGCCAAGACATTTAGCGAGCCAATCATCGTCTGCCGTCCTGGCCGGATTTGCCTGGCAGTGTCGACTCTGGCTCGACACTTCGCACCGCATCCAGAGCTCGTGAGTACGAGTGTGTCATTACGGGTACATCGCTAGACTACAATTGAAAGCATGGCAGGTAATGGGTACAGACTGCGTCATGAACGGCAGTCGATCGTGGCAATTGACGGGACCCTTACTCAGAGGCTCCTCCTCTTGATACCAACGAGGCACTCCACTGGCTTCCTCAAAAAGCCTTCCATGGTATCGAACTGTGTTACCAAATCATTATAAGCGGGGGCGTATCAGGTGAGAGATAACCGACGCCACTTACAGGCTTATCGGGCTCTTCGAGCACAAAGTCGTATCGGCGCAAAATAGACGAGATGATAATCAGCAATTCCATGCTAGCGAGGTTGCGGCCAACACAGCTCCTGCGTCAGCTGTCAGTTCACTCCGAACGGGCTTACGTGGAGTGCCAAACTTGCCTTGGACCGAATGAGAACGGGTTGAACGTCTTCTGGACCTCGTTCTTGTCCTGGCTGAACCAGCGCTCGGGTCTAAACACCTCAACGTCCTTGCCCCAAACCTCCTCGTCGCGGTGAATGGTGTATGTTGGCACACTGAGGATTGTGCCCTCCGGGAAGGTTCGGCCACACACGGTCATGCCACCCTCGGGAACCACTCTGGGAAGGCCGACACCAGACGTGGAATGGACGCGAAGAGCCTCATCGATGACGGCCGGCAGGTATGTAAGTTTCTTGACTTGGTCATAGGTAGAGACGGGCTCATCGTCATAGCCCAGAACCTCGTCGAGCTCCTGCTGCAGCTTGCGCTGCACATCAGGGTACTTGGCGAGGTAGTAGGTAATCGCGCAGGATGAGCTACCCAGCCACGTCAGCATGTACACGTGCAACAGCGAGGATCCTCTCACTTGGATGTAGTGTCCGAGCCGGCGATGAGCTGCGTGAGAGCCTCCGCGGTGAGTTCCTCCTTGCCCATCAGGTTCCCGTCGTCGTCCCTGCCTCCCTGCAGCTTGCCGAGTAGGTCGACCCGGTCCGTCGGCGTCGTGAGCCTCTGAGAGACGGCAGCAACAGCGATGCCCGCGAGCAGCTTGACGGCCTGCTGGCCCTGGCGGAACCACGGGAAGAGCTTCACGATCGGACGCATCCAGGGCGCGAGCACACCGAGCGATGCCGAGTACATCCCACGGTCATTGATGACCTGCACCGCGGGAATGTACTGCACCTCGGACTTCTCTTTGCCGTATGAGGCCATCGCCTGTTCGTGGTTGACGGCTACGGGCGCAGCATCTCGGGCAGCAAGAAGCATTCCGAATGGCGCACCGAATGCCAAGTCGCCTGCGGTCCTGTCAGCAAGGCTCAACGGAGAAGCAGCACCATGACGCACCGATGATGTCGAACGCAAGATAGTTGTACCAAGGCAGGCAGTCAAGCCAGACTCTGCCGTTACGTCCCGTCCAGCCACTCTCGCCGTCATCGCCAGACAGGCCCTTCGCGCCTGCCTCGTAGAGCCGGTCCCACTGCCGGATCAGCTGGTTGACGTATAGGCGCACATGGGGTTCGAACTCGAGGACGCTCTTCTGCGAGAAGATGTGCGAGACAATCTTGCGCTTGCGGGCGTGCTCGGGGCGGGAACGCGTGTTGAAGAGACCTCGCTGTATCGAGACGAACGCATCGTAGAAGTCGGACTTGAGCGTGCCCGTGCCGTGACCGTATACAACTTGCAGTGCGTCGGGGTCCGAGATCGACACATGGTTGGGCGCAAGTCGAACGAAAGTGCCTGATATTAAGAGAAGTAAGTCGCCGGCAACAACTCGCATAGCTCCGATGTCGAGTTCGTAAGGCGCTGGGCGTGGCCATCTGACCTGCCAAGGCAGCAGAGGGAGGCAGACCGCGGACCATGACGCCCTGCGCTTTAGACTATGCGAACAGCTCAGAATGAGGCTGATGCGGATTAACAACCTGTTGGTACAGGGTCTTCACAGCCACCTTCACAGCGCCAAGAGACAACATAGTCGAAATGGAAGAGCCTACTCACCGTGCTTCTTGTGCAGGTCGTGCACGACCTCGGAGCGATGTCCTTGGGCGGCGACGTAGCCTAACCAAGCGTCGGAGAACCTGGCGAGTAAAGGGCCTGGATAGGAGCGTATGCCGTGCGGGTCGAGGAGCCAGTGAACGACGTGCGCCGCTATGGCAAGAGCAGGGATGAGAACCAGCCACGATGTGAGGTTGAGTTGTGCGAGTACTTCGAGGATGGCCATGTCGTCTGTGCCTCAACAGGGCTGAGATGAGAGGTATATAAGCATCCGCTAGTGATTTTGCGGGGAACTGAGCCAACCAATCAGCCGGGTTGAGCGGGCATCATGTGGGCACGAGTGATAGAATAGCTGTGTCATGAAGCGCGCGGTCGAGAACACGCTTCCAGCGGTAAGGATGTCCATGAAGCGCGCAGTAGAGAACGCGTTTCCAGTGAGACAGGCCTGCTCACCTCAATTGCAAGTGCTTGCAAGACTCCGACCTCGCAGCTTACTCCTGGCAGCACGGACGGCCGCTGTGGGGATATACGTTCAGTCTTGTTGGGCAAAGAGCAACGAGAGTCACCGCGCAAGGGAGGGGCTGTGGGGTCTGGATTCGCGCTTCCGCTGCGTGCGGATGTCGCGCAGAGCAGTCCGACGCCGGCTTCGAGACTAGAAGGGAAGCTTCGCCAGGTACCGTGTAGTGCCCGGCGGCGCAAGAATTGAACAATCACTGTGGTGGTTGAGGCCTGGTTGAGCAACTGCCAAATTGGAAGGTCAGAAGGCACGGACTCCGGTCACCAGCGATCAGCGGGTCATTCAGTCCCCATGTCGCCTAGTGCCGCATCTGACCTCCTGGGATCCGTGCGGCGGCCTGTCGCTTAGTCTTTGTGCCATGGCTGACATAGTGAAGAGTGGAAAGGAAGTAGAACAGAACACTTCGTCGGTTGTCTTTGTCTCATGCGATCAATCATGACTGCAACATAGTTTCGTATCGCACGAAGGCTGTCCAGAGGTTTCGAAAAGGTGGAGTTCAGTCTACAGATGTATCCACTACGTCGTTGACCGGTGACCCCTTCGCTAGTCAGCATTGGAGCAATACCAAAATCGCCCCTTCGTCCCGCCATACTATTCGCTATCCGCTCGGCCAATCAACGTGCGTCTTGTCTGGTTATGTACATCGCCAGAACTGCTGTCGTGCAAAGTGTTGCCCGACCACAGGAGCTTTTGCGTCCACCCGGGGTTGGTGGGCACACTTCTTGCGTGCCCTGGCTTTGGTTAGCATGCTCGGGAAGAGCGTACGCATTCTCAGATGAGCCCCACATGTCCATTCTGTCGACCCGACGCCAGCTCTCGCGCTCTCTTCAGCTTTTCTCGCTGACGACGGCCATATATTCCCTTGGACCTGACTGTGTGGGAGATGAACCCCCCCAGACACTGCACCCATTAATACACTTTTTTCACCAGGATCTTGGCGATACTCGCATATATTCGAGATCGATCATTTATTTTCTGATTGAAAGAAGTTCGCATTTTTAGTGACCTCGGGCAGCAAGGATGATGCACGGAGGAATCGGGCGGTAGCAGCAAGTATTGAACGTTGAAAACTATGACCTGAGTTGACTTGTGCGATCATAGCTGCCGGAGTTTCTTCACCCTGGACGCCACGCCAGTCACGCCACGACTACATAGCTGCATCATATGCAATAGAGGCGGCACTCTGCAGCCATGCACGTTAGCCCACAGTGCCTTCTCCCTCTTTCGTAGCTGGAAGATGGGCTCTAGCCCACGGCGGGCGGTCCTGCCATGGTAAGCGTCAAGATCAGCCCTGTCATATTTTTCGCTAAATTTGAGTCACAAACAGCGCTGATTGGCAAACGTCACTGAATATAATTATAATCTGAATATGCTATCGTATGTGTTGAGCCAGACGTGCCAAGTCGCCGATCGACCGGAATGCACAGGGACTGTACGTTAGATGCGGAGATAATGGCGTAGGCCTGCCCACGGTCGAGTGGCAGTGCTAAGGGAATTCAGTATATTACGCACGAAACAACATATTCGCGAGTATATCCGTCAACCCACGAAGGTTCGTGTCGACTTAGAATCGACTTAGAAACGGTCACCGACATGTAGGTCCTTACTGGTTCATGGAGATGATCGGGAACAGCTTTCTTCAGCGTCGTCAAGATTAGCCTCATCTCTTCTAAATCCGCACGAGACGTTCTTCCTGTTATTGGGCGAAGCGGAGAACGCACTATAGGCACGCACCGTCGCAGTGCACGGCATAATGCACATCTTCTCACAAGTACTCTCGTGCCAAGCGCCGATTCGGACACTGGTCGCGCTTCAGAGGTTCGGACTCTGCGTAGGCCAAGACGACGGCCGAGAGATCTGGGGAAGACAAGCTCAGGGCGCACTGGGACCCTCTACCGCCTTTGATGCTACATCTCTCCGAGCCTGTTACGTATGACACCAGTGTACTACATTGCAGGCTGACTCGCAGCCCAGGCCGGAGTGCAAGCCAGTAATACTAGTACTGACAGGCTTCTGTACAAGACGGACGCTCAGTATATTTGGTACTACTCAACCCTATTTTCCCTGAGCCGCTTTATAATAACGTGATGGCGAGCAGAGAAGTGTCGATGGAATGGGGCCTACTATTACAAAACTTGCGTCATGCGCCGGGATGCGCCCGATCAAAATGGGAATCCGTTGGCCTTCTCGTAGCTGCCGAGCTGGTCTTCGCTAAGGTGATTATGCACTAGAGCAACAACGCTTCTGGTACACAGTTCTTGCATAGTTCTTGGTGTGAGCAGCTGTAGTCAGCTCAGGGCCAACGTTATTGCATGGGCGGTCATGTGGCGGACCCCGTGCACCCCATACCGCCTTTGCCTTATGGCCCAATCAATGACGGAATCTCACTTGCTGCAAATGTGCACAAGTGTCCTGCTATCTTCGCCAGATGTCGTCTTCGCCAGTTGTAGATCTAGCAGATATATTGAGCAGGATTGGAGTGCAGACACATTCATCTAGGCTACAAACTGAGTTGGGGGCTGGGACGAGTCACAAGCGCAGCGATGCTTCCAGATGTAAATATAAGAGGTGGGGAAAGCGATGAGATTCTGAGGAGGGTGGGTGCGAGCGCGAACGATAACGTGAGCGCGTCCATTAGATGACGAACAGGACGATAGTCGAGTTTAGACAAGGCTAAGATACAGGGGTACTTTACGTTCCAGGACAAGAAAAGTATCGAGACAATATTGTGAAACAGAAAGTGGTAGCACAGTGCAGATATATACGAGAGCACACATGAGGCGAGTCCGAGCGTGGTGAAGGTGTCTTGAAGCTGGAAAGGGTGCTTGGGTGCTTGGTCTATTCGATGGCGATCTCTTGCGGGTCTTCTCGGACAGGTGTTCCACCAGGGAACTTGATAGTGAGCAGGCCGTCTTCGATTTTGGCAGTCACATCTTCAGGCTGCGGCAGGGGTCATGCTGCGCCAGCAGAGGCTCGCAACGCGGGTACTCACCTTGGTCGACAGCGGCACGTAGATCAACCGGTAACACTCTCCCGTCCTGCGCTCGCGCATGGCAAGCGAACCGTCGGGGATCCGCGAGCGGCTTTGAGCTTGCACGGCCAGCTGGCGATTTCCAGTGTATGGACAAGTAAGCAATTTGATGCGCACAGCGTTCTTGTTCAAGCCAGGTAGCTCCAGGATTGCGACAACCTCGTTATTGTCCCGATCGACGTACATGTCGGTACTGATCAGTAGCCTGCGTGCCGACGCCTGCGGAGCAGACAGTTGAGGGGCCTGCGTTGTCGTCTTGATGTCGGACTGCGCAGCCGCGGGCGAGGTCTCACCGGGGCTAGGAGGGACGAAAAAGAACGGAGATATGAAACATGAAGACTCACCCGAGGCAGCGTGAAGGAATGACTAGCGGGCGTACCTGGGAGTTGCAGCGCCCGATCCCCCGCCTGCGGCTTCTTGGTCGCGCTGCTCACTGTAAGTCGATACTCTCCACACGCTCATACCCGGACACGGCACGGCTGCCTTACTATGAGGCAAAGACAGAGCCGGCACACCCCTGCTCGGCCGTGCATTACGCTTAGCCAGAGGAAAGACATTGTCTGGTGGCCTCTCCGGACGCACAACAGGCGTAGAGGCGTCACCATCAGACGTGCCATCTACGACAGCCTTCCCCAATTTCACTCTTTTCCCCGTAGAAGTCCCTGGAGGACTGGCCGCCTCGGAGGGTCGGCGATACGGATGCGCCTGCGAGTGCGGGCGACCGTGGGGAACCCTGCTCGGTCCCGCTCCGCTAGAGCTGGGACGCGTGCTTGAACTCATCTCGTCTACGCTGGCACTGACAGGCGCTTGATCGGAAGCACGCCGCCCCGAACCTGCGCTTTCCTGCTGTCGCAGGAAATACGAGTCGTCGATGGACTCAAAGCGGACCTGCATAGACCCAGAGGACAAGGCTTTGCCGCGTTCCTCAAGCTGTATCGTTCGTGGAGACTCGTAGGACTGTGCCCGTGGAGGGTCCTGTGCGTACTCTTGCACTATAGGAAGCGGCGACTCGACTGGCGACAAATGCTGCATGTTGTAGACAGGTGACGCAGTGACCGATGAATGGGACAGGTTCGAGGGTGTATCTGGTTGGAAGGTTGGTGTATGCTGCGCTTGAGGTGGCTGGTCGAGGGTCCATGGTGAGCCCGGGTTCGAGTATTCGACGTTGTATGATGACTGGAAAGGGTACGACATCTCGTATTGAAACACCAGGTCCACCGCGCTGTTACGCACAGGAGCCGCGAGCATGAAGGTTGTTGTGGTCGGAAACAAGAAGGCGACGTGGCAACTCGACTATTTATAGGCCGCCGCCCCGACCCCGCCGAGCGTCGACGCGCCTGGTCCGACTGCCGTTGTTGGAGATATGACTCGTCACCCGGCCCCGCCGTGTGAATTCCATACCGACTCTTTTCTCTGCACACTTGCCCAACCGCTCACTTGGCGTGGTCTGCAGAGCGAACCTGGGTCTCGCGATTTGTAGCCCGATCAGATGCCGTGCGAAGCAGAGCTGAACCCCGCCAAATTTACGGTCCCGCGCCGGATGACGTAAGCATCTGCGGGCATTCCAAAGGTGGAAGCGAGCCAGGGAAAGGCCTGGGGACGATGTCAAGGAAGCCTCGAGCGTCGGGAGGTCACAAAAATTCGTAGACACACAAATAGAGTCGTTATTAATGTGTGACAATATTTTTGTGATTTATGTCGCGCCAGGAGGTACATTGTGACGCGACCTGCACTGAAGATATCTGCACTGAGGAGGGGAAGGCACACGGTGCGCAAGGCATTGGCTAAAAAATTAAATTTTTGTTACGTACAGGTTCTATGCTGGTTCCGTGCGCTGTGCCGCCAGGTCCGGGGGGCAAGAGGCGTGTCGAGGAGGCGTCGAGCGAGGCAGAGGCACCGGACGAGGCGGGAGGGCGGGCAAGCGCTTGGGACCGTAATTTCTCACGTTGGGACCGTAAATCTCGAGGGCAGAAGGGAACTGCGCTGCACGCTTTTCTGGCAGGGACGCCAGCCAAATTTCTCGCACCTGATGTGCCACCTGGCAAATTTACGGTCCCAAATTACGGTCCCATAGGCGTCGGAACAAACGGTGATGCGCCCTTGATGACGGGAAGGCGCTTAAGCGGCGTAGCCGGCAGACGCACCGGTGCCTCATTTGGACGGGCGCCCGCGACCGTAAACCTCCCCCTTTGGGGACCGTATAGGCGCCCCCTGGGACCGTAAATCTCGAGCACGAAGCAGAGGGAGGAGCAAAGCGTTCTCTATTGTGGATCATGTGCTGGCGAGATTATAAGCGTCAACCACGTGATGGCCGACGCGTCGGGATCCTTTTTGAAACACAATGTCTTTGACAAGCCCGAGTCACGGTCGTCGCGACGTTTCCCCGCTATCTTCATATCTTTCACCAGTCATATGGAAGCCGTGGGCAGTATATATCCGAACATACATTTCAGGCACATGTGCACTTGCGCCTTCGGGTGCTTTGTGCAAACTCGCATGGCGAGATTGCAGCTCTAACGACAAACTCTAGCACCTCGGCTTTCTGTCTGCGCCACAACGTGTTTGCCGTCATCGAGCCATCCCGTCGTGATTGAACTGTACGGGGTGGGGTTCAGCTATTACTCAATGCGACCGCAGAGCTTACACGCTAAGGTTTCAGTCATGTCCTCCGGTCATAGCAAGACTTCACATATTCTATAGTCAGCCGCATCTATCGCAACTTCCATCTGTATGATGGCCTTTCTGCCCCACTTTTCTTTCCGCCGATATAACCTCCATACATCACTTTGTAGTCTTGCCGGAATGACAGCAGGGCACGTTTTTACCAACTCTCATGATGCTGTGGACGATAGGCCATTCCTCGGCCATGCGTATCTCGACTCTCGAGCTCTGCCTTGTATCGTGGCCTACTCCAGGCTAACCGTCAATAATAAATATGGCGTTGAACGATACGATCTCGTCGGGCCACCCATGTGTAGAACACCCTCTGTCTCATCATGCTAATATCATAGAAGCATGAAACAAAGAAGCCGACCACAGCCACTGTGTATTTAGTTATGATGCGCCAAGGTGAGTCCATCTGTTCCCATCGGTCTGACCTGTACACTGATGTGGTCTTCCCGGGGCACACGCTCAGGAAGGAGACGTAAGCAACCCAGGGAGTGCGGGACAACGGTGATGTGAACCTGAAGAAGATTAGGGGATGCTCAGGGACAACAGTCGAATTCAGAGGAAGCCAATGGGCACTAAAAGACAGAGTTCAAGTTTTGCATAGGGTCGGAACTTATGCAGAGACTGGCGAGACGAGATGACACAGACAAAAGGCGTCGAGACATCTATTTCTCACTAGTGTCAAGTGATTATCGATTGGTAGCATACCCGCCAGACCTGTCTCCTTCAGTCCAACTGGTGCTTACCGTCAGCCATGTCCCGCAGCCTGCACCGGCTTCTCGGGGGCAAACATGACGACGGGGTCTGCAGATGACAAGGGTCTGGTGTAGTCGCGACTAAGGGCGCGGAAACCTGCGAACGCCACAATTCCGTCGCAGGTAGCTTGGGCCAATAGCGAGAGGTAACGAGAGATTTTGCTGGCTGAAAGCGCCCGCCTCGGGAGTATCAGCTCTCGCCACCCCGGGTATACGGGTAGACCGTGAGAGAAATATTTTGGATGCCTGGATGACGATGCAGGGACAGCAAATTCAGCGAGGCACCGTGGCAGTTCTTGCTGTGCTGCTAATTCGTCGATCGCGCGATCCTCCGGTAGTGGAGATGTTCGGGCTGAGTCTGTCACCGATGAGCACACGCCGCTCAACGGAGGCATGGAGAGCACACTGGCCAGTTTTCTTCATTGCATAGTATACTTTGCGTTTAATTTCAGTCTGTCTCCGTGAGTTACGGCGAGGACGCGGGGTGTGGCCCGGCGAGAGAAGATGGTGCGACTTGTGTAAACACAGAGCCGTTGCGTAAGCGCGCGCAGCTGTCGGGCGCCTAACGGGTTCCAGTCGCTGGGGCGAAATGGTTCGACTGATCTTTTATATTCCACCTGCATTCCTTTCCCTCCCTCCATTCGCCTGTTCCTTCTTTCTCTCAGCCTCATTACTTGGCTGCTGAAGGTCTTGACTGGAGGTGCCCCGCTCAACCGGTCACCCGTTCGTCGCTCTCCTTCGCTGGACTACGCGCGAGAGCCCAACGTCGTCCTTCGTTTACGACAACACCAACTCTACTTTATTCGCGCCTAGCTTGTCATAGAGAAATCCTAGGATCACTTTTAAGCTTTCCGGTCAGTCTTCTCAGCTCCCACCGCGTCTCCATATCTCCTATCGCACGAACATGTCTCGTACCACCTTGCGATTTCTGAACATTGGCATGATTGCTGACCAGCTGCATTCTATATAACAGTTAATACCCACGTCGTCGAATACCCCTTTACTAACCCCGCCATACCTTCAAAATGCGCGCCCTACTCAGGCCACTATCATTGCACACCGTCTTCTCACCTATAGAAACCATCGTCTTCGTCTTCGTTCTCGCTACACTTGCATACTTGCATATCCTCGACGGCATTAAGCACTCATCTTTCTTCGCTCCGACATTCCCGTCGAGTCTTCGGCCAGCGTATGCGAGGCTTTCCGGATCGGAATGGGTGTCCGTGGGCGAGCGGGAGTGGTACTCTACGCTGAAGCGCGGCCAGGATCAAGCCGTCGAGCTCCAGCAATTCGTTTTCGGTTTGGACGACAAAACTCGGAAGGTGAGTAAGCCAACACGAGTCTATCGTCTTGCACGACCTGCGCCTCAGGCGTGGCTGTTCCTGCGACCAAAGCGTTCGCGCATCAGTTGATGCTGTGATGGCGCGTGATGAGGAGTGATGGGCTGTTACCTGCTATTTCCCGTCAATGTCGACGGCCTTGTCTGTCTGCGTCGTCGGTGCTGACATTGCCGACGTGACGGTCGAGAAAGTACTTTGAAGCACCGGGGCAGGCGCCGCGCGTCTTAGTCTGCCACGGGGCACAGACTCATCGTTCTAATCTCCGCGAAGATTTAACGCTTACGACTCTCTTCAGGTGTCGCCCGATGCATTTTCGTTGTCGCCGATAGCTGAGCGTCTTACGACTGCCGTCAGCTCGCTTTCGGGCAACTCTTACTCGTCCATCTGCCATGTCCCGGCATTCAACTCCTCGTCCCTGCAATGCTTCACTTCTGTCTCACCGTCGGCAATCACACTCAGCTTTACTCCTGGCACACGCGAAGACTGGGTTGGTGCGCTCAAACATATGACTTCATTGACCGTTAACGGCACGCGCTATGAGGTCCAGAGCCCGAAGCGCATTGAGACCATCGGCGAAATGAAGAGCAGCAAGTGGGTTGCCTATGCGCTCTGGGCACTTGTAATGCGTTTCTGGGACATGGCAAAGAAGGCCGATTCTCTGGATATCCTTGTCGTTCTCCTCGGGTACGTGCTCATGCACGGCACTTTCTTCCGCCTCTTCTGGAGATCGCGCGCCCTTGGCTCCAACTTCTGGCTTTCGACTGGCATCATGATGTCGTCCGTCTTTGCTTTCCTTTTCACGCTCCCACTTTGTCGCGTCCTCAGGATCCCGCTCGATCTGGTATGCTTGTCAGAAGCACTTCCCTTCCTGGTCTGCACGGTCGGCTTCGAAAAGCCCTTACGCCTTGCTCGCGAGGTTCTCGCTCATCCCCACGCTCTCAAGCCACAGGCAGATGGTCGCATGATGTCGGCTGGCGACGTGATCCTCGAAGCCCTTGACAAGAAGGGCAATGTCATTCTCCGTGATTACGCCCTCGAGATCGCCGTTCTGCTTATCGGCGCGAACAGCAAAGTTGGCGGATTGCGCGAGTTCTGCGCCCTTGCGAGCATTGCCATGTTCCTCGACTGCATCATGCTTGCTACTTTCTACACCGCTGTTCTGACTGTCATGCTCGAGGTGAGTTGTATGCGGGGTGAGGACGGGAATGGAAGTCTGGTTGCACGGTCTTGTGCTCGGGCGCTCTTCGGACCTTCCTTCCTCATCCGTACCGCAATTGTCTGCGCAACCCAGTTACTGACGATGCACTTGGACAGGTCCGTCGTATTAAAACGGTCAGGTCGTTCCGTCGCTCGCCCTCGTCCTCTATCAAGTCTTCGCTAGCCCGCAGCGCAATGACGACGCAGTCCGCCCCTGTTAAGCCGAGGAACCTTAGGGAGCGCATCTCGTCCGCCCTCATTGGTGTGAAGGGTGCATCGCTAAATGCAAGCCAGGAGTTTGAGGTGAACCCGATGGCCAGGCTGAAGCTTCTTATTGTGCGTGCAAACCCCTCTGCGATCAGAGGACACTGACGAATGTGTACCACAGCTAGCGGCCTTCCTCACCCTACACATCACTAACTTTTGCACGACACTCACCCCGGCGACAGCTCTTGCGCGCCACAACAAGCACACTCCCCGCACTAACGGAGACCACACTGACCTCCCTCCTCCACGTGTCGATTTCACCTCCCCCCAGGTTGCCGCCGTCCTCTCTGCTCTGGTCGAAGTGGAAGCAACCACCATCGTCAACGATGCTTCTATTTATGTGAAGATTGCGCCTCCCATCCACGTTCGTGCTATCCCAACAGTTACACAGGCGCATCCTACGGCTTCCCCTTTCAGTGTACTCTCCGGCTCCGCTAGTATTGACGCAGGGACGGCCAACACCGGCGAGGTCATCGAGAACTTCATGTCCGGCTGGTCCACGCTCGTCGGCGATCCGGTCATGTCCAAGTGGATTGTCGTTCTTCTTGGCATTAGCGTTGCCCTCAACGGCTTCTTATTGAAGGGCATTGCCGCTGGCACCGGCCTCCCAATTGCACGTGGCAGCGTGCGCTTCCGCTCTCGTGCGCGTGTGTCCGAGAAGGTCGAGGAGGAGGAGGTTTGCGATTCCCCGAAGCCCGCTATCGTCATGCCGAGCATTGGGCCCGTTGTCACTTCCCCTCCTGCTCCAGTGCCCGAGCCTAATTCTGCCCCTGCTGTTCTTGATGGTCCTATCAAAGAGCACAAGCTTCCAATCCTCAGCATCCCAGTTGATCTCACCACTGTCGACGCGAGGCTTGAGAGGGAGCGTCTTCTTACCGAGGCTGTAGCCCGTGCCGAGCGTGCCCGCAACGAGCCCACTCGACCGCTTGACGAAATCATCGACACATTCGAGAACGGTCCCCGCCCAGTGTCCGCGAGCCTTTCGCTCCTCACCGACGAGGAGGTCATCGTTTTGGCTCAGAATGGCAAGATCGCCGCATACGCGCTTGAGAAGATGCTTGGTGATTTCGATAGGGCCGTCACGATTCGTCGTGCATTGATTTGTAAGCACGCGCATATTTACTCAAAGATAACTCACACTGACCTCGCTACAGCTCGTGCTTCGAAGACCAAAACACTTGAGCACTCGGATGTCCCCATGGCCAATTACGACTATTCCCGCGTAATGGGTGCATGCTGCGAGAACGTCGTCGGTTACATGCCCATTCCACTTGGTATCGCTGGCCCTCTGAAGATCGACGGCGAAATGTACCCTATTCCCATGGCCACCGCTGAGGGCACACTTGTTGCTTCTACCTCGCGCGGATGCAAGGCGCTTAACTCTGGCGGAGGTGTCACAACCGTTGTCACCTACGATGGCATGACTCGCGGACCTGCTATCGACTTCCCGAATATTGTGCAGGCCGCCGCCGCTCGCGCATGGATCGAGAGCCCCGAGGGCTATGCCATTGTCAAGGAGGCCTTCGAGTCTACTTCCCGCTTCGCCAAGCTCCAGAGCGTTAAGTGTGCCATGGCTGGCCGCACGCTGTATGTTCGTTTCACGACTCGCACCGGCGACGCAATGGGCATGAACATGATCTCGAAGGCGACGGAGAAGGCACTCGAGGTCCTGGGCAAGGAGTTCCCGGAGATGGTCGTCCTTGCGCTTTCGGGCAACTACTGCACAGACAAGAAGCCCGCCGCGATCAATTGGATTGAAGGTCGTGGCAAGGGTATCGTCGCCGAAGCCATCATTCCCGGCAAGATCGTCAAGACTGTCCTGAAGACGACCGTCGAGGCGCTGTGCAATCTGAACACTAAGAAGAACCTGGTCGGCAGTGCGATGGCTGGCTCGGTCGGAGGGTTCAATGCCCATGCGGCTAATATCCTGACTGCTATCTTCTTGGCGACCGGTCAGGACCCTGCGCAGAACGTCGAGAGCTCCAACTGCATAACACTTATGGAACCGTGAGTAGAGAGCCTGAAATTTACCGATATTCATTACTTATTCTTATCCACGCTCGCTGTAGAACGAACAATGGCGAGGACCTACTTATGACCATCTCGATGCCGTGTATCGAAGTTGGTACCGTCGGTGGTGGTACCGTCCTCGGTCCTCAACAAGCTGTCCTTGAAATGCTTGGCCTCAAGGGCGCTCATCAAACGAACCCCGGCCAGAACGCCCAACAGCTTGCTCGTCTCATCGCCGCCGCGGTCATGGCCGGAGAGCTCTCCCTGATCAGTGCACTCGCCGCCGGCCACCTTGTACGGGCACATCTTGCGCACAACCGCTCGCAACTGAATACGCCAAGCACGTCACGACCTGTGACCCCTGGCCCGATGACACCGCCACTCGTATGGAATTCACCGCGGCTAGAGCCTGCGAAGAGGCCACCGAGTTCGTTGGCAATGTCTTCGATGGCCCGTGACGGGTACGTTGTGGATGGCAAGGCCTGAGGTCTCCCTGTGCGCTCCTTTCTACAGCCATACTCTAACCTACCTACTTTCGACGACAATCAAGTATACATACGCACTTTTCAATGCTCAGTTATTTTTTCGCTACTTGTACATTTTTGGACCCTTTTGCCGTGCATTCTTGCTTACCGTGCGCACTGGTGTGTGCCACTTGCTGTCTGTACTTGTGCAACTTCGTTAGCTTAGGAATGAAAGAAACGGAATATACACTCATGAAACAAGGATTGTTTGACAAGCGAGGGATGTCTGTGTGCGGCTTCGTATGCAATGTTCGCTTTACTCGACAGCTAAAAGTGAGGCCAGGACGGTTTTCGGCGGCTAGTACGCTTTACATCGATCCAGCATGTGCACGACCTCCTGGGCCGTATCGCGAATAACATTGATCACACTCCTCATAACGTGAACCGATGGCTGTCATTCTTCTAACCAACGTCGATGCACTGTGGCTGGCCTTTCTTGGTTACCTGCTGTATCATGTTGGCCGGAAGCTGGGCCGCAGGGCCGCGCACAAAGGCTTGCAAGCCAGAAGTAAACCTCCAGGCCCTCCAGGCCCTCCGTTCGTCGGGAACACGTACCAGATCCCGCGCGACAGGCAGTGGCTGAAGTTTGACGAGTGGATTAAGCATTACGGTGCGTGCTCTCGTTCGTGGTCTGAGCTGCAGTATCTTGAACAGCGGGGTCCAGGCAATATCGTCCACATCTCGGTCATGGGACAGCCAACTGTCATAATTGGGTCTGCCCAGATTGCTAGTGATTTGCTGGACGCGAGAGGTAAGATTGTTCGCAGTAATATGCTGCCTGAGCGGGTCGGGTGACGTCGTGCCATCGCAGGGAGCATATACTCCGATAGACCGCAAGCCGTCATGGCTGGGGAGCTGTGAGTCCACTCGCCCGCCTCACAATAGTTCCAGAGTCTTATCATAGCACATCTGCCGTAGGGTCGGGTGGGATCTAGGTCTTGGCTACGCACCGGGTCCACATAGCCCTCGCTTCCGAGAGTTTCGTCGGCTCTTTCAGCAGTTTATGGGTCCCCGGGCAGCCCAAGAGCCTACTCTATTGGCCGCACAAGAGAAGCACGCCACGAAGCTCTTGTATCGTCTGCTGATTGCACCGGGAAACTTCATGACGCATGTTAGGCAGTGTGTACAAACATCCCACCGAGTGTGATACCTATCTGATTGCGAGTTTGTTGCAGATCCACTGGCGCTTCGATCCTCTATCTAACGTATGGATATGAAGTCTCCGACGACGTGAACGAAGATCCGCTGGTCAACATCGCCGAAGAGGCGATGCAGGGGTTCGCTCATGCTTCGGATCCAGGAGCATATCTCGTCGACACCGTGCCCTGGCTGAAGTACGTTCCGGACTGGTTTCCTGGCGCGACATTCAAGAAGGATGTGAAGGTCATGCGTCGATCGCGAGAGCGGCTGTATGACGTGCCGTACGACTTTGTACGAAGGGATATGGTCTGTCTCTGCAACGGCTGGTCTTCGGTGTCTGGCTAATACCGTATTTTATCAGGCTAAAGGAGCAGTGCCCAGTTCATTCGTGTCTAGTTATATCGATGAGAAAGGGGAGCCTACTCTCATGGAAGAGGAGCTCATAAAGGCAGCCGCTGCGTCTCTCTATTCAGGTGCGACGGCTATCCTCGCCCATACTTATTTCCCTATGTTCTGACGGCAATCGTTCTCGAAATAGGGGGCGCTGATACGGTAACATCACTATAATCCTAGTTACGTTTAAATTTAACAATTGCATAGACACCTTCGTCATTGGCCTCCTTCATTCTCGTGGTGACTTTGTACCCAGAGATACAGGAACGTGCTCAGGCCGAGCTGGATTCTCTCATCGGTGGATCGTGGCAACGTTTGCCCTCCTTCGCAGACCGTCCTCGTTTGCCATATGTTGAGGCAATAGTTCTTGAAGTCTTGCGATGGAATCCGTCTGTGCCACTGGGTAAGGGCGCTTGTTTCCCCTCACAAACTTGCTCTCTGAGATGCCGCAGGCTTGGCCCATCGCCTTTCTCAAGACGACGTGTACAACGGTTATCATTTCGCGAAGGGCACCATCTTTTGGGCGAATATTTGGTTTGCTTTGAGACTGATCGCCCCTCTACGGAGCTGATTATTGCCTCGGCAGGACGATGCTCCATGACGAGAAAGTCTTCCCTGAACCCTCGAAGTTCATGCCGGACCGTTTTTTAGACGGAAATGGTCGGCTTAGATCCCTATCTCGTCTTGAAGACCCCGCAGTACTTGGCTTTGGCTTTGGACGGAGGTGCGTATGGTCATGTGTATACACGACATGCTGAGACTCATTATCAAGGAAGGATCTGTCCCGGGATGTATTTCGCACACAACTCGGTTTTCATCGCGATAGCGCGAATGTTGTATGTGTTCAACTTTTCAAAGACTCGCGACCATGTCGGCAACGAGATCACTCCTGAGATTGAGTATGGTGGATTTATCAGGTGGGAAATCCCGATCCTTAGCACAGCAATTTATTTATTTATTTTTCTTGTTACATCCGGTAGCCACCCACGTCCTTTTCCTTGCTCAATCTCTCCTCGGTCTAAAGCGATGGCGGACTTGATCCTGCATACGCTACGGATAGAGTAAGGTGTCTGGAATAGTTGCCGTACCATCTTGTTTAGTCATGCCGCGGAGTCGGCTGCGCTTATGGAACGCATACACGGAGCATCGCAGAATCATCTGATTATGTCTGAACGCATAGGCTGCGATGTATAAGGCCATTCCGCAGTGGGGTCCAGACGCAGCGTTATGGGAATGTCGCTTGATAAGCAGTATGAGCTCATCGTGCGTAATCGTTGTGCGCGAAGGGGTTATAGTGCGGAACACGTATATAAGCTCACGCGAAACTCCCAGTCTGCAGAGAACGCTTCGTCCACCAACATGCCTGAGAAGATTACCCTCTACACGGCGAAGGTACGAAAAGCCTGTATTTATATGTGCCGACGCTGACCAATCATGCCAGATCTGCCCATACGCCCACAGGGTAATTAAGCTCTCCGTTGGTCTAGCAGCTATGAAGCTAAAATGTTACAGGCCGAGATTGCACTCGCACTGGCAAATGTACCCTATACCCGCTACGAGATTGATCTGAGGAACAAGCCCGAGTGGTACCTTCCCAAGGTTAACCCCGTCGGGAAGGTGCGCTGGTACACACAGTCTCACGATTTGAGCTCAACAAGCATCACACTTTCTAGGTTCCCGCTATCGCGTACGGCGGGCCCGACGTCTCTCCGGACCAGCCCTCGCCGGAGTCGACCAAGCTCAACGAGTCTCTGGTCCTCGTGGAGTTCGTAGCCGACCTCTTCCCGGACTCCGGCATCCTGCCCAAGGACCCCGTGCTCCGTGCCAGGGCGCGCCTCTTTATTGACGCCGTCTCCAACAAGTTCAGCCCGGCGAACGCCTCCGTCATCCACAACGGCGGCGACCCGGAGCCGCTCGTCCAGGCCATAGAGCAGCTGCAGTCGCTACTACCATCGCAAGGCTTCGCCATCGGCGAGTTCTCCGCAGCAGATATTGCGATTGCGCCGTTCATTGCGCGGCTCGAGCTCAACCTCGAGAACGACCTCGGAGGGTACCCCGAGGGCAAGGGCGAAGGCCAGAGGATCCTCAATCTTATCCGCTCGCCCAAGTTGACGAGATGGCAGGAGTATTCGAGAGCCCTTCTGGCGCACCCGGCTGTTGCCTCGACCTTCGACAGGGTGAGTGTGCTAGCTCCAATTGCGATCGTAGTGGGACTGAGATTTGTGACTTTGCAGGAACATCTTCTCCAGTCGTACAAGAGGCGCTTTGCTGAGCTGCGCGCGAAGAAATATGCTTCCTGAACGTAAAGCGAGAAAATATTCGTCAGTGAACGCCCGAAGAACTTGTACTATGTGTATATACCGAGAATTGCATATTCTTCGTACGGCTATTGAGAAATTATCGTCTACGCGAAGTTCCCAAGACGTATTCAAACGTATCTACGAAATATTGACGATCTGAAGTGTAAGATAAATGCTCGAGATTCACAATGTTGGAGTCAAGCATGGCAACTTTGACGACAATGATGTCCTTATCTCTGAGAACGATGAAGTGCGCGGCCGACCCAAGATACTGTTAGATTTTCATGTTTCAAGTATGCGCACATTGGTGCCGCACGCATGGTATTTTGCATCCGCTTTCCCACGGTTTAGAGTATATAGTAACCACATCCGCATGTAACTACTCTCCACGCGTTTGGACCGCGACCGTCACCGTCGCCCCTCGGGGGCTTGCAATACACACCCTTTTGTCGTTGTACGCTCCCGCGCTCCCCAGTTCCCCAAGTTATTTCAACAGATACCCGAGGTTCCCGCATTCCTGACGCCAGCTCATTGATATCCTTTATTGCCAACCTGAGCATGAGCTGATAAATTTCTTCAGCAGCCTCAAAGGTTTGAAGCTTTATATACATTCCTGTATGTCACGATAGATGTCTTAGGGCTTTTTTCAATCTTTCATTAGAATAAACCTCCACAGGGCTTAGTACTACAACTTTGCTGGTGAGTGACCTTTGGATCTCTACGAGAGCAGGACTCAGCTTTCTCTCAGAACCGGCCCGCTATCATTAATCGTTTGCAGGTAGTACCTAGCGCGAATACCGAGCGAGCGAGCGGGCACCGTTGTTTCTGGCGGCTTCGTCAGCTTGACAGCCAGGTCTTCGGCCCTCCAGGTCTCAAGATCTCACGGCGCGGCGGTCTTGGATTCACCCTTATTTAGGACAGGTATTTTATTTTTATTCGTGTCGAAGCTCACAGTAACTTTGCTGGGTGTTCTTAGTCTGGGCGAAATGCGACCATGGCCCTGCAGTTACGACGTCATTAGGCTCGGCCCATGGCTGCCTCGCGTTTGCAAAGCCGTCGGTCTTCCCAACTGAATATAACACTGGTGAGTTGCCGTTTCCTCAGTGACCTACGCCACATGTCCAACTGCTTGAAGCGCACGCCTGACACTGAATCGCCCATGACATGCCCGCCGATGGTCTGTTCGGGTTGGAACCGATTCGGAGGCACGCGCAGCTTCCTGTGATCACGGTAATGACAGAGCACCTGGGACCTCAGTAACGATTTCCCGTGAGCCTCGCTTACAACTTACTCACCAAGCCGCCGTCACTTAGGGCATAGTACTTCTTCAAGCTGAGTCATCGCCGAATGCCAGTGCCAAGGCATCCTGCAGACATCAAATGGCAGGAAGGACGGCCTTCAAGTCTGTGAAGGCAGCTCTGGCTTCTCATCGCGTCCCTGCCGTCGTGCACGTTCTCGGTCTCGTAGCGAATTCCCAAGCACATCACGAAGCTCCTCGATCAGTGGAGCTCTTCTCCTTTCCCGTGCCACAATCTTCTCATGCATTATGCGACTTATTGGCATTCTCGCCCGTTGTCAGTCCCCGTATATGCTCAGGCTGTTTTCCTTTAGCAGATCGGCATAGATGTCGCAACGCTCAATCACGAGGCGGTCTTCTGGACGGCGTAGGAGGACAGGACGATAAAGACGAATCACCAAGGATGCATTCTGTCCCAGCAATCTTAATAGGAGCGCTATGCCAATTTGAATACGGGCAGATTGTGGTAGGACATGCAGAGTGTCTAAGTGTAATATTTCAATCTGCAATGACAAGCTATGAGCACAATCTAGAGTTATCTATCCTGAGGACGTAACTTAAGAGATATCTTCAGGCTTGATCGTGATCCCCAGTGAAAAGTCGTTCTAGCAGAAGTTATGAAATGTGTTTGGGATCTGTATAGCCCAATCTATCGTCCTCGTCGTATTTCAGCGCTTAGAGCACTTTCCCGCTACCTCGACCTGAACCACGCCGGCTTGGCCTCTGCGCCGCCTCCTAGGATCCCATACCCCATCGACTTCGCTATGGGCACTTTGACATGCTCTGCTCCAGACCGCGTTGACTGCGAGCCGGTCGTGTCACTGCGCCAAGCACCACGCTCACAGCTGTAAACTGCTCCACTTCATTAGACTGGACATTGGCGTACGAGCCGCCTTGGAAGACGGGATTCTGCATGATTCGTCGCTTCAGGACCCGAAACCGCGCCAGTCCTTTCAACCAATGTCAAACTGCCGTCGAAGCGAGTCCAAACTGAAGCCGCTTCAGGCACGCTTCAAGGGGATGTGAAGTGAGGGGGCGGGGCGTCCGTGAAACGCGCGTGAACGTTGACTTTTAACACATGCAGTGGTCAGACTGACTCCGGGTCAAAGGGGGTCAGAAATGACTGACCGGTCGGGTCAGTTGACGGGTTGGTGGGGGTCAGGCGCCCGAAACAGCCGACGAGCGCCCATTGACGACCAGGCTGCTCGATGCCGTCGGGGACGGCGAGGAGAGTAGGTAGTAGTGGTAGCAACAATTTCAATACTAAGTACTCCTGACAACGAGATATATCTCGATTTTTCTCCACATTTCTGCTCAGCTAGAATCCACCTTCTGCGGCAGCACCTCCAAGTCCAGAAGTAGAATATCTTGGCATGATAGTGGGAAAAGGTGTCATCCGCATGGACCCAGTCAAGATAGAAGGAGTCATCAATTGGCCATGGCCTGAATGCAAATGAGACATTCAGGCGTTCCTCGGATTTACAAACTTCTACTGAAGATTCATCCAAGATTACGGCAAAATAGCAAAGCTGCTCAGTTCATTAACGGGCAACGCTACCTTTGAATGGACTGTCAAACAGGAAGTAGCATTTACGAGCCTGAAAGATGCTCTTTGCTCAGCGCCAGTACTGGCCATACCCAATGATAACGATCCCTATCAAGTGGAATGTGATGCATCAGACTTTGCCGTAGGAGCAAAATTAGCCCAGAAGCAAGATGGCAAATGGAAGCCTGTCGCCTACCTGTCTAAAGCCATAACAGCTGCTGAAAGAAATTACGAGATTTACGATAAGGAACTTCTCGCAATAATGACTGGTCTTGAGGAATGGCGTCAGTATCTTATGGGTGCCCTACATCCGTTTGAAATATGCATGGATCACAAGAACCTAGAATACTTCCGAAAGCCACAGAAGCTTAATCGGCATCAGGCCCGATGGGTAACCAAATTAGCCGAGTATTACTACTCGTTACATCACAAACCTGGGAAATCTAACAGCAAAGCAGATGGACTATCTTGTCAAAAGTGACACAATGCAGGAAAGGAGGACAATTTGGATATTGTGTTATTAAAACCAGAACATTTTCATGCTCTGATCCGTAGTACTGTATTTAGTTTAGAAGGAATCGACCAGGACTGGGTTGCAGAGATTAAAAAATACAAAAAGAACCAGGATTCGCTAGTTACCGTAGCTTTACAGAACAAGAACAAGGACTGGAGTGAAGATAGTACCGGACTTGTGACGTGGAAGAACTGTATCTACGTACCGGTAAATAGGAAACTCTGAGAGCAGATTATCGCTCATCATCACGATACCCCACTGGCTGGACATTCTGGCCAGTACAAAACACACGAAATGGTCACACGTAACTATTGGTGGCCTAGAATTTGAGAAGGCATCTGGAAGTACGTAGCTGGGGTGAAAAATGCCAGAAGACCAAGGTTCACACGACATGACCTACTGGACTTCTATTCCCAAACAAAATCCCTTCGTGACCCTGGGAGGTAATATCCGTGGACAAGATAGGCGTACTACCAGACTCATTTGGATACAATGCCATTCTCGTAGTCATCTGCATGTACTCCAAGCAGATAATTACAATACCCAGTACCATTGAGCTAAACGCCGAAGGATGGAGGGAAGCACTTCGAGATCATGTGGTTGCACACCATGGGTTACCCTGAAAGATCATCAGCAACAGAGGAACTGAATTCAAGAATCAGTTTATCTCCGAACTATACCGATCACTTGGGATCAAAGCCAACCCTTCCACCGCATATCACCTCCAGACTGATGGACAAATGGAACATATCAATCATGAGATAGAACAGTATCTCCGATTGTTCATCAACTACAGACAAGCCGACTGGGCCAAATGGCTGCCGCTTGCAGCGCTCTCCTACAATAACAAAGTTCATTCCTCTACTGGGTATACCCTGTTCTTTGTCAACAAAGGGTATCACCCTTACAAAGAAACCCAACCGGTACGGGAAGGACTAAGCGAGAATGTCCAGCAGTTTGTTGATCAAATGAGTCGGGTACGCGAGGACACTAGTGCCGCCATCAGTCTAGCGCAAGAATCTATGAAGTGCTTCTATGACAGGAAAAGGAAGAGCGGACTGGAGTACAAAGCCGGAGACAAAGTTTGGCTAGAAGGGATCAATATTTGAACTGATAGGCTGATGAAGAAGCTCGACGATAAGCGATATGGACCATTCAAAGTCAAACGCAAAGTTGGCGCCTCCGCATACAAATTAGAACTTCCCCAACAATGGAAACAACACCCTGTTTTCAACGAAAGCCTACTAAGTCCTTTCAAAGAGCCCGCTTATCCTTCACAATGACATGAACCTGGAGTCCCAGACCTCGTAAATGGCAAGGAAGAATGGGAAGTAGAAGAAATTCTCAATTTGCACTGCGATCGAAATGGGAACCTTGAGTATCAGGTTCTCTGGAAGCACAGTCCCCACGGTGATCGCCGCTCTTGGGAATCACAGGCGAACTTGACCAATTGTCAAGAACTTCTCCAAGATTTCCATGCAAGACGACCAGACAAGCCCGCGCCCATGACAATTCGAGTTCCCCCCCTCCTGACACGACCTGTTCACATGCTCACATGCGATACCACTCTTTTGGTACAACGGATGGGTGGAATTCTCCTGAAGCAGGGATCAGAAGAAGCCGCTGGTCTCGACCTCTACTCGGCCGAGAGCATTAAGATACCAGCACGGGATCGCAAGATTGTAGGCACCGGCATAGCAATGCAGGCCCCTCACAGAACTTATGCATGCATCGCGCCACAAAGTGGATTAGCGGTCAAAGGAATCAATATTGGCGCTGGAGTCGTAGACCGAGACTACACTGGGGAAGTACGCGTGGTGATGATCAATACCACCAATCAATCCTTTCAGGTATGCACCGGTGATCGAATCGCCCAAGTCATTTTGGAACGAATTGCGTCATGCAATATCGAGGAGGTGTCAAGCTTGGCAGAAACTCAGTGTGAAATGGGAGGCTTTGGATCCACTGGTAAATAATTGTGAGGACATGATTCTAGACAGGAGGGTAATGTCATGAATATTACATATTTCAGATGGTTCTCCCAAATTCCATAGTATTCTTTCTCTTTCTATACGTCTCTGTATATTCGTAGTATATTCTAGATATTGAGTCTGACATGTATATAAGGAGCTTGTACTGCTCAATAACAAGCCAGACTCAAGCTGGTCTTTACTCACCCACTTTCCTCTCGTCTGTCTCCTCACTCTTGTCGTAGCCCAGTCCAGTTGGATTGTAGGTTGCTGACACCGCGCACAGCGCGAACCAAGGGCGTGAATGATGACTATGATGCTTGGGAGCCCGAGATCAAGGCTTGCTTTATTGCCGGAAGAAGTGGACAGGCGGAAGGAGGCATTCAGAGGCGTGTGGCAGACAGCGGTAGCGCGAGAGAAAGAGAGCTTCGTGGGCAAAGAGCCAGACCAGCCGGGACACATGCACTACAACTTGGCCTGAGCTCGCCCCAGATCGGCCGTGTACTCTGGTGGGAAGCATCCGCAAGCCCTGCATGCGAATGCCTTCACATGGTCGACGTACTGGCCCCTGGTGGGAGCAGAGAGCACGCTTTGCTGCAGCTCTTTTGCGGGTAGCTCACATCTAATCTGCTATCTAATCACGCGCAGAATCTGTAATCTGGGCGTGACTTCGGAATATGCCGAGATTATCGCTCCGGCATAACTTGCCGTTTTGCGCGCGCTGCTCGTCATTCTCTGTGTTCTCCTGCTACCCGTTCCCTCGCGTTTGCAAAGGCGTTGGTCCTCCTAGCTGAGCGTACTGCTCATGAGCTGCCTCATAACCATGATCACAGGAAGCTTAGCATGTCTCCAAACCGATCCAACTCGAACAGACCACCGACGGGCGGGCTGCGCGCGTCATTGGTGATTCAGTTTCTGGCCCGCACTTCACGCACTTGGACGCGTAGTATGGGTCTGAGATCTTAATAAGGTACGCAGTCGATGTGATGTTTCACGAGCATAACTCACCAACCCGCCCTTGGAGCACATGCTAGCGCCAAGGTATCTTCTTTCCACCGGATGACAGGACGGAACTCTTTTAAGTTTTGTGAAGGTATGCCCTAGCTTCTTACGGCATCTCTGTCGTCGTGCACACTCGCGAGCGCAAGCGCAAGCATGTTGAATTTCCAAGTCACGCTGTGAAGCTGATCGACAGGTTGGAATCCTCTCTCTTTCTGTCACCGCCAATTTTCATGCAATCCATAAACGCCTGTTGCCAATCCCTGTGCGCATCCAGGCCGTCTGCCATGACGCAGCTCATCATAGGTGTCACAATGCTCAGTCGCGAGACGGTTTCCAACACGGCGTAGGAGAGTGAGGCGACGAATCCCCGAGGGTACGCTTGCGAGAATGTGCTCCGTCTCAGCGATCTCAATAAGCGTGCTTGCCAGCTTGAAAATGGGCAGAGGTACAGCTGTGGAGTGTTCAACTGTAATATTATATTCTGCAATGACAAGATGTGTAGACAATTTTCCAGAGTGTCCTATCCCGAGAGCGCGTGAAACGTCTGTTGAACAAGCGTACAGATATACAGTCAGATCCGTGCATATAAGTTCAATTTTGTCTCCCTCCAACAGCGCCACAACCTCCTCCTGTTCGCACGTTACGGGCTGTACGGCACGTGCGCGACGCGCTCTATCCGCGATGCCCACGCACGTCTTGGGCCGCGAACTCACCGTACATGTTGGCGCTGCGGTCGAGAAGCAGGCGCACGACGTCAGCATGTCCCTTCGCCTTCGCATGGTCCTGCGCACGTAGTCCGTCTGCATCCATGGCCGCGACGCTCGCGCTGTTGTCGAGGAGAACGCGGGAAACGTCGACGTGCCCGTTCCAGGCCGCGCAGAGCAGCGGGGTCCACCTATTGTTGCTCTGCGCGTTGACAGCCGCACCGTGCTCGAGAAGGCTGAGCACAACGCCGACATGGCCATTTGCTGCAGCGATATGTAGTGGTGTCCATCTATCCTTTTCCCGCGCATTAACAGCTGCACCGTGTTCGAGAAGGGTGCGCGCGACGTCGACGCAGCCATTGCATGCAGCGATATGTAGCGGCGTCGCACCTTCTTTATTCTGCGTGCTGACAGCTGAACCATGCTCAAGGAGGGTGAGCACAGTGTCGACGTGACCATTTTGTGCAGCAATGTATAGTGGTGTCGCACCATTCTGATTCTGCGCGTCGATAGCTGCGCCACGCTCGAGAAGGGTGAGCCCTATGTTGACGTGACCTTGTTCTGCAGTGATATGTAGTGGTGTCCAGCCGTTCTGTTCCCGTGCGTCGACAGCCGCGTTGTGCTCGAGGAGGGTGCGCCCAATGTCGATGTGGCCTGTTCGCGCAGCACTATGTAGTGGTGTCGCACCGCTCTGATTCTGCACATCAACAGCTGCACCGTGCTCGAGAAGGGTGCGCCCAACGTCGACGTGGCCATATTGCGCAGCAATATGTAGTGGTGTCCAGTCATCCTGTAGTCGCGCGTTGATAGCTGCACCGTGCTCGAGAAGGATGCGCCCAATGTTTACATGGCCATTTTGTGCAGCCATATATAACGGCGTCGCACCATTCTGATTCCGCGCATCGACAGCCGCGCCGTGTTCGAGAAGGGCGCGCCCAATGTCGACGTGGCCATTTTCTGCGGCGATATGTAGCGGTGTCGACCCGTCCTGTTCTCCCGCGTCGACAGCTGCATCGTGCTCGAGAAGGACGAGCACAATTTCGACGAGGCCATTTCGTGCAGCGATATGTAGCGGCATCGCACCATTCCGATTTTGCACGTCGACAGCTGCACCATGCTCGAGAAGGATGCGTGCGATGTCAATCCGGCCATATTGTGCGGCAAAATGCAGTGGTGTCCGTCCGTTCTCTCCCTGGATGCCAACAGTTGCGCCATGCTTGGAAGGGGTACGCGCCGTGATGTACTTGTCGACATGCCCGCTCCTGCCCAAGGCCTTCTCGCCCCACAAATACGTCACTCTCGTACTGTCTTCTCCTAGCCCCAACCCAACAAATTTTTGCCCCTCATCCTCGTCCATATGGATCACACCCCATTTGATCACCTCAAGGGCTTTCTCGCCAAGCACATCCCGCTCCCCGACCACCTCAACTGCAACCCAGCAATCCTTCCAGGGGTGCCCGACGCCGACGAAGTGATACGGAACGTCTGGGACAAGATACCCATGAGTTTCGGTAGCGGAGACTTCCACGGTGATGGGCTCAGCGTGATCGTAGAAGTGCAGTTGGAACGCTTGTGGTCCACCAGTATTTCGGCGGGTGTCGTTAGGTGAGGATACAATGCGACATGGCTTAGTAACACATCCGGTGTGATAATACTCTCCGGGCTCATCGGTATGAACCTGTTGAGGATCCACCAGCCGTAGCTCCTCTGCGTCAAGTGTCCGGTTAGAGAGCAGCAAGGACGGTGGGGACGCCAAGAGCCCTGACCATGAGGTCCACAATCCGAACAGTGCATCAGATTCGTGTTGAAGGAAGAGAGACGTCCTGTTCCGTGCAGGCATGTGCTTGATGAGCAGCGTCCATGCGGTCTCCAGGGAAATTGACCGATTGTATAGCGGCAGCGTCGTGCATTGCAAGAGATAAGCAAGACAGGACATCTTGCCATGGTCTGTGGGGCAATAGCGACCCCTCACGGCTTGGACGATGTCGGCGAAATGGTCCCATCGAGACATATTCGAGATGAGGTCCTGAAGCCGAGTAAAGAAGTTCCGGCTATCGGGGAGAGGTGCGGCAGTGAGTCCGCCGGGTAACCAACTGGATGAGGTCTCCTGCAAGGTCCACAGATGATTAAACCAGTGGTCATCCGATTTGAGGACTGTCGGTGATGCATTGAACGGCAAGCCCAAGCCGTTGAAATACGTGATGCATGGTCTTCCGCGCGGGTAGGCTTGGTAAACATGACCGACCGTGGGTACGTCGAGCTTCCACTCCTCGAGCCGAGCTTTGTCGTCGTCCGCGTTGCCCTCCAGCCATAAACAGAGGACGTCAACCCAGACATACTTGGCGCCCATGTTCAGCAGCTCGATGCGGATGTGGTCGAGTGATGTGCCGCGCGGGAGCGATACAGGCCATCGGCGTCCATTGATCGGGGTCATGACGAGTATGCGCCCTCGTCCGTGGACCCAAGTGTGTGACACGGCCCATAGGTCGGCGGGCAAGCAACTAGAGTCCTCGTTATTTTCCCAAGGCACTACATGGAAGGGAAGGACTCGATTGCTATACAGGTCCCAGACACGTCGAGGAGGAATTTGGGAGTCTTGGATAGAGTGGTCGCGAACTGCGTTTTCTCGCCTTCGCTGGTCCTCGTCATGACGATCTTTCATCCTGGCGAGGACCGTGACAAAGTCATTGGACCCGGGTTGCCGAATTGACCACTGCGGGCGTAGTGTACCGTACACCTCTCCGAAATCATTTGAAGTGCTGGCGGCATACTCTAAACAGTCGCGAAGACCGGGGGTTCCGAGTGGATAAGATGTACCAAGGACGTCGTTGAGTTTGGCGAGTAGGTCGGCAACTGATAGGAGATCACAAGGGACGTCTGCGAGCGCATTGGGTATTGCTCCTCGACCAACGTGTACCCACTGCAGAGGGACGGTGGAGATACTGGGAGGGTGGAGAGTGTAGCATTTGCCTCCGCCCGAGGACCGAAAAAGATCATGGGCAAATGCGGTCCCGAACGACGAAGCCAGCTGAATCGACCCCCAAAGAACAGCCCGGTTGTCATTGGTGGAGGAAACCCCACATGCAATCCGCTGGTCGACAAATTCCGGGATGTTTATCTGTGCCACGGTAGGACGCTTATTACTGGGTGTCCAAGGCGGGTTCGTGTCAGCCAGTAGTATGCGCAAGTCGGGCCTGTTCTGTACTGTGTAGAGTGTGTGATACTGGCCATCAAATGCGTCAGTCGTGTTGGAAATTGATGGTCATGGAAGTGAACACGAACCGAAGGTGTCTTGAAGTCGCTGACCAATTTGTGCTCGGCCAACTCGTTGAATGCCTGTTGTTGCGAGATCAGAGTCAGTCGCACTTGTACTGCGAGCATAACATGACGAGCACGTACGGCAATATAGTCGCATACTCTTGAGCTTCGACATACCACCTCCTCAGCGGTAGAGTATATTATCCGCCGTCGCCTACTGACGGCTACGTATGCCTCCAGCCGCTGGCCTTCTTCTCGATCGACTCGGATGACCGCCCATCTTGCAACTGAGAGTGCCTTCCCTTTATCTACAATCTGTTCTCCAACCATTTCGCCAACGACCCAGTGCTCTACGTCTTCTTCGGGATTTATCAAGCAATACGGCATGTCGTCCAGAAGTACCCCATGCCTACCGAGAATCGAGAGCTTGGTAGACTTTTCCTGATCTCCACAGAATATCTCGATTTCCTCTACTCCGGCTTGAGTGGTACCTCTCAGCAGGATATGACATGATTCCGTGACATAGCCAAAATGGGAGTATACGCCCTGCGAATTGGTGTGGAGCTGACTCAGCGGATGCAGAAGCCTAAGGCTGCCGTCCTTGGAGGCTCCTGCTGAAAAGCGGAATTCGCCGGTGTGAGGAGTCTCCGAAAAATGCAAGAACCTCTGCCATGACCCCCATAGACCAAAGGGGGTGCACGGAGGATACTGGAGCGAAATCGCCGTGCGCCGCTGGGCGTCCATGTGCTTGAGCAACAGAGTCCACGCGACCTCCGGATCCACGTTCTCGTCGTAGATAGGCAGAGTGCGGCAACGGAAGATGTACGCCAGCCCTGATATCCTGTCGAGCTCGTTGGCGCACGAACGTTCGCGAAGAGCTTGGGCAAGGCTGAAATCATCGCTATGACTATTGACCGCCGTCACGATACCGCGAAGACGGTCGAAGAACGCATGAGGATCTGCGAGAGGTCTGCCAGTTAAGCCTCCAGGAAGCCAGCTGGGCGGAGACTCCTGCAATGTCCAGACACGATTGAACCACTGTCGCGTTGAGCGCAGGACAGCTGGTGAGGTATCGAGAGGCAGACCGAGGCCATTGAAATAAGTAACGCAGGGTGTCGAAGGACGGGAGTAGGTGTAGCCGATGGTGGGGACATCGAGCTTCCATTCTTCTTTCCGTTGGGTCTCGTTCTCACCTCGCCCTCTCTGCCTTAGGCACAACACGTCCAACCACACGTACTCTGCTCCCATGTTGAGTAGCTCTATGCGAATGTGGTCGAGGGTGGTGTCGCGTGGAGTAGGGACAGGCCATTGCTCTCCATTGATCTTCGTCCATACATCGATGCGGTCCTTATCGTCTACCCAGCTATGCGACACACACCAGACCTTGGACGGTATATCATCAGGGTCTGAGCCCGCATCTCGGGGAAGGGCGTGAAGAGGAAGGACACGGTTGGAGTGTAGATCCCATACACGACGGGGAGGAATCTTGGAATTCTGGATGCAGGAGCCATGAATCGCGTTGCGGCGGATCGTCTCGAGCTCATCCTTGCGAGCGTCTACCTTGTGCACGACATCGCGGAAATCGCTGTGCCACCAAGGACGTAAGAAGCCGTATAGTTCGCCAAAATCTTTGGACTGTCGTACGAAATGCTGCAAGCAGTCGTCAAGACCAGGGGTGTCCAAGGAGTAGTCGGTTTGGAAGATGTGGTTGAGGTTGCAGAGCAGATCCTGCAAATCAACGTCCGCACAGGATGCAGCTGCCAACATATTCGTTATGGTACCGCGGCCCACGTGCAGTCGTTGAAGCGGGACTTCAGAGCGTCGAGGCGGCTTTAAGGGAAACGATATGCCATTGTCCGCATCCTGAGATCTGAACAAGAGCTTTTCAGAGACACGTCCCGACTTTGCAAGTTGCACCGTGCCCCAGAGGTTCAAGCGATTCTCCTCCGAGGTTGTGTACGAGTCTCCACTCCATTTGACACGGTGTTCGAGAGCAGTGGGTATCACGGTCGTGCCATTGGCAACGGATTGCCAAGGAGGGCCCTCGCAAGAGACCGCGACGGGCGTCCCTTCCAGCTCGAAATGCCATCCCACGTTCTCCACCTGCGAAAGAATATCAGCACGCTTAGCATGACGCGATATTCGCACGAAACTCACCAGCGCTGGATTGCTCGGGTTGAGCAAATCCGAGTCGTCTCCGCTGTCATTCATCCTAGTCTTTCTCTGTTTCTCCTAAGTAGGGTAGAATGATTCCTCATTAGTTTACTATGACATGAAAGTGATTGTAATCGTTACAAACGCACTAGAGGATCTGCAGCTCCGCCAAGGGTCGCCATCCCCGCAATGCCAGCGCCCAATAAGATAGCGAAAATCTGACAGATCAAGCGCATGAATATTGGAGCTAAGCAAGTCACAGAGCAAGCCTACCAGAGAAACGAGCAACAAGCTTAGGAGAATTGAAATGGCGAGTCGTCGCAGTTATCGCAGTAGCAATAGCGATAGAGCTAGCTGTAAAGGCTGGCCTAGGTGTAATGAGAACAGCCGCGTGGATCACCGTCGACTTGCCACGTAGCGGCAGGGGAAAGGTGTCGTCTATAGATTGTTTCTTTCTGTGTAGCAATCAGCCTCATCGCGGCCTAACGAGCAAAGCCGGAGGTAGTACAGCGCCGCGAGGCCGCATGGCCCAGCACCGAGATGGTGTCTAGATGAAAACGACGTACTTTCAGCAGTATCGTTGCGTCTTCAGCTTTCTCCATACGCGTTCGCGGCTTCGTCCGGGACAAGAAACGAGGCGCAGAGACCGTGTGACCCGGGAGACCCTCGGCATTGCAGCGCCGGGAAGATCTGCGAACGGGGATGGCCATGATGCCTCCGCTAATGCCCAAACTCTATCCAGCCCCACGGTCATTGGGTATGCTGTTGCGATCCTCTCTTCGCACTCGCGGTGAAAGGCGCGTCAGCAGCTATGAAATGAGCATCGAGTAGACACGCGCGGCTACGGACAGCGAATCTGAAATCCACAAAGGCCGTAAGTACTGGATTGGAAAAATGCCTGCGTGCGCGCATACATCGAGTTTTTTTTTACGAGATTTAAGACAATACAGGGCCCAGCGCAAGATCTCAAGAATGTCTACACCAGGAACACTGGAACCAGCCTCGCTGTCAGTGTCATTCCGTTCAGCTTCATGCACGACTCACCTCACAAGGCGACACTATCCAGACAGCCACTATCCCTGTTGTTCCGTCCTTTTATCTCGAAGCGTACCAGCATCTCGAACACCAACATCTTGTTGTGACCAGCACACGAGATATGTGTGCCCAGACGGTGACGAAATTGTGAAGACTGGCCCGGTCGTTTCTTGTCGTCGATGCGAATGAAATGCGTGTTGCGTGGGAAGGACACGTCTGTCGGAACAGTCATCGACGGCGCATACACAGCTTCTCGGGGCACCTACTTGTAATGCAATCTTCGTTCAAGTTATATGCGACGAATAGATTTTCTATCAGTTTTACGCAGAACGGTCGTTTGTTCTTTTTTACTTTGTTAAATATTTGAAATTATTGAAGTCTATTTTCCAATCCGTCAGCTGGTGCATCCGTAATGTCCATTTGGGTATGGTATGAAGTGACGGAGGCAAGGCGGCAGAACAAAAGTTGTCGTATGCCGGCGACGATGTTCAAAAACGCAAAGTTTGCACTGCTGAAGGCTGAAATACGTGAGCATGCCCTACAATTCAAGAATCCGAGCTGATTAGGGTGCATATCGTGCATATGACAACGGAACTCACCTGTGTACTGGGCGTGCCACAAGCGAACAGGCTGAAACGCTAAAGAGCACCGTGGCCAGACTTGTCGCTTGTGCCTTTGTGTAGGGCCTCGTCGAAAATATCAGAAGCAGCAAATGTTTGCGCGTCGGAACCGAGCTAGCCGCTTAACCAAGAGACGACTGGGTTGATAGAGCTGCTAAACTTGTCTATAAGCCAGGTGTGTAAGACACAACAATCAGGGACACACACGTCGAGATTCCTCACTACTTCGACCGCTCTGTTCGACCTTCAAAACGTCTGTGCAGCATATTACTGAATAGCCAAGTATGTGCGTTCTGTTGACGCGCTAAGTTAAGCCCACACCGTGCACAAAATGGACGTACCAGGTCAGTGCCGAATTGGACCTGCCATGACCACAATATGATATTCGAGACTTAAGACGGTGTGCACAGATGACAGAAAGTAAGCAGATACGAGAAAGAGAGCATTCAGGACGACAACAAGCCATGATCTGAGCGGCGGAGGACGGAGGTGGAGGTTGCGGTTGAACTCATTAACGCCCGCATAGCCTCAAACCCTAACCTAGTCTCGTGCTCCCCGAAAGCGCCGTTGCCCGAGAAATTGTGCGGCATGCACGCATCTTCCACAACTCTTCGACCATCTTCCTCACCGACCTGCTCACGAGCGCGCACCGCGTTGTTAGCCACTGCGACATGGACTCATCTCTCGGGTTCCTGCCGTGCCCAACCGACCGCAGAAGGGCGGCCTCGTGGCGAGCACGCTCGTCGAGAGCTGGGCGTTCGCGGACGAGAAGTACGTGATCTGGCGCGACCCCGCATGCTGACCTCCGCATCGTTCCTCAAGACAGGCCACACTCCGTGCGACCAGACGAAAGCCTGGGCGCACGCGTCTCGCGCGCCACCGCGCGGAAGAGAGGCGCTGCTGTGGGCGGATTTGTCGCGAGTATGCCTTCAGCCATTGGGGTGTCGGCAGACGAGGCGGAGGGGTATGGTCGCGGTAGATTCCCTGATACGACTCGGATTTTGTGACTACGGTAGACATTGGCTTACGCCCATTAGATTCATCTCGTGTCCTACATGTGCCTCAGAGCTATACACTGCTCAATGCGACACTGTATGGTCGCTCTACCATCCTGCCTCTCCCGTCTCTGTGAATGCCTTCAAAGAGCTGTATTTGCAGATGGGATTGTTAGCGGCACCTAATGAGCCAATGTCTTGCCTTACAAACTGACATGTCATGCAAATGGTCAGAGCGAGGAGCGCCGTGGCACTGGTCGGTATAGCTTGCCGCAGCCCTTCGCAAATCGAGATGTACAAGTTGAAAGCCACTGTCAATATCCGGATCGTTTGACGCTTTTCTCGCTCATACGCGTGGCAAGGTAGGCCCGTTAATAGATGCGGTACCCGGGGCATCGGCACACGAGTTAGAGGAGACCGAGAGGGAGGCAGCCTATGAATTCACACAGCTTAGACACAGCGGCCACTAATACTACGATACACCTTGGCTCACAATCCGTAAATTCAAAAATTGCACTGTATACGCTCGTTATGCGTCACTGAATACAATATCGGACCCGTTCCCCGCTTACCGGTGTCCCTTCGCCTTGTTAAACGCTGTCATGTACTCGTTGACGTGCTGGCTCCTGGCCCGGGCCTCCTCGCGCGACAAATACACCACCATCGTATCGTCTGTTCCTAGTCCTAGCCCTTTGAATTTCTTGCCCTCACTCTCGTCCGTGAAGACCACACCCCACTTCACCACCTCGAGAGCTCTCTTGCCCCGCATGTCCCGCTCTCCGACCACCTCAACCGCAGCAATCCAATATTCGCTCGAACGGCCCCCGAGGCAGAGGAGACGATAAGGCACATTTGGGACAAAACAACCATGCGATGCGGTAGCGGACAGCGAAACGGTAATAGGCTCAATGCGGTCGGAGAAGTGCAGTTGGATTACTTGCGGTCCGCGGTTTCGGTAGGTAACGTCGGGTGGGGACACAACGTAGCATGGTGCAGTGGCGTATGCGCCTTGATAGTACTGTCCTGGCTCGTTGGTGTGAACCTGTAGAGGATCCACCGGGAATAGCCACGAGACCCAAATCGCAGCAGGGGCCTGCAGCGCCGGTCGGGACATCAGGAACCCTGCCCATGAGATAAAGAGTCCGAACGGCTCGTCAGACTCGTGTTGGAGAAAAATGGCTATCCGCTCCTCCGCTGGTATGTGCTTAATGAGCAACATCCATACAGACTCCGGGAGGGCCGACGGATCGTACAGCGGCAGAGTGTTGCACTTCAAGAAATAAGCGAGGCCGGCTATCCTATCTAGCTCTGAGGAGCAAGAGCGAACTTTCATGTCTTCGATAACACCAGCCCGCCCGTACCAATCGAACAGGCTGGAGAGGAGGTCCTGCAGCCGAGAAAATAACTTCGGGCTTTCGGGGACAGGTGTCGGAGTGAGTCCGCCAGGCAGCCAACTACCCTGCGTCTCCTGCATAGTCCACACGCGGTTGAACCAGTGACGATCAGACTCCATGACTATCGACGAGGTGTCCAACGGTAAGCCCAGGCCGTTGAAATAGGTGACGCATGCTCTGCCTTTCGGGTAGGCGTTGTAAACGTGACCAATCGTTGGTACGTCAAGCTTCCACTCCTCCAACCGAAGGGCATCGTCCACGCCGCCTTCCTGCCGAAGACAGAGGACGTCGAGCCAGGCATATTCGGCTCCCAGGTTCAGCAACTCGATGCGAACGTGCTCGAGAGATGTAGCGCGAGGCATGGGCACAGGCCATTGCTGTCGGTTGATTGGGGTCATGACGAACTCGCGCTCTCGTGGTAGGACCCAGCTGTGAGACACTGTCCATAGGTTGTCGGGCATATGAACGGGGTTATGGTCGGGTTCCCGAGGCATGACATGGAACGGGAGGACGCGGTTGCTGCGCAGGTCCCACACACGTCGGGGAGGAATGTTGGAATTCTGGATCGAGTGATCGAGCGTTGCATCGTCTCGCACTTGCTTGACTCCGGTCCGATGATTCCTCATGGCGGTCAGGGCTGCGACGAAGTTCCCGGACCACCACGAGCGCAGTGTACCGTACACGTCTCCGAAATCGTATGAGGTGCTGAGGGCATACTCCAAGCAGCCGCGAAGACCAGGAGTACTGAGTGTATGAGATGTACCAAGAACGGCGTTGAGTTTGGTGAGCAGATCGTGGATTGGTAGCGTGTTGCAGGGGATATCGGCGAGTGCGTTGGGTATCGCTCCTCGACCGACGTGCATCCACTGAAGAGGGATGGCGGAAGGAGTGGGGGGTGTGAGAGTGTAGACTTCGCCTGCGCCCGAAGACCTGGACCGGAATGTGAGATATTTGGCGGCGCACATCCAGGGAATGTAATCGCATGAGAAGCAGACGGACGCCCCCGGAAATTCAAAGAAAGCTCTGGATCGCCTGGATGATTCGTATGCGATCTAAACAAAAAGGACAACGAACACTGTGTTAGCATTGATATTTCAGGCTGAGATCGAGAAACCTACGTTGCCAGAGGGCTGGTTGCTTTCCAAGCCAGAGTGTGGTGGCGCGCGAGAATCCTTGGATGCGGCGAAATGACGACGTCTAGCCTCGTACTTGGCATCTCGAGCGCCATTGCGCGTTGTGAAAGGGAAAAAAGGATGTGTAAGATCGTGTTGAGCCCGCACATCTGGGTCTGAGATGCACCACGTGCAGAGGACGAAGTTCGGACATGAGAGGCACCTGTGCTGGGCAGCCGAGGCACCGAGGTTACAGCCTCGACAGTGCATCGCGTCCAGTGTGGCAAAGACTACCTTGAAGGCGCTAGTATCTTCCTGAGGGTACTCGACAGGGAAAAAGCGATGTCTGGCGTTGTGCTCCAGGCGACGCGGGACGGACGAGACGCAGAACTGACAGAGAGAAAAGTTGGGGCATTCTAGGCACCGGTGTCCAACATGAGAGATGTGGCGTTGGCAGCCATCGCATCTGGTCCCGTTCGTGTCCGAGGAAAAAGCCGACTCAGAGCTGAGATCGGTTGTGGAAGACTCCAACGGAGTGAACTTGTGCAGAGGGTCGTGGGACATGCGGACTTGGGGATCGCTCACACAAGCGGTGCACAGTCCATAGTCACCGCAGTCCGAACAGCGATGCTCGACGGATCTGCCGCATCTGCTGCATGCTCCATCTCCAGGAAAGGTCGAAGGGAAGTGGGGACCGCCTCGCGCGGCAGGGAACTGCGCATATGCTCCTGGACTCCGGCTAGGAAAGAGTTCGTGGGAAACGTCGTGCTCAGAGCGTTTCTCAGTGCTGTTGAAGCATGTAGAGCAGAGATCGAAGTTATCGCAGGAAAGGCACTTGTAGCGTACGCCGATAACTGGGCCATGACGACAGCCGTCGCAGCCAACATGAGGATGAACCTCGCACGACGCTTCCGACGCTTGCCAAAATGGCTTCTGGTCCCAAGGGTACTCGATTGGAAAAAATGTATGAGTATGTTCGTGTTGAAAGCGAATCGGGACCAGCGATATGCAAGCCTGGCAGAGGTCGAACGAGGCGCATTCGACACACTTGTGACGTACACCGAAAACTGGCTTTTCGCAGCCGCGGCATGTGATTCCTCGATGTTCCACGCCTCGAGAAGCCTATTGTTATTATTTTAAGGCAGCGTAGGATAAGATAATTAACACTGGACCTCACCGTATTCGGATCGTTGACAGCACCTCTGTCGCCCTTGCTCACAGATGTCATGTCCCGCCTATACATCGATGACCTAATATGTGATCACGAAGGCTAGTGAGTAAGCTAACGCGCAATGTAACTTTACCAACTCACGAGGTTGGAGTGTCAGAGGAAGGGCTCCACTAAGACGATGCAGTGTTCTTGAGCCGGCGAAAAGGCGTGCATGTGCAGCTGGTCGCTACTGTCTTCGGGTTCGTATCACAGAGCAGTAGGATGCCTGAATACATCGCTCTGCGGTGTCTTAAATACTGCAACTCCGGACCGGTATGAGGCGGAGTGATGAGGAGGCATCGTGCAAGCGGGAGGTCGGACTTATTGGTAGTTCCTGGGCGCAGCTCGTTCAGACTAGCACTAATTGTTCATACATGATTTTCACATCTGTACCAGAAGCGGACGCCGTGGCCCCAGCCGCTATCAGGAATGAAATGAGTATCAAAGACGCAAGCCATGATGCTTAATGCTAGGAACTCACCACGAGCCTCGGTCTCCGTGCGTACAACATGTTGCGCATCGTCGGTGGTGACCTGACATCATCCAATGTTTCCGCAAAGTCCGGAGCATCCGCACGAACCCCAGCCCGCAAATTCACACGAAAACACCCAACACGCCCCGCCGCTTCCCGTTTGGGCAAGAGACTCGGCGCTAGCTTGCAAGCGCCAGCACTGAGCAGCGCGGTAATATATGGCTTCCCTGCTTGCGCATCCGCTCACCGCTTATCTTTTCTCACAGAGCGGCTTGGAAAACGGCGTCTGACTAGGTTTTGTATTCATCTGGAGACAAAGCGTATGACCCGTGTTCAGGGAGCCCTGGGACCCTTTCTTGATGGCCAGACTCGAATTTAATTGGTTAGCACCAAGCCCGTATCCATAAGGATCTCGCATTCTCTTCAAGCGTTTGCAGCCCCAATCTATGCGCTACGAAGGTGATGGTAGGGCGGGATGAGCATAGTACTACGAACGCGAATCCACAACCCTCTTACTCGCGGTAAGGTAGGTCCTGCCTTCTATATGAATATAATTGTGTCTGATATAGGCGGAGCAGGAGCGATATGCACAAAAGCAAGGTTTACGGCCAACAGCGCTCAGCATCAGTATTGTACCATTTTTCACGTTTCCCGGCATATCAGAGGCATGGAAAAAGCCTCTACACGTCATGGGGCTTCGAGCCTTGCATCGAGGCCTTCCCAGAGCCGGGTCGTCTTCCAGCAAATCCAGAGCATTCACCATGCCGCAAATACGGTAGGTAGGACAACGAAAATATAGTTCTCATGCTGTACAGTCGTCCCTGCCGGACTGGGTGCCTCGTTCGAGATGAACAGCACCTTCCAATGTCTTGAGGCCTCGACGGGTCTACATAGTTTCGAACCACTTGGCAATTCGGTTCCGATACTCGAGGTACCTATGAAATCATCAGTGCATGCCTTTCGACGATCGTCATCTACGCCTGGAGCGCCATTCACGTCGACGTGCCAACGAGACAGACCAGATGTACGTCATCGACAAGATCAACTAGCTCATCACCGGCCTGATTGCTCCCGGTCTGCTGCTGTACGTTGTGTGCTGTCAGCTGCTGTACCGCATGTTCTGCTCGAAGAAACAAAAAAAAATTTGCATGTCGAGTCCATTTAGCCGACGGGCAATCGGCCGAGGGCACTGCGGAACTCTCGGGCAGGACATAAGGCAGGGCGATTTCACTACTCATCGAGCCAACGCCTCATCTTGACGAGCCGACCATATCTCGCATAACGGACCTGTCCGATATGGCCTCGTTATTTGATACACAGAGACAGATGCAGCATCGTCCAATTTTCGCAAGGAAAATATTTTCTCTGCGCTTGAATGACCAGCTCTTCAATGCCATGCTGCTCCTCTAAGTCTTGTCCGATAATTCCCTCGAAACACAGCAGCGTTCCCGGCGCCGAATCCTGATGCAAACACTCATGGACGCTTAGGCCCAGGCAGACATGTCTGAGCTCGTTGGTCGAGAAGGTGCGCGAGTCTAGCTACCAGCCCCTTCCTCACCCCCGCATGTAAAAATGGCTCCTTCATAAACGTGTTAGTCTAGAGATCAGCAGACGAGTTAGAAGGGGGTGAGAGCGTGTGTCGGGAATATCAAGGTTATGTGAAAATACACCTGAATACCGCACTGTCGTCGTCCCTCGCATCCGAAGGCTCCAGATAAGGTGCTTTCACGCTATTCTACGACCTCATTTTTCGTTACCGAGACCTGCATACATGTGTACTATCGCGGTCGTGGCGCTCGGGTTGGGTTGAGATGGTGTACTAAACTTAAGGATGGTTGTGAGAATGATGTCTGCAATCTGGCATATGCCCCGCCCTCCGACTTTCCCTCGCCTTATTAAATGCCTCCATGTACTCATCGACGTGCTGGCTCCTGGACAGGGCCTCCTCACTCGCTAAGTACACCACCCTCGTTCCGCTGCTCCCTAGTCCTAGCTCTGTGAATTCCTTGCTTCGGTCATGGTCCATGCAGACCACGCCCCATTTTATCACCTCGAGAGCTTTCTCGTCTTGTACGTCCCGCTCCCCGACCACCTCTACCACAACCCAGAAATCTACCCAAGTACCCTCGATGCAAAGGAAGCGGTACTGAACATTTGGGACAACGCATCCATGTAATCCGGGAGTGGATATTGGCACGGTAGTAGGTTCGGTGCGGTCGTAGAAATGCAGTTGGATCACATGCGGTCCACGGCTTCGGAAGACGTCGTCGGGTGGGGATATAACGTAGCATGGTACGGTGGCATAGGTGACTTGGTAGTACTTTCCTGGCTCGTTGGTGTGAATCTGCAAAGGGTCGACCAGCTCCAAATTCTTCGCATCACGCATTCGACCGGGGGGTGGCAGCAGCGGTGGGTATGCCAGGAACCCTGCCCATGATACCCAGGGCGCGAAAGGCACGTCAGACTCATATTGAAGGAAGATGTATCTCCGCGGCCCCGGCGATAGGTGCTTGATGAGCCGCATCCACGCAGTCTCCAAGGAAATAGACGGATCGTACAGCGGCAGCGTCTTGCAGCCCAAGAGATAGGCGAGACCGGCTATTCTGTCAAGCTCTGAGGAGCAAGAGCGGCTCCTCATGGCTTCTAAGAGATCGGGCCCTCGGACTGAGGAGGATGCACTCGAGACGAGCTCCTGCAGCCGATAAAAGAATCTCGGGCCCTCAGGAAAAGGTGTCGGGACGAGTCCTCCGGGCAACCAGCTCTCCAGTGTCTCCTGCACGGTCCACACACGGTTGAACCAGTGCCGATCGGATTCGAGAACCGTCTGCGACGCATCGAATGGCAAACCCAAGCCGTTGAAATAGGTGATGCATGGTCTTCCCTTCGGCTGAGCCTGATATACGTTGCCGATCGTAGGTACGTCGAGTTTCCACTCCTCCAGCCGAATGCTGTCGTCAGCGCCGCCTTCCTGCCGCAGACAGAGGGCGTCGAGCCAAGCGTATTCGGCTCCCAGGTTCAGCAGCTCGATGCGGACGTGCTCGAGAGACGTGGCGCGGGGCATGGGCACAGGCCACTGCCATCGGTTGATTGGAGTCATGACGCCCTCGCGCTCTCGTGCGTCGACCCAGCTGTGAGACACCGTCCATAAATTGTCGGGCATGTGATTACGATTCTTGAGGACCCGTGCTCGAGATATGACATGGAACGGGAGGACGCGATTGCTGCGCAAGTCCCAGACTCTACGGGGATGGATTTTGGGGTCCACGATGGAGCCACCGTGAACTGCGTCGTCGCGCCTTCTCTCGATCTTGTCTCGATGATCCTTCATTGCGGTTAGGGCTGCAACAAAGTCTCCGGACCACCATGAGCGTAGTGTGCCGTACACGTCTCCGAAATCGTGCGAGGTGCTGAGGGCATACTCCAAGCAGTCGCGAATACCAGGGGTCTCCAGCGTATAAGATGTGCCAAGGACAGTGTTGAGTTTGGCGAGTAGATCCTGAATCGGTAAGGCGTCGCAGGGAATATCGGCGAGGGTATTCGGTATCACCCCTTGGCCGACGTGTATCCACTGAAGAGGGATGGTGGAAGGAGTGGGAGGTATGAGAGTGTATGTTTCGCCTGCGCCTGAAGACTCGGACCGGAAGAGGTCGCAGGCAGGTACAATTCCAGACGAGGCTAATTGTATCAGGCCCCAGACGACAGTCCTATAATATTCGTTTGCAACTTCGGTGGACCAGTCGGTATCCGCAATTGTATCGACCCGCTCCTCTACGACTTTGGCGATCCTCACTAGCGGAGCGACGCATGTCCACGGGTTATAGGCAGACGAAAAGCAGACAGATGTATCAGATAGCTCGAAAAAGACCCTGGACTGTATCGGTGATTCGTGTCCCCTGGTGGGCTGGATAGAAATTGAGTTTTGACGTCAGTAGACGATAATAACAATTCGTCATTGGACACACCTGCACAAGTTCATCTGCAGAGATGCTCTGCTGGAAATCAACATAATGTAAGTATAAATATTCTGGGGCGCGAGCGAGACACTTACACTATCAGTGGAGCCATCGCTCTCCGAGTTGGAGTCTGCCAACAGAGGGGTATCCTTGTATGTAGCGAATTGTTGACGTCTAGCCTCATATATGGCATCTAAATCCTCGAAGTGCGTTGTATAAGGGAAGAAAGGGTGCGTGAGGTCGTGCTGAGCCCGCACGTCTGGGTCTGAGATGCACCACATGCAGAAGACGAAGTCCAGACATGAGAGGCACCTGTGCTGGGCAGCCGAGGTACCGAGGTTACAACCTCGACAGCGCGTCGCATCTAATGTGGCATAGACCGCATCAAAAGCACCGGCATCCCACGGATACTCGATAGGGAAGAAGCGATGTTTGGGATCATGCTCTGAACGCCGCCGAACGGACGAAATACAGAGCCGACAAAGGGAAAAGCCTGTGCATTCCAGGCACCGATGTCGAATGCGATAGATTCGACGCTGGCAGCCATCGCAGCTGGTCTTGTCCGTAGTACCCTCGTGGTCCGAGGAAGAAGCCGGTCCATGTTCGAGACTGGCTGCGGAGGGATCCAGCGGAAAGAACCTATGTAGACGATCGTGGGATATACGAACTTGCGTATCGCTTATGCAAGCGGTACACAGCCCGTAGTCCTGGCAGTCTAGACAGTAGTGTTCTGCGGGTCTGCTGCATCTGTTGCATGCTTCACCCAAGTGCCGACCGGTACTGCCACAGGGGACGTGCTTCTTTTCATCTATCCGGGGAAGCGGAGCGGTGTCGCGTTCAGGGGAGGTTGAAGAAGGGGTCGAAGGAGAGGCTGAAGGGGTGCGAGAATTGCCTTGTGCGGCGAGGAATTTTGCATATTCTCTTGGACTCTGGATAGGAAAGAAATCGTGGGAGATGTCGTGTTCGGAGCGTTCCTCGGCGCTGTTGAAGCATGCAGAGCAGAAATCAAATTCATCGCACGAAGAGCACCTGTAAAGAACGCCAAAGACTGGATGTTGCCCGCAACCATCACATTCGATATCAGGATAGACTTCGCATGACACTGTTGAGACTTCAAAAAATGGGCGTTGGTCCCAAGGATACTCGATTGGAAAGAAAGTATGGGTGTGCTCGTGTTGCGATCGAATAGGTACCAATGATATGCAAGCCTTGCAGAGGTCGAAGTCGGAGCATTCGATACACTTGTGACGTACGCCGAAAATAGGTTCTTCGCAGGCACGGCATATGATTCCTCGATGCTCCACGCCTAGCGAAGTCTATCATAACAATTGTAATTATCGTAAGACAGAGTACGACGGCAGATTTAACTCACCGCCTTCGGATCGCCTACTGCACTTCCGTGGCCCTCCTCCTCCTGACCAATACTCGGATGCGTGATTTTCGCGAAAATCTACCACACATAATCTATGAGCATGATACTCGGTTTATACGTGAATTCACAAACCACGGCGAGAACCACGAGACTCAAGAAGCTTGAAGTAGCAACAACTGTTAGGGCAACTGCAACAGCAGCGACGATGCATTGCCCGAGCAAATTATTGTTGTTCTACATGGCATTTAGTTTATTGCAGGCGACGAAACAAACACATGCGTACCAAGCAGAGAAAGTAGTCCTCTGCGTTGTACGAAGACTGCCCTTCAAGTGCGGGTTCGCTTACAGACGACATGTTCCGCCTATGCCCCGGCACCGATGACCTGCTTCGCAATCAGAAATCTTCGTGAGAAGGACTACGCGCAATGCAATTATAACAGCTCACATATCAGTGTATCGGAAGAAAGGCTCGACTTAAACAATGCGGTGTTCGCGAGCTCTCGGGCAGATGTGACTGGCTGCTCTCGAAGGCAAATGTGTATCTTGAAGCAACAGGATGCGCAGATGTGTCGTTCAAGAGTTACACCAAAGCCACAGATCGGTATGAAGCAGAGCGGCGAGTAAGTGTCGTGCGAGCAGGAGGTCGGCCGTCTGACTCGTGGATCGTGGGCATTTCCCGACATAGCTTACTCAAGCATTGTTTGCACGTGCTTGTGCTTCTTCTGCGAGAAGCAGCTACAGACGTTATCTAGAACAAACCGGATATCAGCAGAAAGACGCAGTCGTGGTACTCGATGGAACTTACAATGAGCCTCGGTCTCCTGGCAACTGCTTTCGTCCGCAAAGTGGACACGCACGTCGCGCGGCTCGTCGCCGGACTTGGTGTGGCACAGTCTTGGCGTGACATCCAGAGCTTATAAATACCGTCGATTCGCATAGAAGAGAAAATCAAATATCTCCTGCGTCGAGGAACACATCTTCGAGAACTGAACGCAGTTGTGTGATGACTCCACCGCAAAAGGCAGGCGGAGGCCTCAAATCATAACACCACCAAACAAAGGCGCATCAAATCCCAACGCTGCCGGATTCGACAGTATCAAGCACACCGGAACAAATACTCATGATTGGCTTGGACGGTAACAGCAATCTTTTTTGTGAGCAAGCAGAAGGTTACAGGCCATGTCTTCCTACTCGCGCCTAATTCAGAATCGATGCTCTGACGAACGTCAGGACAAGCTCATATGCTATGAGAACGACAGGGAGAGACGTCACGACTACGAGCAAATTTGACTTCATGCTTCGTCTTAGAAGACTACGCCGTCCCAGCCTGCACCAAAAACTGCAAGCACCTCCTGCTGAGTCAGATTTCGACGATTCGTTAATGTTACCCAGAGCGAAGGCTTGACAGGCAGGCATGACACCTGTAAGCTTGCTTGCGTCTTCCATGGTTGCTGCTGGGGCTGAGTCAGTCGTTTGTTGAGCTGCTGTTTCACGAAACGATTCACGAGGACATCTGGTCGCGAAACATGAGGTCAGCACGACTGGCTTGGTAGAAGCAGAGAGACATTGACCGCTGATTCTAAAGGAACGTTTGCGGCGTTAGCGTCCCAAGTGAAGCCGTTGCAAGGCGTAGGGCGAAGCATCCTAGGTTCCTCATAGAACCAAGGATATCAGGATTGGCATGAGATGGAATGCACAATGCTTGCCAGGGTGCAGAAAACATCTCGGGAGGAATATTAAGCATTCATACTGCCGCATGCCGGGAAGGGGGGGAGGAACCTTGGATGCTTGTGCGCAAGAGTGAATGCAACCTGTTTACTACGACGCGGTGAGAGCTGGGTAACCGGTAAATGAGTAACGTATAGGACAAGGAGACTAAAGAGACACACGACGAGGTTCCCAACGCTTTGACCACATTCAGCACCTCTGGAGCGTGCATGCGCTGCGTGCGTTGTTGAGTTGCCGAGTGTGCGCTTGGGTGGAATCTATCAAACCGTTGAGTCGAAACCGCGTTACGGCGCACTGAATACGAAGAGATAGTCATAGTTCCGCTAAATTTGTCGTCGCTGCGGTATAGCATCCAAAAACTAGAACAATGCGCACGGGCGACGAAGAACGACAAGATGAAAGCAGGATGAGCCGCGTCGCAGAGGTCGCATGAGCGCTAACCTTAAATTGATCCGCCTACAGTAAATGGAATATAACTGCACCGTCCGCCGTCCGTCGTCGCGGTCGCGAGAACTCCCTCAGCTGCGCAAAGTACGATGCTGCGAGACATTTCAGGAAATTCTCCGCTTGTCTCGTAAAATAACAGAGAGAGTCAAGGTGCATAATCCCACTCTGGCCGCTGAACGTGCTTGTTCAACTCATCTATGACTTCCAGTAGTGTATGCTCCCAGATTGCCACTCCTGCTTGCCAGCCCCGACTTAGGACCTTTCAGAAGTCATTAATGACCCCATGATACGAGTGCACCCCTCTTCCAGCTCGCTGCTATGTTCCTTAGCTGCATGATCTGGTCGCTGTAAGCTGCGTGTCTCCACCGGTGCCGCGGAGAGTATCCCGACGGGGAGGTTCTTGGATCTCGTCGGAGACGAGGAGTACGTTCTTTAGTCCCTGAATTGCTTACCGGAGTGACTACCTGCATGCATCTCCCCATTACCCTCAAGAGTGAAGACGCCTCGCGCAACCAGACGAAGGCCTGGGAACACGCGTTCCAGCTTGCTGGCCTCATCGCCTACACACACAAGGCCGGCTTTGTTTTGGTAGACGAGCTGGAGGAGGATACGAAAGAGCGGTATATTCCCTAATACAGCTCAGATATCGTAGGTACGAGATTGGCTTATAATTTCCAGATATATGGCATGTACCGGCCGTGCATTACTCAATACGATATGCCATAAATTCTCCGCCTTCAGCGTGCCCTAGCTTCTCGAACGCCGTACATGCTACAATGTGGAGCGTACTCTTCGATGATCTTGTCAAGAAAAGTGAGGAAGATAAATTGACAGATCGGGGAGCACGAAGGCCTTGTCGGGAAGAAAGAACAGCTGCCTGGTGCTTTCAATCAGTACATATCCACTCGCTAGGGGATAAAATAAAAGACACGAATAAAAAGCCAACTGCGAGCTGCGATGTCCAAGGGAGCCCTTTTCTGGAGAGATAGCAGAATACTGAAAGAATGCAAGCCCCAGGATGATGAGCGTGACCGCCGCATATCGCCAGAGCGTGCGCTCAACGAGTGTGGGGAACTCCGCCTTCCAGCCTATCAAGTGTACGGCGCCGTATGCTGTTGCGATCGCCAGCGAGACCGCAGGCCACCACGCTTTCTCGCCATGTTTGAAGACGGACATCTGCAGGCCACCATGTCTCGACACGAGGACGCGCTTCTGCTCCAGCTGAATATCTCCCCATTTCCGCAAGCCTCGCGCGGCGAGTATCCAGCGGTACATGTCTTCGTCGCTCAACCTCACGGCGTCGTTGATTCCGCGCGGGCAGTTGTACCATGGGAGGCACCCATGTCCGAACACAATACGATGATGGGGGTCAGGCTTCTTCCGTAAGATCTCGAAGCAATAGCCTTCGATGAGGAATGATTTCCCGGGGTAGACGTCGTGTCGCAAGTCTGGCGCTTCATAGTGGCCCATATTCTCGGGGGGAGGGGAAGAGACTTCGAGATACGATGATTCGCTGGCGCAAAGGTACCATACAAGCCCCGCAATGTAGTCTTTGTGCGCACGGCTCGTGAAGAGCATGTACGCGGCAAGCTCGTTGGCGAGCTTGGTAGCGCGCTCTCCGGTGACTCGGATGAGGGTCGGCTCCTGCACGTTAAACGGCTTCTTCCACCATACGACGCACGTCACGACGGTGCAGAGTGCATGTGCCAGGGTCGTGACCTCGAGCAAGCTGAGCGGGAGGGACTGCGCGAGGCGAGCGGCGCAAGAGATGCAGAAGTAGAGCAGCTGCAGCATGAGTAGCACCTTCGCCAGGGCATCAGATCGACCCTTGCTCCAGATCTCTTCTTCGGAGAGGTCTGGGAGAAGGTCGGGAGCGTTGTCCATGACGAAACGAAGGCCGCTGAGTGTGAGCACGAAACGCGTCTCTCCTTCGAGTATTGGAGGTGTCTCCAGCACGAAGCCGCCCATGACACCGTAGAAAGCGTGCGTGAGCGTCCATGGGTGCTTGCGCCGACGCCGAGAAGGCTGTTGTGCTTCGAGGGGAACATCGGACGAGGCCTGGAGGAGCAATATAATGCTTAAAAGCTAGTCGTTCAAGCGCACAGAAAATATATACCTCACGGAACTTGGCCGATGCTGCATCTGCTTCCGTATACTCGGAGAACGAAGCTTCATCAGATGGCTCCGGCACTCGAGATGCCTGCTTGTAAAGATGAGCCATTGCCTCGATGAACAGTGAAATCGCCCTGCCTTGTGTCCCGTTCGGAAATCCCACGATGCCCTCGATCGACCGGGCTTCGGCTGAACGGACTCGACATGTAGACATCTCTTAGCTTCTCCAAGCAGGACATAGGCGCGGTATAGCTGACAGCATGCAACATATAGCAGCAGATCAGGAGCAACCAGCCCGGTGACGAGCCAGCCGATCTTGTCTATGATGGACCATCTGGTCTGTCGTATTGGCACGTCGACGTGCACGGCGCTCCAGACGCAGATGACGATCGTCGAGAGGCATGTGCTGATGATGTCGTAGGTACCTCGAACATCGGGGCTGGATTGCCAAATAGCTTGAGGATATGCAGGCCCGTGTGAGGCCTGAAGAGACCGGAAGGTGTCGTTCATCTTGAAGGAGGCACCAACGCAGCAGGGGCACTTGCACCCTATGAGAGCTATATGTCGGAGTTTCATTTGGTGCTCATGGCAGACGCCTCTCGGGAAGCTTAGCAGCTCCGCAAGTCAGTGCATCAAGAAAACGTCTAGGTGTTGGAGGTAGCCTGGATTAGATGACATGCCTTAGCTTGCTTTGGGTATTGTTGGGACCTGCCTTGGCGGTGCCACACCCAGTCGGTCCGAACCCAAGACGCCTGGCAACTTTCTCGATGCCCGCCCAAGGACTTTCAACCCCTATCGTGACACTTCAGTATCTCGTTGTTCTCATGAATCTCCATGAAAAGCAATGCCACTCGTGGTTCGATGTTGGGGCTGTCATCCTGTCTGTTTGTGATATGGAGTTTGCTCGGAATTAGTTGGAAAGCAATCCGACTTTAGGAGGACCTCGATGCAAGCTTCGAGGTCCATGACGCGTAGAGCCTTTTTCCATGACTCCAGTCTGCCGGGGAACATGAAGAATGGTGTGATACTGAGCCCCAGCGCTGCTGGCCGTAAACCTTACATTCACGCGTATCAAACTCTACAACACCCATGTCAGATACAGCTGTATTCGTACGGAAGGTGGGGCTTTCCTTGTCGCAAGTATAATAGCTGTTCGCTTGCGCCGTGGTGCTGTCCTCATAGATATCGACTTGATACTAGCCAATTAAGTTTGGCCATCAAGAAAGGGTCCCAGAGCTTCGCGAACATGGCCATGTGCTTCGTCTTCAGATGAATTGAAAATCCAGTCAGACTCTATTAAACCGAGCCACCATGTGAGAAAAGATAGACGGTGAGCGGATGCGCAAGCAGGGAAGGAATATGACAATGCAGCTGACCTTAGAGTTCACCCAGTAGTGAGTCATCCGCAGCGAAGAGACCTTGACCGAGCAGTGTCTCGGACAACCAGTAGCTGCAAACTTTCCACAAGCCGCCCGCGACGCTGAGGATCGTAAGTGTACCGAGCACGTAGTGTTACAATAAGAAGGGTTTTCCTGTGGTAGCGCAGATCAGAAGGGCGCTGGCCGAAAGTAGCTCGGAGTTCCCACGACCGTACCGCCTGGTCGCCATTCAAGAAGCATCAGTAAAGCTACAGCTGGTCTTTTAGGTCTTTATAAGAGCAAAAGGTACAGAAAGACACATAAGTCCAAAAGACACCTCCGTCTGTTTATGCCAAGTCGTTGGGCGTATGAGAGACATCGGACTTCTATAAGCCACAAAAAGACGCTCAAGTAAGACGTGCCAAAGACTACACAGGCAACCGGGAAATTGAGTAGTTTCACAATTGTAGGAATTCCACGATATCGAGGGAGAATTTGGCGATATCGAAATTGCGCTGACCGTAGTCAGCCGAGACGCAGAATCTGTCCTGCCAGGAAACCGCATGGGCAGATCTCAGACCTACGATCTGAGCGCCTGCACAGACCGGCCATTGCCGCCCACGAGCTCATTGTCGCAACGAAACAGTCGAGAAACCTCTGCAATTTATACTACGCAGAATACAGCATGCTACATATCACTTTCATTGGATGGACTGGCCGCAGGTCCACCAGGTCCACCAGTAGTAGGTGCAGACAGGATTGCAGGCCCTTCGTCATCGAAACCATCTCCAACATCGCCCGCACCATACTCAACGTCGTCCACAGCATCCAATTCCTCGTTATCATCTATGTCTACAAACACGCCTGTACCTTTGTAGCCCTTGCCATGCTTCTTATAGTCTTCAGCAATAATTTCTTCCTTCCATCTGACAGCCATTCAAGTCACGTCTTGACGGCCCCACACAGGTCAGACTCGGTTTCAGCTCACATGGATTGCAGGAACTGGTCGTATAGAATCCATGCGGGGAACTGGCTGGATGGAATCTGGCTTCTGGCACAACGCGGGCGTCTCGATTTCGAGACACGCAATGCTGCACGTGCGGCGCTGGAATCTGACGCTATCTCTTCAAAATTCCTTAAATTGTGAAACTGACTGAATTTCCTGTTTCCCTGTGTACGCGTACGCCGCACTCGAATTGACATACACTGAGCGTCAAAAGTAAATGAACACCCACACCGCTTGGGATCCAGCCTCTATTGTGACACAAATCTCAGAGATACTCCCATGCTTTTATTTGTGGAAACTCTACATGGTTTTGGCTTGCATATTTATGAAAAATTGTAATACGTTGGTCAGCAGGAATTACACAATGGGGCTGATTTCTAGAGCAACTTCTGCATGCATAATGTAGGTTTAGATGCAAAATTTGTAATGCAGCTTAGGAGCCTTACTAACAACTGTTTTTGGAGTCTCCCTCGCTTGAACAAATATTTGAGGCCCTTTCAGATATTTTACACAAGAGAGTTCATGCTCTGGAATTTTAAGGAATGGAGGTGCTACATGTCCTCCCAGAAGTCCATGTGCATGCTCTGGTGCCCAAATGGTTACAATATTACTTGGAAGAGCAAATAAGGATGCGATAATACAAAACAGCTCATTAGAAAGCAGTTATTGGGTTGAGAGAAGGCAGTTGTTGGAGGAAGTGGCATATTGGACAGCATCAATTAACTACATTGTGTCCTAGCATTGCAAATCCCTGTGATTATATTTTAAACTCTTCTCAATCTCTTGTATACTGTATTGAGAAGTATTGTATTAGCCTGTGTTGCACCATCTTTATGTAGAAAAGATATTCTGAGGCACACTTCAGAGGCAACATGCAAGCAGTCCACAAAGGAAGGCACCCATGCTTTGCCTTCATTCTCCTGAGGCTCTAATTATAATTCTGTCAAATAGCTGCAAGGTTGCTTGACTCACTAAGCAGAAAAGTGAGACCTTCAGTCTCCAACCAAGATTCTGTAGTGGGAGCCAATGTGGGAGGAAGAATGTCACTAAGGTCCATTAATAGCTGGGGAGCTCTGGGAAGCGTGCTCCTATAGATAGCCCTAGTAGCCAGGAATAAGGGGTAAAACATCCTACACAAATTTCTGAGTGCATAGGCTGCCGCATTTTGGCAGAGCACGGCCAAACTTCCATTGGAAGTGCCAGTTTAAATGTGAGTCAAAACATCATCTGCTCATAGCACTATCGCTTTTCACTCGAAGCTTTCAATATTCTATATTTGGTATTCCCATGTATATTAAATCTCGCACAAATATTTCTAGCATTTAATACCCAGAGCTCGCAGAGAATGAGAGTGTCAGGTGGGTGTTCATTTACTTTTGATGCTCAGTGTAGATAGCAAAGAGCATGCCAAATATTGGGGAGCAATTTAAGTCTAGGCATGTCTTTGCATTGCAAGGTTTCAAGCCTCGAACAACAAGCGAAGCCACCGAATACATGATGATATTTGTTCCAGCCATTGTAGTGATAGTATGAAGTGTGCTAAACAAGAGTGTGGATGGGAGGAAGCCTTGGGTGACCCAACCCGACTGCGCATGGACACTGGCTACAAGGTCCGGGATGAGCCACGATATCCAAGCCTGTAGTCGACAAAAAGATGCATCAGCTCAGCCCATACCCCACTATAAGGAGATGGACGACGCACCAATAGCCATTTCTTTGTTCATCACACTGGAGGAAGGTCCATGTGCATGAAAAGCTGATGCCATACTGCAGGGTTGGCCTGCATATATGGAGCTACAATTTCTGCGTGCTGACGCAGATATAGATGAAAGGCGTCACTTGCTCACCTGCCTTTGACTTTAACTACCTCAAAGGGAAGACCTCGCAGCAGGTATTCTAATGTGCTGCCAATCCAAAAACAGTATCCAGAGAACTGCTCTGTAACCCCAGCTGCTTGTAGTGCAATTCGCAAGCGTCGCATGAGAGCATCTTCTGTGAGTGGATGCCTCTGCTTGCATCCAAACCTATCAGCTGTTTTGTGCATGAAGAGGTGCTCTTCCGGCTGTGGGCAGTTGATCCTCTCATGATTTGTGAGAGCGTCATCAGGGTCAGTGTCATTGAGCTGCTTGCCCCAGTAGATGTCCTCCCCCTCTGGCAAGGACTCGGTGCATGGTAGGTGCACCACTGTGACTGTGTTACCATCATGGTCTGAGACACCCCGCCTAATGTTGGCAATGGTTACATGAAGGCACAGATCAAAGGCAGATAACTTTGGCACTGTAAATTCATCAGAGCGTGCAATGCCATGCAACAGTGCTGTCGCACATGTGTACACTGCAGCATCGAGGGGAACTGAAAGGTCCAACTGAGTATGTGTCTGTGAAAGAACTGCGATGGTGATTGGAGGACACTTTGCACGAGTTATATGCAGCTCCGGTGATCTTTCTGCATCCAGACGAGATAGCATCGAGGCGGCACTGCAAACCATGAGCTGTTGCTGAGCAGCATCTAACTGCCATGGTAGTTGATGGAGCCGGTGCCATGCCTGAATTCCTGCGAGGTAGTTGGTGAGCGCACTAACAGAATATGAGCATGCAAGCTTGGCTAAGAAGATGCAGAGGAGCTCGCTAGACGCTGGGGCCCGGTTCATTTCTGGTATCAACTGGACATCACATATAGCATGAAATAACATAAGGCCTGCACTGTATGTCTCAAGAGTGCTAGGTGCCCAGGTGACTGACATTACTGAGGAGACACGAGCAAAGTCTTCCTCCGTGATGAAAGGAGAATTGTCCTTGTTGAATGAAGAGGCCGGCCGCCATAGTCGTAAGTGGTCTTGTGCAGCACAAGGTGGGTGTTAAGCAGAGGGAAGAAGGACTGGATGTTCTCTTGGAGCTGCCCTGACCTCCGGAGATTGTATTGTAGTGGCACTAGCAAGACGCGCCACGCTGGAGGGTGACAGCAAGAAGCTGGTTTTCGTGCTCTCGTTCGCCAAGGAACCCAATGATGGGATCGTGGATGCGAGTTGGTTTTAGTAAGACTGTCGACTTGGAGGTATTTGAGGGACTTGCAGTGGAGGCGACGTCCTCCAGAAAGTTGGTAAGTGCGGCAGAAAGAGAGATGCAGGGGAGGGAGTGCTCGAATGAGGGGTAGACTCCACGTAAGGGGCTGTCTGCTGGATTGTCTGCACTTGTAACATAGCGGGTATAGATTGTGATGTCTTGGGTTGATAAGAGGCAGTGTATGCGTCAAAAAATGTTGTTGACCAGTCAGTTTTGACTGCGACTGTTCCATCAGCCTTCAACAACTCCTCTGTTGTCTCCGTAAACAAGAAAGGAGCAGTCTGACTCACTGAAGAAGAGCACCATATGAACAAGGAGCTCGAAACCAACTGCCTCTGCCCATCCAATGTCTTGTCTGCCGCTCTTCCACCCAGGCTGTAATTGCCAAGCTTGCCAACAATTCCCAACTACCACTCCAACTCTGACTCCTGAGCTTGCAATGCATTCAGTGACAATTCTCATAGCCATTGGCAAAGTAGATATGACAAAAATCCATAAAGTATAGCTTAGCCAGTACCTGGTCAGATTACAAATGTTACATACAATATAGATTGGCTTGCAATGTAAATTGTAACAAAAGCTGCTGTTTACTTCTACCATGCTGTGTTCTTTTGCTCTAAATCCAAGTTATAGCTACAAATATACAAAAGTGGTTCATACATCTGCCAGACAAATTAACTTATCAATATATATATACTATCTATATTTGTTAATTAAGTATATAATCACTGACACAAAGTGTACACTGGCAATGTGCACTGGCCAAAAATGTGTTGCCAGCCAGTTGCTAGTCTTAAAGCATGCTGGCCAGAGATGCATATTGGCCAGAGATGCATGCCCACCAGAGATGTATACTGGCCAGAGATGCATGCTGGGCAGATATTGTATGCTGGGCAGATATGTATACTGGCCAGAGTTAAATGCCAGCCAGGTCTGTATGCTGGCCAGAGTTGAATGCTGGCCAGAGGTGTGTACTGGCCAGATAGTATGTGTGCTAACCAAAAGTGTATACTAATCAAAAATGTATGCTGGGTGGATATGCACACTGGCAAAAGCACACAACTAGCATGTACTTAGTAGCAGTACTATCATTATTTATTATGCAAACTGGCCAGCCTCTGGTTTGCTGTAGTCTAATGGAGGTTTGTCATATCATGCACATCATAAGCAATGTGACTTTTGTAACTGAACTATGTGCATCATCGAGCAGGGATAGTTTGGGTGTTTTCGGTGTTTTCGGAGCTTCTCTGCTAGGTCTGGTGGGTTGTTATGACTATTGTTACGGGAGCTGCTAGGCAGGTCTGTTAGAAGAGGGTGGAGGTATGCGTGCTGAGAGTTGGATGTGGTGGCTGGGCCGTGGGTGTTGTGGCGCGGGTGGTGTGCTGAGAGGTGCATTTGGCATGAATGCCGCATCATTGGCTTCCCCCTCCGAGAGGGGTACTAGTCCCTCGGACTACTGAGGGGTCGACGCTGGGCCCACCATTTGGCGGGTCCTTTCCTGAGGGTCCATTTTTGGGTTGGCTAGTCCTATTGCAGGCAGCCTCACTAGCAAGTTTGTCCACTGTCTCATTAAAGCAAGTAGACAAGCTGTCCATCTGGGTCCTTCCCTGAATATGAGAGGGGACCCATGCAATATGCACTTTGTGTTGACTATGTGCACTGAGGAATTTTTTCAGGGCAATAGAAGCTCTGATAGAATGAATTTGGCCACTTTGCAATCTCCTTTGAAGATTGAGATTCCAGCAGCAACACTGTCCACAAACACATTGAGTGTAAAGTGGTAATCATCTTGTTTAAGTGCCTGTCCACCATTATATGATTGTGACCACGCTTCATATTCCTTTACCAGCCCTTTAATTTCATATGATAGGGCAGTTAGCTCAGCATCAAACGCAGTAGCTTTGCCCCATCCGTGTTTGCCTTGCCGTATTGGTGGTGATGGCTGGTGGTAATTCCAGACTGCCCACCCAGCTCCAGTAGCTTCATAGAGGATTCCCTGTTCCTCTTGTGCTTCCAACAAAGCATGTACTGTTGGAATTAGCCATGTATCACGAGGGTTGTCTTTGTGCGCAGAGCCATCAGTGGCTAAGGACAAAAATAATGGGTCTGTGATCCAATGATTGACTGTTGAACAATATTTGTTTTCAAACTGGTCCACAAAGCTGCTATCACAAGGGTCCGTCTTTGGAATGTCCTTGCAATCACGGATGTGTATCCAATGAAGCTCAACTGCATTTATTTCTGGTGGCAGATCAATTAAACATTGGCCTAGTTCAACCATATTGTGAACAGCATTGAAGCATTCATTTACAGACATGAAAGTATTGTCCACCCATGTTAAGGGTGTATTGTGATCAGTGCATTTGTGAAGAGATCGGTGAGGCACCAGTTCTACTGGCCCACTCATTGCTGCTCCATTCCATTTGGATCCCCTTCGCTTATTACGAAGGTATATTTGTGGGCTAACATTGATGTCCTTATTAAATATCCATATGTCACCTAAGTATGCTCACAGGGGATGTCCTCTGTGAAGTGTATGCACACGCAAGAATGACTTTTGCATAAAGCAGTCAATCTGTAGTTTAATTGGCAGTAAGCCTGCCATCATGTCCAAAGCACCAATAGATGTTGATTTAAAGCCACCTGTGATCCAATGGGCGGCTCGTGATTTTGTGCACTGCAATTCATCAGCTACACCTTTTTTGCTGTTCCATTTTGGATGGTACCACAGTTGAGCACTATAGCACATGACTGGCACTACATTTGCAATGTATAGCCTTTGTTTATCCTGTGGAGACATACCCGAACTGAGTTACCCAGCATACGCAGTGAGTTAACAGTGCTGCATGCTTTGGTGGCATAATATTGCACATGTTCTTTAAAGGTGAGCTTTGGATCAAGGTAAAAACCTCAGTATCGCACAATTGCCTTTGGCCAAAGAAGAAACTCTGTGCCTAAGGCATAAATTTTTACAGGTGGGCCCAAAGAATTGTCACCTATCAATTCATGCCATGATTTTCTGCTGTTGCGGAAGTACATCAATTCAGTTTTGTCCGCTTCAATGCTCAGACCAAATCTAGCCAAAGTGCGGTTTAAAATCTCAGCAATTAAGGTCAGCTTCTCAGAGTTGACCTCAGTCATAGTGCGATGTGCTGGCACTTCAGTATTACATGAGAACACATGAATGAACCCATCGTCCACAAAAAATTGAAGAGTCACCCCTGAAATGTGCTCATTTATTTTGCGCTCAGCTATTTTAATAGCTGGTGCAATATACAGATTGGCAAGTGCTAGTGACAATGCTGACTCTTGTTGCACACCTATGGTAAATGCAGCTTGAAGTGTTTCTGTTCCATTGAATAAGAACATAGTTTTTTTGTCCGTAGAATAATCATGGAAAAAGCTAACTAGTGTTTCATGAAATCTCTGTTTCTCTAAGACACAAAGGAGGAGTTCATGATTAATTGAAGGAAAAAACTGTGCAACATCTATGAAAAGTGCTGCTGAGTCCATTCCTTGATTCCAACATTCTTTAATAGTATGGACAAGTGCCATACCTGCATCAGTAGTGGCATGTTGCATCATGCCACCATATTGGCCAGCATGTGTGATGCCATGTTTTTGGGCAGCATACTGCATGTACTGTGCCAAAACCTTTTCAAATAGTTTTTCTATACAGCTAAGTAGGCAGATAGGTCTGTATGCCTTTGGTAGACCATAGTCAGGATGTTTGGGTTTAGGTAACACAACTGTGTGTGATTCTTTAAACTATTCTGGCCAGGTGCCCAAAGTAAGGCAAGCCTGGAAAATTACCCGAACATGGCGCAGCACAGAAAATTGTGCATGAACTATATTCCCATCATCATCGACAATTTCATTGTTATCATCTAAGATGTGCTTCAGCCAGAACCAGTCAACATGATCTGAGCCTGGTGGAGAGAAGTTACTGGCTTGAGCAAGTGCCTCAACCAGCAGCATGTCAGAAATTAGTGGCATGTCCTGGGCAGGCATGTCTGGCATCTCATCTATGATTGAATGGTCAACAGGCTTTCCTCCTGATGGTGTGAACTGTTCTTGCAATATTTTTGCCATCTCATCTGGTTGTAATACTGAATTACCATTTTTGTCTCGCAGAGAAACATTGGCTGTTTGCTGCTTAGGTTGTGTCCAGGGTACCACATCCCAAATGCATGTTTTATGCAAGCGTGTAATTTAGCCATCAAAGAATTCATGCTTAGCCTTTCAGATAGCACCTTTCTTGCATCCATTAATTTCAAATCATTCTTTCATTTCATTGAGAATAGCCTCAGTCAGACGCTGTATCTCATTCATAGACCAGTCTGAAGGTCTACATTGTTTCTCTGTGTCATACACTTTATCTCGCTCACAATTTAATGAGTGCATGCGCAGTTAGCACTGTTGAAACGCCTTGTGATGTTCCGTGCATTCAGGAGACCACCATGATTTTGACTTTGAGGTGAGGTTGAACACACGAGAGTGTTGTTCCCATGCATCTGAAATACCTTTCTGCACATGTGCTGCCCAGCGCCGCACATCGTCTGGTGAATCATAGCTGTTATATTCCTCAGGTAAATCAGCAAGGATATTTTGGCATTGGCGTACAAACGCCACACCAGCAGCAGAGCTACGTTTAATCATGCGCCGTGGTTGGAGTATGGCTTTCTGAGGAAGTGTCCAAGAAATGACACAGTGATCACTGTTGTACTGTTCAGCTGGGTCTACCACCAGATCTTCAGGCATTAAATCAGCTGCACACCAGAGAAGATCAATGGTGCCAGGTCTTTTAGATAAATCATTTGAGATCTATATAGGAGAACATTCCTCTGTATCATTAGCAAGTGTAAGAGATAGGTCAAGCTCAGCAAGCTCTATTAGCTTTTCGCATTTTTGAACCTGGCACTGTTCAGCACCTGGTTTACACATATTTGCATTCCATCGCATATGACAGAGATTAAAGTCTCTGACCATAAATGCTAGTGGTGGTATATTATCTGAGCATGTGCTTAGAAAGACCTGTGCTGCCTGAGTCTTGCTATCATTATATACAACAAGGAAGTTAACATTGTTGTTGTCAATGCATAATGTGATGCATAGTACATCATTACATGTGCTGCCCATAATAAGAGTAATTTGAGGGCCAAGGTGGGCCCAGCATTTGTGGACAAATGCACATACACGTGCATCCTTTCCAGTGGACAGAAACATGAAGTTTCTATGTGTTACTGAAGCGTGATATTCATCCCCTTCCTTATTAGTTGTAGATGGCACATTTTTGATATAGCTGTAGAATGATTCACACAACAGGATCAAGTCCTTGTCAAGGTTCCATTCTAGTAGATGGTTCATATTCTGACAAGATTTCTGAACATTTGCATATATATATTGGAAGGGTATTGGCGCATCAGAGTTAGCTGGCCCCGTTTGTGAATCACCGTCCTTCGCTAGTGCATCAAGGGCCTGGCCTGCCAAAAGCATATCAGGCGAGGAAGATCTTTGCCAGCAAGCATCAGCCTCTTGCCGCAGAGCTTCAAGGTTGATAAGTGCTGATAAGGACTCATTTGAGCTAACGGACTCAGAATAATCCAGCCGATCATTCAGGACATAAGGTATGTCCACATACGAAAGAGCTGGAGACAAGTGTTCAGAATATGTACTAGTCATAGTCAATGAGCAAATTATTTACAGTCCAATGCCTTGGCATGTACCACAAAGGGCCAAGGCAAAGGGCTCTCCACTCCAGTAATTCGGAAGCAAAGGCTATGCAGCACAGCTTCGTCTGCAATCGATTATCTACTATGTGGCACCACACGGTGAAGGTTTCATTAATGTGATTTGCTGGTATAGCTTCCTGGACTTTATGCGCAGTATCTGTCGATGAAACAAAATGATATTTCACTTGGCTAATTATGTAATTACACACAGCAATAAGCTGTGAGGCCATACTGCAGGTGACTGCATTGGCTCCAGATGGTGTGAGAAAGCCTAGGAACACATAGGTCGTCCAGAAGTCAAGCTCTTTGGCTGCTCCCATACCAGACAACCCAGCTCTTGTTGGATATGGGAGAAACCTAGTCCACCCAGCTCTGCTCAAGTGAGCAGTGGGCACGTGGTGGTCCCTTGTTGAAATGTCTAGAAAATGGCGGTTAGTAGGGTAAGACGATGAAAGGGCTCACCGGAGTTGTGAGCCAGGGGCAATACAACACCTCTAAAGTTTAGCAGAGGGCGAGAGGGTTGAGGGAGTGGTGGAATGCTGTTGCAAATGGGCAGCATGTGCGGGCATCTAAGCAAGATGGTGGTGGTACGAGGGAAAGGCGTGGTGGAAGAATATATACCTCGCAGGGCCTGACACCTGGTGTATCTTCCTCCATCATGATGAAGTGGAAGGTCAAGCCATTTTTGGGTGGCTCCACTACATGAGATGCCTGCTTGCAAATATGAGTCACTGATTTGATGAATAGTGAACTCGCCTGACCTTGTGTCCTTTTCCAAGATCCCATGATGCCTTGGATCGACTGCCCGTTGGCTGAACGGACTCAACATACAGAAGTCTCTCTGCTTCTCTGAGCAGGACGCAGACGCGGTGCAGCTGACAGCATGCAGCGTATAGCAGCAGATCAGGGGCAACAAGGCCAGTGACAAGCCAACCAATCTTGTTAATAATGGACTATCTAGTCTGTCACATTGGCACATTAATGTGCACGGCACTCCAGATGCAGATGATGATTGTCGAGAGGCATGTGCTGATGATGTCGTAGGTACCTCGAGTATTGGAACTGGATTTCCAAGTGGCTCAAAGATATGCATGCCTGTGTGAGACATCAAGAGACTGAAAGGTGTCGTTCATCTTGAAAGGGGCATCAGGGCAGCAGAGGCACTTGCGCAGCGTAAGAACTAACTATATGTCAGCGTTTCATTCCATACTTACGCTAGACTCCTTTCAGCAGCTTTGAAACAATGCCCAGCTTCTATCGTGACACTTAAGTACCTCAGTACTCACGCGAGTCTCCACAAAAGGTAATACCACTGGTCATCCAATGTTGAGGCTGTTGTCCTGTCTACTTGCAGCATGGACACTGTCCGGGATTTGTTGGAAGACATTCTGCCTCTGAGAAAGCCTTGAGGCCCCATGAAGCGTATTTTCCATGCCTCCAATCTGCCTGGGAGCGTGGCGAATAGTGTGATACTGAGCCCCCGCACTGCGGCCATAACCTTACATTCATGTGTACCAAGCCCTGTGCCACCTATATCAGATACAACTATATTCATACAGAAGACAAAGCTTACATTTTAGCGAATATGATGGCTGTTCGCCCACGTTGTAGTACAGTACTGGCCATGCTTCGCCATTGCTATCGTGGCACATACGTTGTGACCGCAAATGCTTAAAGACCCTTATAGATACCGACCTTACATTAACCAGGTAAGTCTGGCCATCAGGAAAGGATCTCAGAGCGCCGTGAATATGACCATGTGCTTCGTCTTCAGATGAATTGAAAGCCCAGTCAGATGCTATCTGCTCAAGCCACTCTGTGGGAAAAAAGACAGGCAGTGAGTAAGTTCACAAGCAGGGAAGCCATATCACGATAAAGTTGACCTTACATTCCACTCAGTGACAAGTTGCCTACAGTGCACAAATTGTGCAAAGACAGAAACTGAGCAGCATCTCAGATAGCGAGTGGTTGCAAACTTTCTGCAAGCTGTCCACAATGCTGGGGATCGCAAGTGTGTCGAGCACGTAGTGTTTACAATAAGAAGTCAAGTGCTGTGGCTTATGCACTTATGACTGATGAGACGTGTGTTCAGCAGCAATGGCTGCCACAGATGGCAGATTGACCGTGGAGAGTGCCGAAAGTAGTATAAAGTTCTCACAGTCGTAGACAGCATTTTGCTCTACTAACTTTGAGCTTTATCGCACCAAGGGTAGCCTGGCATTAGCATCATTCAGTTTTGTTGTTTGGGAAATCAGAAGTGCAGCAGTCCATATAGAATAGAAAAGAAATCAGATGAGAGGATTGCTGAAGTGCGGCACGTTGATGGCTCTACCATTAAAAGTATGCAGAGGCCCTAAATCTTAACAACACCAAATAAAGGCACATCAAATCTCACAGCCGTCAGAGTCGCAGATGAGTGACAGTGCTCTGAGCAATTTGTCCTCAGCACAGACGTCGGTGAGCAACGGTTTCAATGAGCATGAAGATGCGCTGCCTTGTACATTATGACAAGTTTACATGTACAGTGCACCGCGTATCAGCAGGTGACGGCATTGGCAATCTTGCACTCCTGGAGGGCCTCTTTTGGCTCACAGCCCGTAGGTGTTGCACAATTCATGGACGAGACATATGCATTTGAATCATTAAAAATAGGTACATCTCAGTTTTAGAATATCTGCATAAATCTGCCAGCAAGGTTCTCCATCAGCTCACTGTGATTGACATTGCATTGACATGAAGGTGTGCGCCTGCAGAGGACAGGCCAGTTCAGTGACATCCAAAGAATCAGACGTGATAACCCTGATCTAAATCGTCCATGAACTTTGTTCTTGCAGATTGAGTTTTTCGAATCAGTGTCTGGACTCGCAATGCCGTCTACTGCATTGAATTCCATCGATCTGCCAAGAGTGAAGACTTCAATGGTACTGCCTAAGCTTGGGTGATTGGGTTAGTTGAAATATCCTGGATTAATTGTGGAACAGCTTACAAAGGTGTTTGGCTAAATGACAGGTGATTAGCACGACTGTTTGGGTATAAACAGAGACCATCATTCATCAGAAATGCTGTCGCCGCTTAACCCGTATCTGACAAAGCTGCAGCTACTCACTATCATGCAGGAGGAGAGCGGAAGCTAAGGAGTAAATATGCAGCCACTGCACCTCCCATTGGACATTTGCACCTAGCTCAAAACTCTCACAATAACATCACACGTCAAAGTGTTGCTGTATATTAGCTGGAGCATTATACAATGCTAAAAATGATGTATGCTGAATATGCAAGGATAACTTGCTGAGATAGCTGTCAATAGGGAAGCAGCAATATGAGGCGCACTGATATGATTAATTTGTCAAAGACGCAGATATCTTCCACTCCCGCTTAGCCAGGGTCTCAGGTATGTCAAGATAACGCGTGCCTAGCCGAGCTACAGCATCGTCAATATTTACCACAAGGAGGCTCAAACTAATGTGAACGTACGCCATTTTTTGCGGTATGCCCAAAGTCTTCAAGTTCACCCCGGCATCTGTGCAACTGCTGGTAGATGATAATTATAATTCCAGCCATACAAGAAAGCGTGCAAGTTCGTAGAACATTTGTGTGCGAAACCAGCTTTTGGATTGAAGAATAACCTGGTCAAGACTTACAAGAGACCTGCGCTGGTGAGAAGAAAGGGACAGTGTCAAGGGCGCGTCATACAGCTGGAAGGACACACATGTATTCGACATGCTTGCTCCCTTTGGACAGCTCATGGTCCACATTTGCAAAGCCAGGCCTATGAAACCCCACGAAGGTCAGGTGAGATGTGCATTTGGCTCGGTGTCGCCTCGTACCGAGGTGTGGAAAGTATTCTCATTCTGGCGGGACTTGTCGTACTGTTGCACACCGGCCAGACAAGAGGAGTCGTAAATGGTTTTGTGTAAACATTGTAACAGTCTGCTTGCTACTGAGTGATGAGGCTGATAAGATATAAGTACTGGTCAGCTGGTCGATAGGCAAAGTTACTGTGACACCAAGACCAAGGGGACGCACGACAAGAAACCCTCATGGCCTCAACAACCTTTCCTAGCCTCCAAAGCATGCATGTGCTGTGTTTGTCGCTAAGCAGCAGAGTATGTCCCTGAATGCAATCTGTTGAAATGTTGAGTCGGACCTCTACTGCGCACAGAGCTCGCAACGGACGTATGACATGTCAAGTTTAGAATCAATATCCATGCAGCAATTCGCTTAGAAATTGAAGCATCGCGCACGGTCAACGAAAATAAAGCAGACGTAAGGGGGACAGCACGGGCCACAACTTGAAGCTCCAGGATTGAGGTTGCGCGAGTAACCCTAGTCTCATCTCCAGCCACTCTGGTACGCCTGGAAGGCTCTGGGCAGAACCCATATCAGACTTCGAAAAATCAAAGTATGGGTTCTGACCAGAATATCTGGTAAATCTAGTCTCGTTCCCATCCACTCTTAACTCTGACGTGTAAACACTAGGGGTGATCAAAGTTCGCTTTGAACATGCTTTGGACTCGCTTTGATGGCAATTCAGAAGATGAAATGGAAACTCGAAGCGGCGCAGTTTCGGGGTCCTGAAGCAGCGATTTAGGCTGGATCGTGCTGAATCACGTTGAATCAAGGTCGTCTGTCGAAGCGGTCCCTGAGCCGCTTCGCACGCCACTTTTCACTCGATTCACACTCGCTTTCCAGGCCAACCCGCTTCGTCCCGTCCTTGATTCCCTCCTCCTCCCTCTCCTCCCGTGCCATTGCATCAATTTTGTAATAGCCTCATGCACATGAAGTAGTGACAGTGGAATCAATTTATATTAAATTTTTGCTACTTGTTTTCTGCATGTTATGATGAGAAGCGTGTCCCCATACAAGCATTTCTCGGCCGCCCCGTGGTGCATACCAACAGGTAATTTTTTGGAGGCATCTTTGCTCTCTGAGAGCATGCAAAAGCCTCACTATAGATATAATAGAGTGTATATAGATTATTAGGAATGAAGCGGATGTGTCCCTCACGCCGCCAGCAACTTGATTTTACTTCCTCGTGATCGAGAGTGTTCAAAGTCTATGTGCGCTTCAGTTACGTTTCACTTCGTTCGAAACGACTCTTGAAGCGGCCGTGAATTGGTTTTGTGCGCAAACTTTGAACACCCCTACTGTCGGCCAGTGCATCGGACTTTGAAAGCAAAGTGCACTGGCTCGTTAGAGCGTCTGGTCCACTTGGATCATCTGGGGGGGCCTCATCCGCATGTGACCAATGCACACACATACCGCGCCCTTTGCCCGAACCCGTCCCTTCACTCGGGCAATATCTTCTCCTACGATCTCCACCTAAATTTGTCCGAGAGGTTTAAAATAGCATTCTCACCCTTGTGACATGCAAATTTGCCCTTCTGCTTGCGGTAGCTCACTGTTGGCAGCTATCTGGACTGCAGTGGTCCTCTCCATTGCAGGAGGCTTATAGAAACACGAAAGTACTCAAATATATACCAGAAGCCCTTATAGATACATGTCTGAGCGCATACATAAATATACCACCCATCGTTGGCAGCTTAACAGTGTGCAGGCAGTCACTTCCTCAGGGAGCATGTAGATCATGTGCGGATGAGGCCCTCCTGGATGATCTAAGTGGACCAGGCATTCTAGCGAGAGACTGCACATCACCTTTGATGTCTGACGCAGTCTCCGACCGGCGAAGTCTGGGCGCGCTGGAGTGGCTGGGGACGAGACTATGGTGAATCTCGGTCGGGCGGGTGTAGATTGCGCGCATGTGATGGGTGCGTGGGCCAGTCACGATAGGCAAACCTAGTGATTTAGCATCATTTCGTCCTGGCTCTGTGTACTTTCTCATAAATATATACTGCTTATAGTGATGTGCGGGCCGGGCCTCAAAGCCCGCGAGCCCGCCAAGCCCGGCCCAAAAAGCCTGACCCGAGCTAAGCCTGGCAGCGGGCTCAAAGCCGGGCTCGGAGCGTAGTCAAGCCCAAGCCCGGCCCGAAAGCCCAGGCTTGGGTGCACCAAATGTGTTGCCATTCCCTGGGCTCAAAACATGGTAAGAACAACTTTATATACACATACGAGACGGGACGTTGACTTACCGGACTGGGCGGTCCCTGCTAGTGTGACTAGGCGCAATTGTGCGCCACCGCCTGGCGTTCGCCGTAGGCGCCCCTTTGCGAACCTTGTCATAACATGGCTTGTAGCGCGGTCGCATGCCCTCTGAAGGCTGCAGTACGGTGGGTACATGCAATAGCAGCCTATCACATACAAATATGCTCACGTTCGTAGCATATCAATACTTGTCCTAAGCCTTGCAAGCCCGGGCTTAAGCCCACGGCTTGGGCCGGGCTCAGGCTCGGCTCGGGCTCAGGGCTCGGCTTGGCATCGCCACAAGCCCAAGCCCGGGCTTTGAGCCCAAGCCGGGCCCGCAGATCACTAACTGCTTAATTCAATATGCCTTTTGATGAGCAAGTTGGCGACCCTATTGAAGACGATCTCGAGATCAACAACGACAAATTCTTTGATGACGAAGACAAGCAAGACTATGCCCTTCATGCACATCCGGTTGCTTGCCAGACAACCGAATCCCTCAAGGCATTTTATCAGCAACAAAGGACAACTGGAGAAGACTTTCGGCTCCGCATTTTCAAGATCTTGGACTTCATGCAGTCACAGGCAATGAATACAGCATTGTTCCTTTACCACCTCTGCTGGAACACACCCAAAATCATCACTGATGTGCGCTGCAAGTACGAGCGCATCTCTGTAACACATAGCAAGGAACTTAAAGGGGTTCTGCAAAATTTGTATTGCCCACCGGGTGGGCACGGCCGCGGTGTTTGCTCCAGAGGCGCTGTCAAAGCAATGACTGAAGTCACGCAAGAAATTGTCACTCGGCAGGTCAACTACGAGATGCGCGCTCTTCACCTGATAATGGAGGCCAAGCCAGTGGATTTCAGAGAAGAATTGCTGCTACAGATCACCCTCGACAATATAATTTCATGTGTTCGTGCTGTGGCACCCACCTGGTGGTCAATCTGTAGCAATGCGGCCTTTACTCCCAAGCAAGCTGCCAGAAACACGAAGAAATCAAGTCCAGACACAGTACGTACTAAATTATACTGATTTTAGCTCGCTAAAGTGTGTTGTTACTATAAGGTTATTCTCATGGTCACGTCGATTGTGAGCTTCAGTCACTAAGTCCATCGCTGCAAGATGCAACAGCTCATGTGTGCGTATCTTAAGTCCTGTGGCCTCAAAGCACGCGCCTTCGATACTCTTCATGCGCTCTATTTTTGTATGAGCCAGAAAACCATCTATACAGCTGTTGATACCATTGCAGAGATGACACAGGAGTGGATGAAAGCTGACGTGAAGGATTATCCAATCCGTAGTTTGCACGACAACATAAACATTAGATTTCAAGTGTACGAGCAACGCACTGACAACAAGTCTCACTTTGATAGCAGCATGGCTGCGACTGTCTATCCGGTCAAAGACCCTGATGCTGTACCCCTGAATGCTGCAGCGTACCATGAAAAAAGGGCTTCTGGTTCTCAGAACTCAATTACCCCCCTCGATATTTTTGAGCTTGATTCTCAGGCCAGCCCCCGTATTCACACCTGTGCCGTTTATCAGATCATTCGCTTCCTAATTGATTCGGCACCATTCGACTTATCTACCTATGAGCACAAGGAGAGCGAGCTCTTCAAGCCTCCTCCACCTGTTCACCAGCTACCAACCGGTCCAGAACACGCCCTGTGTCAATATATGCTAGGCACGATCCACCAAGAGGAGGCATCATATGAAGGCAACAAGCGCTGTATGCATGAATGGTTGTGGCAGCTTGGCCTGGACACTGTTGAGAACATGAAGCACATATCTCAAGAGCAGCTGATTGTTTGGATGGGCGATCAACTGACAAGCTCGCGCTGCCGTGGCCTCAAGAATTTTAGATCACAGGACCTGAATTCCGCCCAGCGGTTCGAGTTTTTAATCAAATTGGTTGGCTGGTTCCATGTCCAGATTAGTGATGTGCAGGCCTGGCTTGGGCTCAAAGCCCGGGCTTGGGCTTGTGGCGATGTCGAGCCGAGCCCTGAGCCCGAGCCGAGCCCGAGCCCGGCCCAAGCCTTGGGCTTAAGCCCAGGCTTGCTCACAATACAACGAGTGTTCCGGTGCTATCAAAAGGGAATGTATTTGGGTGTAGTAGATTAATACTGCATGTACTCACTAAATTATAACCTCCAGAAGATCTACATCTGCGGAACAAGTCGAGTCGCAGCGAAGTCCACGAGCGTGCGCCTACGGCAGGCACCAGATGGTGACGCACAATCATGCTCGGCGGGAGCCGTTACATCTAGAATATCTACATTTTGTCTTCTATGTGCATATTAGGTCGCTCTCTCCTCATTCTGAACTCAGGGAACGGTAACGGAGCCAGCACACCCAAGCCTGGGCTTCCGGGCCGGGCTTGGGCTTGACTACGCTCCGAGCCCGGCCTTGAGCCCGCTGCCAGGCTTGACTCGGGCCAGGCTTTTTGGGCCGGGCTTGGCGGGCTTGGAGGCTTTGAGGCCCGGCCCGCACATCACTAGTCCAGATCAATCTGGGCTTTTCATTCCACCATCAGTACTACGGAAAGCCCGGAATGATGGGTCTCAAGCATGCGATCGACCTCCTCGAGTGCAGAAACCTTGCGACTCCCTCAGTACAAGGGACCTTTCACCACAATCTCAACGAGCTCCTCCACCACGTCGCCAAAGCGCACTTTCAGGATGCTTGGTGCACCATTGCGAACATCGACTCTCTGGATGAGCTTCATTCTTGTACCCCTCAAGAACTTTCTAAGCTCGCGTCTAAGCTTTGGGAAAAACTTGCATCAACTCATGCTCTCAATAAGCTGCGCGAGAAGACTGACAAGGCAGCTAATGACTACTTCCAACAGGCCGTGATGTTCAACCGTGACATCCTCGACTACCTTGAGCTTGACGATGCAATCAAGACAGGAGATGTTGGCCGTGTGCGCAACCTTCTGCCGCGCCTCCTTTTCCGTTTCCTAGGTGGCGGACACACTGATTATGTCATAGAGATATTAGAGCTTATTCAAGCTCTTGAATGCAAATGGCCAGAGGATCTCAAGTGAGTGATTTGAATTTTTGATGATGAATCTTTCAAGTCGTTGACTCAGGTCTCCAGAGTTTGGGTTCTCAAGTATTGCTGGCTTGGGAATACCACTGGTCAGCCAGGCTGCTTTTCGCCCTTCGACTTAATTCAAGAGCATAATATCTGGGATATCAAGGTTCGTAGATGTTTATTAGCCTTTGATGTGTCATCTCACCCAGTAAATATAGCATATATTCGCCGTCTTTGGTCCGTATGCCACCTGGGAGTATATAAAGAAGATCTTAGCTGCCATACCCACTATGCGCAAGGTCAAGGACCATGTCAACGCTGATATCAACCATTTCCGCCGTGGTAAGATGCATATGAAGCCTTCCAAGGAGATTGATGTCACCAAACTGCAGCAGGCCTATGCTGCATCGAAGATTCATGTCTTTGACCCAATGCGCCCACGCCTGGACATAGAGTGTCCGCTGACTACCTGCAACAAAGGTCCAATCCGATGCTACTGCGTAAGACAATCAATAGATGGACCGCGCGACGGGTTATGGCAAGATCGACCGAGCAGGACTGGACCGACTATGTCGCACTTGCTGTAGCAAGCATAGCATGCAATACACACACAAACCATCTAGCTACTTCTACGCTGGGTATGTGCATTGTTTCACTGAATGTACATGTCTCTAACATACCTGTTTACTCAGAGGATAATTTAGGTGGGGATGAATGTCCCGCCAGCTCGAATATGCACCATGACAATCAGTGATTCAATTGTACATGTGTAACAAATGAAATATGTTCAAGACACTGTTATTGCGGTGGGGGCGGGGGCAGTTTTGGCCATGGCTGAGCCAGATAGAGCTTGCTGGTGGCGAAAGCTTGCTGTTGGACATAGGCGGCAAGGTAGGCTTGGTGCTGGGCATAGGCAGCAGCCTGTAGATGTTGCTGATACTGCTCCCAGCAATAATAGTAGTCATTCGGTTGTGACAAGACTGGGGAATTATTGTGAGACACAGATGAGGCTGCAGATCCAGATGCGATAGCAAATCTAGATGCACTTTTCTGAGGTGGAAATGAAGCAACAGACGAGATTGGTGTAACCAGAGACACAGGGGCGAATCCAGAGGCAAGCAAGCTAGAGTCAGATATGGCAGGAGTTGAAGGACCGGTAGAACTGTAGGCAGAAGAGAAGGCAGTAGACAGACTCGTGCAAATAGCAGGGGCATGTTGTGGGGCGACAGGCTCTGGCGGTCCAGAAACAACGATGGGTGTTGCCCACCTCAAGTTGAAGGCTTGTGAGGATGCTTTGTGCGTCCGTGTACGCTTATGCACTATTTCTTGATGCTGCTGTTGTCTCCGTTCTTCTCCATGCTGCTTGGCGTTCACTTGACTTTGAGCTTTCCTTACGGTTGCCTTGCGCTCTCTCTCTTCCTGCCGCTCCTTGTTCCATGCATCGTCAATAGGCTTTAGCAGCTCGAGGATTTCATTGCCATATCTTGGAGCGAAATCCCATTTGAGGTCATCTATGAGAGCCTGAACAGTGCGCAGATTGGCACGGGTTGCGAGTTTCTGTAGAATATCGTCAGGCAGTAGGACCCGATAGCTCCAGGAGGCAAATTTATGGCTCTTGTTTCATGTCTCCATCTGCCACTTCTTGAGAGCATGTTCGCATTTCTGGAGTCGCTCTCCTTTGTGAGGACCCAAGCCAGAAGGAAGACGAGGCCGCTTCTTGCCTGCCAAGGGATCTGGCTTGAGTCGGTCTTCAAAGTGTTCTATAAGTGCAACAAGCTCCTTTTCAAAGTCAGAGCGAGTCAAGGAGTCTTGTGACTGTAGGCAGTTGTCACAGCAAGGCAATGTAAGATTTGCAAGGGTATCAGCAACAGATGCAGTGTGCCTGGTGTCTGCACCACAAAAAGATTCTTTACGCCACAAAGAGAGCCTTTCATCAAAGCTAAGCCACATACCTTCACAACGAGGGGGAATCTTATAGTAGTCGTCAACTATCTTGTGGCGGCATCTCTTTGTTAGTGCGTACTCGCACATAGTCTTCTCAATTTCTCTCGACTTCTTTTTACCTCTAGTAGTGGGTATAGCAGCTGGGTTGCCTGCTCTTGGTTCAGGCTGAGTTGGAGGCACCTCGGGTCCACAGTAGCCCTCAAACAGGTCCTCCAATTTGAAGTCGTTGTCTTCTTCGTCCTCGCCACCCGGCTGCACATCAGGATCATCTTCAGGGTCATTCTCAGGCTCTTCTTCCTGAAGCTCGAGCAAAGCAGTATTGTGCGGCTGGAAATGTTCGGTGACACCCTCCTGCGATTCTGTAAGTCTGGTGATGCCGTTCAGTGATACAGTAGGTTCCGCAATGCCATTCAATGGTCCTAGAGACCTGGAGACAATGTCCTGTGACTCTTGGGGTTTATCAGCGATCTCTGACGAATCTGAAGGTTGTGCAACTATCTCATAAGCTCTCTGTAATAAATAAGGCTTTTAGAGATCTGTATTTTGCTTGCTGCCATTGCTGGGCTTTTTCTTTCGCTTAGAAGGATCGAAGAAGCTCTTAGGAACGAGCATAACACTGCATGCAGGCCTTCCGCCGCGTCCAGCACGCCCGTGGTGCTGAATACCCTCGTCTACGCTATTAGGAATGTTGAAGTGGTATATTCTAACGATATCTCGAATATCCAGGCCCTAAGCAACTGTCAGCATAAGAAAAACACGAAAAGGTGTGCATACCATTCCAGCAACTTCTGTTGCAACCAATATATTCACAACTCCGTTCCAAAAATCTTGTATAGCCTTCATTCTTGCTGCCGCATCCTGTGCAGAGTTGGCAAAATTGATCTGGGAGTGAAGAGTCGAGTTTGGAGGAAGCAGATTCCTTAGGTACAGAGCAATGTTCTGTGCATCTTCCTTCTTCAGAACATAAACAAGGGTACGCAGTAGAGGTTGCCCTTCGGTAGCCCCCTCCAGGAGGATGCAAAGAGCATCAAAATCAGTGGCAGACTTGATTTTGACAACAATATGAGTAATATTCTTGCAGTTGTTGCCAAGATTGAGCTCGAAGATTTGCCCAAGACGAAAAGAAAGTGACTTCTTTACTGCTTCAATAACAGTAGGTGTCATTGTAGCTGATGTGGCAAGGACGGGGACTTTGAGTTCGACCAGAGAGTGCAGGGATTCGAGCTCAGCAAACAGAGGTCAAAAGGCCTTGCCGGACCATTGAGTGATGCAGTGGGCTTCATCTGCAACAATAAGATCGACATGGGACATGAAGGAGGGCGTATGAGCAATCTTTGAGAAGGATGTCTTATTAAAGAGCATTTCCGGTGATGTTAAGAGGACCCGGAACTCGAAGTTCTTGATTCTCTGAGGTGTTGATTAGCAGCAAAGAAGTTCGAAAAAATAATCACATACCTCTTCAAGGTCTTTACTCCAGATAGAGGCGTTTACAGGTGTTGAAGATATGCCCGCAGCATTGAACCACTGAGCCTGCGTATGTGTATGCATGGTAAATGTGTGTATATATGCGGGTTTCACCTAAAAGCCTACCTGGTCCCTCTGTAGCTCGTTCAAAGGTGATACTACAAGCACCATTCTCTTCTCTTACATCTTGAGCAATAGCTTCATTACAAAGGTCAGAGTCTTGCCTGCTCCAGTTTCTGCGACGAGAATGCAGTCGAGGCCAAGCTCTATAGCCTCGCTTATGTCTAGCTGGTATTCATGGGGCAGATAACCAAAGAATTCATTGATTCTCGCAGATAAAGCTGCATGAAATGCTGTGGAGTTGTATTTCCTTTCTTTTGCAGCTTTACGGCGGGCTTCGTCAAGAACATGGTAGCAGAATTCATTATCTGGAGTGGAATTGCTAGTAGCATCAGCAGTTGACATTATAATCTACAATTTCTTGATGTCATCAGGCGGTTTTTGCTTAATATACTACTAATAGAGCATAGTATCTGGGTGTATAAAAATTTCGGCAGAGAAAGAGTGAGTGGAAGGCAAGATGTGCATGGCCGGCACCTAGCTGTTAATGAGCCGCGTCTCACATGTCGAGGTCACGTGCACGTGATCCACACCTGCCCAAGCAATTGTCACCAGGAGTTATAAGCCTGTGACTTGCAACTTTGGCATTCGCCAACCTCCAGCAGTAACCACCGGTGTTCACCGGTGGCCATTGGTGCTCACCAGTGGCCATTGGTGTTCGCCGGTGGTCCTTGCCATGTATGGGTGCGTCGCTGTGAGAGCTTGTAAACACCACCATTTGTTGTCCACTGGAACCCATCAGCATACAGCAGCAACTGGTGAATATTGCTGTATATCAGTGGCAAGTAATGAGATATGTTGGGATATACTAGTGTTCAGCATGCTACGCTGGCTGCCACTGGTATTTGGTCTGGTCGATTCACATGGCAGGTAGCAGACACCACCAAACACCGGTGACATCCACTGGCAGGCAGCTGTGAAAGTGCGACTGAACTCTTGCTTTATTCTGTGCTACAGGGCCAGTATATATACATGTGAGTCAGGACCTCTGATACTGCTATAAGACCTATGGTACTGTGAGTGTAAGCATGTATACTAAGCATGAGTAATCAGATGCCGTATTACTACAAGATAATAGAGAGATCATGTGATGATATCCCCATTAGTCTGTACAGGGCAATGACGTAATTGCCCAGTTCTGACACTCCCACTTGACTAGTTATTGCCTAATTTACTGAAGACCAAGCCTAGCATAGACCGGAAATGCTCAAATTTCGTTGCACCAAGTGGTTTTGTCAATGTGTCGGCAATCATTTCATCCGTACTAACATAGACTATATCCACTCGTTTCTCTTCTACGTATTTGCGTATGAAGTGATATCGAATGTCGACGTGCTTGAGCCTTCGGTCGTGAGCGGGATTGACTGCAAGAAAGATTCCCCCTTGGTTGTCTGCTACCAAAGGTGGTGGTGCAGTAGGGAAGTAACCTAACTCTTTTTGGAGTGACGTTAGCCAGGCTAACTCAGAGCATGCCTCCGAGAGTGCCATGTATTCGGCTTCCGTCAAGGATCTTGCCACTGTCTTTTGCATCCGAGATGCCCATGTGACTGCTCCATCGGCCATCAAGAAAACGAAACTGGTTGTTGATTGCTGGTTGTCCCGATTTTTGCCCCAGTCTGCATTGGAATACTCTATCAAACCGGACTGATTTGATCCAGAGTACCAGATACGATACTCAGTAGTATGACGGAGATACCGGAAGATGTGCTTCGTGGCTTCCATGTGCTGTGACGTAGGGTTTTGCATGTACTGTGAGAGTTATGTGACTCTCCAGGCGATGTCGGGTCGTGAACCAATCATCAAGTAGATGAGACTACCAATCATGGACTGATAGTGATGACGGAGTGCGTCGGTAGCAGTATATGTTTCCGCGGCCTTCTCGAGATGTATGCCTTCGGGCAGCGGTGTGCAGCAAGGTTTTGAGTTGTGCATCTGGAACCAAGATAGGATTCCTTTGGTATACAACTGTTGGTCAATTTCCAGACACCTGCTGTTTCTATCACGAGTGATCCGCATTCCAAGGAATGTACTAGCGGCTCCAAGATCTCGCATTTGGAACTTCTCTGCAAGAACTTTCTTGACTCATTGGATCTCAGGTAAACTTGAACCTATCGGTAGAAGGTCGTCGACGTAAACAATGAGGTAAACTTTGACTTTGTCGTGATGGTAAACATAAACGCCAGCATCTGAGCGCATGCACTTGAATCCATTTTTGAGTAGCGTAGTGTGTAGCTTCTTGTTCCAGGTGCGTGAGGCTTGGCGTAAACCATAGATTGCCTTCTTTAATCGACACACCATCTTTTCTTGTCCTTTCTTCACAAAGCCTTCTGGTTGTTCCATGTAAATCTCCTTGTCGAGCTCGCCATACAGAAAGGCCGTTTTGATATCCATTGCCTCAATTTCCCAATTTTCGAGTGCGGCATGTGCAAGTAAGAAGCGTATAGCTTTATAGCGTGCGACGAGAGAGAAGGTTTCCTGAAAGTCTATCCCCTCTATCTATGTGAATCCTTTGGCCATGAGACGTGCCTTATAGCGGCCATCGGGCTTGATCACATAAACCCATTTGCATTTTACAATTCTCCAGTTGTTCGGTCTGTTGACCAGAATCCATGTGGGATTCTCCTCCTGAGACTTGAATTTCTCCTTCATCGCGATCTCCCACTGTTTTGCATCTGGGCAAGACATTGCCTCGCGGTACGTAGTGGGGTCAAGTTGGTGAGCATGACATATCCATTGGAATATATTCCGACGGAGTTGATCATCAATGTCCATTGGAGAGGCTTCACGCTGTTCACGTGCTTCTCGTTCTTCTCGTTGATCACATTGGATGTTTCATTCCTGTTGACGCCATGCTTCTGTGGGCGGAACGTCACCATAGCTGTTGTCGGGAACATGGCATTGGCCTGCATTCTTGTGCTGTGGTCTGGCTGGATATGGCACAGGTTGTGGTTCGAGATTCCATCATTGCCTAATATCAGGAGCAGGTGGTGCTGCCTGACGAGATGGACCGGCTTGTCTGCTCTGACGAGGACGATAATGTTCTCTCTGAGGTGGAGGTGATCCAGGAGGTGGACCAGGAGCGAATGGTATCTCTGGATGTTCATATGGTTCCGAAGTTGGGTTTCGATATTGTTCATAATGATCGGCTGGATCGTCATTGACTTTGTCATCATCCTGTTGTTGCGGTTCGTCTTACTGCGGTTGTGGATGTGCGTTGTCTGGGGATTGATCACCAGGTGTGAAGTCTTCTGGACTGGTGAGGTCCAGGTTCGGCAGGTCGGGTTGAACAGGTGGAATTGGATCTTGAGACATTCCAGGCTCACGAGGCCTTTCATCTCATTTGGGGAAGAAAGACTCATCGAAGGTGACGTCGCGTGACACAACGATGGTCCGGGCTGTTGGATCCCAGAATCGGTAACCCTTTGTACTGATTTCGTACCTGACGAAGATCATTACTTTAGCTTTTGGCTGTAGTTTATTGACCCTCGCATCCTTATGTGTGTGGACATAGGCTTTGCAGCCCCATACTCGAAAGTACAATACGTCTGGAACAGTGCCGTTCCATTTAGTGATGGGTGGCTTCCATTGATGATGGCGCAGAGGTTGTCGATTGTATATATGTACTGCAGTCTCTGATGCTAGCTTCCAGAACCCAGACATCATGCCAGCGCGATGTCGCATAGCTTCTGCCTTATTCTGAATGGTTTGTTGCCAGCATTCTGCTCTGCCGTTCTGTTGTGGTGTTCGCGCCACTGAGAGTTGACGCTCTATTCCGCGTTCTGCTAGGAAATCATCGAATTCGCGGCCTAAAAACTCTCCCCACGGTCTGAACGTATAGCCTTGAGCTTGCGCTCAGCCTGTGTTTCCGCCCACGCGACGAATTGCTTGAAGGCAGAGAAGGCATCAGACTTCCGTTTCAGATACCAGACTAAACCAAATGAGGAATAGTCGTCGAGGGTGGTAAGGGCAAACTTGTACCCGTTGAGTGATAACAACGGATATTTGACAAGATCCATGTGAATTAAGTCAAGGGGATGATCCACACAACTGTCAGACACAGGAAATGCATCGCGACGAGACTTCCTGAATTTGCATCCATCACAAGGAGTATCCCTAGTTGGAGCAGAGATCTTATCCGGGACACCTTTAACATTGCCAGGTAGTTGAATAACTGATTTCTTCCCAGCGTGTCTGAAGCGACGGTGCCACAAAGTATATTGATCGTCAGTTTTAACCAATATTAATGTTCCTGGCTTAATCTTACTGGTCCTAGTGAGGACTTCAGCTTCTAGCCAATATAAACCTGACGACTTTTCATATTCGCCCTCTATTAAAACTGTCTGCTTTGTTGGGTCTGACCCACGGAGTAACTTAAACTTCTTGCCATCCATCTCAATACGGTGACCATTATTGAGAGGCATTCTGAGCACAAAGAACCGTTCTGCCGCTTCTGGTACGTATAATACAGTTTCTAACCGGATATGCTGAATTCGTCCATCTGTGAGACGATGTTGCAGAGCAATTTCACCGTGACCTTTGATTTCGATAGTCTGACCTTTGCTGGCCGTGTGTGCATGACCTGGCTTAGGGAATTCATGGTACCAAATAAAGTCAGTTTTGTACAGTGTGACATGGGTCGTGCAACCGCTGTCGACCATCCACTTAGACTTGACACCCTAGCATAAAGAGAAACAGAGATGGATTCTTCCTCGATCTTTGCTACTAGTGGTACATCAACAAGTCTAATAGTATTTACTGTCTGAGTGGTAGTCGCGGTATTGTCCTTTGCTTTGCCCTTTTCTTTTCCCTTTTTGCGCTTTCCGCCACCCTGCTGCTGCTGCTGCGTGTTGTTGCCATTACCAGAACTCAAGCCAGAATTTGCCGGCTTTGTGTCCCAGTGTTGCTCCATCATGTGATTTTTGTGACCACACTTCTCACACTTCTTGTCAAGAAGGGGCGCCTTC